TCATGGGTTGGGCAGTTGATTGAATTTGTTTCGATAGCTGCTGATCGGTCGTGAGTACCGATGGTGGGGCCATGAGAGTGCCTTTGTGATCGGCCATGAGAGTGCCGTTGTGTTCGGTCATCTATACCGATGGTGAGGCCATGAGAGTGCCTTTGTGATCGGCCATGAGAGTGCCGTTGTGATCGGTCATCTATACCGATGGTGAGGCCATGAGAGTGCCTTTGTGATCGGCCATGAGAGTGCCGTTGTGATCGGTCATCTATACCGATGGTGAGGCCATGAGAGTGCCTTTGTGATCGGCCATGAGAGTGCCGTTGTGATCGGTCATCTATACCGATGGTGAGGCCATGAGAGTGCCTTTGTGATCGGCCATGAGAGTGCCGTTGTGATCGGTCATCTATACCGATGGTGAGGCCATGAGAGTGCCTTTGTGATCGGCCATGAGAGTGCCGTTGTGATCGGTCATCTATACCGATGGTGAGGCCATGAGAGTGCCTTTGTGATCGGCCATGAGAGTGCCGTTGTGATCGGTCATCTATACCGATGGTGAGGCCATGAGAGTGCCTTTGTGATCGGCCATGAGAGTGCCGTTGTGATCGGTCATCTATACCGATGGTGAGGCCATGAGAGTGCCTTTGTGATCGGCCATGAGAGTGCCGTTGTGATCGGTCATCTATACCGATGGTGAGGCCATGAGAGTGCCTTTGTGATCGGCCATGAGAGTGCCGTTGTGATCGGTCATCTATACCGATGGTGAGGCCATGAGAGTGCCTTTGTGATCGGCCATGAGAGTGCCGTTGTGATCGGTCATCTATACCGATGGTGAGGCCATGAGAGTGCCTTTGTGTTCGGTCGTGAGTACCGATGGTGATTGGCCGTGAGTGCCATTGTGACTGGCCGTGAGTGCTGGTGGTATCGGATGGTGATTCCGATGGTCGGATGCGTTCCGATAGTGCGTGACAGTGTGTCGCGGGTATTAGTTACGTTAACCTTGGCCTTAGTTTTGGTTGAAATAACTTTAAGATTCTAGTTGAAACTAGATTTGTTCTTGACTGAGTTGAAAACTTTGTAGTTTTGATTTGAATCTGTGGAGACCTGACATTTTACTGACATGTACCTTCCTACTCATAGTGGTATTGTAGGATAGCCGAACGGTACTTTAAGTTACATGAGTGAGGTTGTCATATTACATGACGACTGAAATGCTGATCCACACGAGGACGTGTGAGAGTCAGGATCGCCGTGTCGGCGCGCGGGGCGCAATAAATTAAATAACTTAATGTTATAGTTCTCACAACACTTTCAATGCGTTAGCTAGTTTATTGCTATGGAATTTTAAGCAGCGCCAAAGCTCTTATGCCAGAGTTAAGTGCGCGCCTGGGAACGAAGGTGACATAAATCTCCATGTTGCCTGACGTAGTTGTGGACCCGTTCAAGTGCAGTATTGATGGATTAATAGCTTAACAAAAACTTCAGGTACAGAGCCCTGGAACGTAGAGATTTTGGGACTGAGTGTTAGAGTCATTGCACATTCGGGTTTTGGACGTGGTGGTGACTGGTCGTGGTTCACAAATTCGTCAATCGCTCCCAATTTATTAAGTCTAGGCGTCTCTAGCTTTGTTAAAGTAATTCAGTAACTTTGATCTTTCTGTTAAATTTAACTGTGGACAATATTGATTAAATTACGAACCAGTCTTTACATTCTAGTCTAGTAAAGTTAGTCGTTTATAATCAGTGATTATAATTAGTGTTAGTATCCACTCGCACGTGTTCCCTATACGCCCACATAGGTAGATAGTATGAATTCAATGAGAGACCCTTCTGGTGCCGTCCGAGAGCCCGACGCTCCGACATATATATATCCTCAACTAACAGTGCGTAAACTGGCATCACCGTGCGTGATACTACATAGTTCTTATTTCTAATCTCGAGGACAAAGCACGAGCATAATAAAACCTAGATGGATAGTCTTCATACAAACGCTTCGTCAAGAGTGAGGCAAAAATCTTATGTCATTAGTGTCATCTTTTTTGGGGAGTGTGGACAATGAAGGCGATTTACCCGAAAGTAGGGAGATTTTTAATAAGTTTTAAATTATTTACAACAACAAAACGTATTATGTACTAACTTATTATATGATCAAACAAACTTACCAAGTGAAGTTCGATCTGAATTATCCTGTTTTCGCCGAAGAGATTTATTTTACCGTGTAGTAGTACCCCTGTACGACAAGCCAATCCGCACACAATATTCAGCGTAGTAGTAGTAAAAAACAAAAGAGCGGGCAACCCCACCCCTACCACGCTGTGGGCTCGGTGTCCGAGCGGTCTCATTATATTTAGAGAAGAGATNATATATATATCCTCAACTAACAGTGCGTAAACTGGCATCACCGTACGTGATACTACATAGTTCTTATTTCTAATCTCTTCGGACAAAGCCCTCGCATAATTATGATAGAACTTCACTTTTTAAGTTCGTTTAATCATTAATACACAGGCCCTTCTACTGACATTTTAACTGTGAAGGCGCTGACTGAAGCTGTTACTTTTTTTGAATTTAGGAAAGAATCCGCTTATAATAGTTTTTCCTTGAGCTAGTACTGGCATCTCCTAAATCAACATGAGTGTTTTTCTAATTGGCATGCCAAGCAGCGAAGGTTGTTTGTTTTCAAACGATGTTACGGCACGCGCCCCGAATATCGTCAACAGTAGGGATGACAGAACTATCTTTTATGTGTAACTTACTTAATTACCTACTTCATAATGGACTATTTAATAATAAACAAACGACAAACTAAAAATAATGGCTCTAAAAATGCCTATACAATTTAAGTGATTCAATGAATTTGTTAAAATGAAATTAACACGTTTGAAAATGCTAATTTTGGCAATAAAAATAAAAACCAAAGAAGAACTAAATTGTATCTGCAATGGTAATCTAGCACCAAAGTACTTAACTGAAGTAGATGCCTATTGTATTGACACGTTTAGAACAGTTTAAGAACGTAATTAGGTAACAATAATTCGATTTTTTATGAACTCTACATTAAGTCTAATAAGTTAAAACGGTTCTAGCAAATTATAACGTTCCTAGACCTATTGTTATATAACAGAAAAACTTAAAGTAGCATTAACATTGTGATAATTACGTTTGAATTGCTGACAACCCTCATTATGTTGTCAGTGCACAATATGCATATAGGCCGCTCGCAGTGCCTCACGTGCAATTGCGACAGTGGTCTGGCGAGCTAAAGGATCCAATCACAACGATAGCCGACAGTCATCCATCACCATGTGGATCCAGCTAGCGATTTTGGCGACGTTTGTGTCTATAGTTATCACTGAAATGGGTCCTCCAGGTATCGAAAGATCGTTCAGCGATGGAGTCACAAGCAGAGGGTATAGAGTGGTCTACGGTGACGAAGACTTGACAGTGATCAATGAGGTGGTGGGGAATATGGAGAAAAATGATATCTTGAAGGCTAAAGCGAGTTTGAATGAAGCGATCCAACCCTTGCCGGCTGGGGACGTGAAGTGCCTGATGTCTGCAGATCGGTACTGCTCGGTGGAGATGCGGAAAGTCAAGGGTATGTCCTATCTAAAGTTTTATCATTTACCTACTTAATTGCAAAATTAAATATTGTTAATCGATGTTGCCTCAGGTTCTCTCCTATGATAGCATCTAATAGCACTCCATTTCTAGACCTCAGATAGGTTGATAGAGCGTTTACCATTTCCTTATAATTTACACTGTCTCTCTCTCTACCTCCTTCCATTGTCCTCCTCCTAGAAAAAAACACTGATTTATTTAAACGGATGGTATGAAAACTTCCCTGAAAATTACTTTTATTTGCAACCCTCAACGTTCAGTATCCTGAAAATCTACAAACTACTACGGAAACTCGATAGTTAACTATTTGTACTAAAGGAAAAATTTCCCATTTCAGGCGTTCTCATTCAGGCACTCAAAAACGACTGCGAAAAATGTTCAAATACAGAAAAGGAAACTGCAGGTCGAGTAGCTGCTTCCATGATGACCTACGATCCCGTCGGCTGGAAACTCTTCTTAACTAGGTACGATGGATTGTCCAAGGTTCAGAGGATTTTAGGATAGGAAACTACAGAACAGCTTGAATGAATTAGGATTAGGATGCGCGCCATGATAAAATCTTATCGACGATTTTAGACGACAAATTTATGAACTTATCGAGCAAATCGATATAATCCATGAGTTTATCGTGGCGCGCATCTTAGGCCTAATGGACGTCTTGACGACTTGTAAAACTTGTAGCTGGTAAAACATTTACGGGTTTCTTCGTTTAGTACTGATTCACTACCTAAATAGCTGGGTATACAGACCTATACATTTCTGAATTTAAAACAAGAGTAGATTGTATTTTTGCGCTTAAACGTTTCCTTAGATTAAGTATTATCTTTCATGTTTTAAGGGCACTTGGGTAATTTACATTTGTTTGTAAATTGTTTTCTTGATCTTTTTGCAGTCACTTAGTAAAAGTTAGAGTCTAGATTAATTTATTGTGGTTTAACTTTATCAACTGTTGTAGGTCTGCGCTAGAACTTAGAACAGAAAAGAAATCCCCTAAACCAGATCAAACCAGACTGAAGCCTATAGGGGAGCCAGAGATAGTAAGTTCCAAGTACAGATATACTATGCCAGGCGTTAAAGTTAGGGTGAAAAGATACTATGCGGAGAAATTACCGTAGTCTCATGCCATGGAAGAAGTTGTAAAACCTATTGTGTAATTTATTTATTTTATATCAGACCCACCTACATATTAGGAAAATAAAGCATTAATCTTGATGGAGTGTTTTATTTAAACCCATTCCTGAAATCTGCTGTCAATTCCCTTTTAATAAAGATACCAAATTATATTGGAGAGAAGATGGCATACTTTAGATAAAGTTCTGTTTTAAGAAGAGCTGTTGTGGGGTAGGATTAAAATCAATTAATACATTCACCCTTTAGTGTTTTATTAGCGACTGTTATCTATTAGTTTTCAAATTCAATTAGGGGTTTGCTTTGGTCATTTCCTTTCCGGCATTGCGCAGTTTAAGTCTTGTTACTCTTTAGATTTGCTGTCATTTTCTTGAGATTTTTCAGCAGAGTTCGATTGATTTCTTGCTTCTTTTCTCTCTAAGTATTTCTTTTTGTAACTGCCATCTGAATTGTACCTAAAAATAAATCGATCATATTTTCAATACTCATAATAAGTAGGTACCTAAATGTGACTCTAGCCATCTAAGGACATAGTTACTCAAATTAGGTATTCTAGCAATTTTGATTTAACGAGTTACCTACTTCTTCTCAAGTTTCTCCCAATCATCTGGTCTGTGGTCTATGATATACTCCATGACCTGATCGGCACCTTCCCGTTGTCGCTCGCTGCACTTCTTACAATCGTTCTGAATGGCGTCAGGAAGGTTATCTAGAAATGGGGCAAGTGGAAGCAGATATCAGTAAAGAATCGTAGATACCTACTTAAGTCATAGAGTCAAGCAAGAACTCAGATTGATTACTGTTTAGTAGAGTTCTTAATTTCATCTACCTAAGAAACTTATTGCCTATAGTGAGGGGCCACAAGGTGGACCGACGACCTGATAAAGGTAGCGGGAAGGCGCTGGATGCAGGCCGCTACATGTGCCGTGCGATGTGGAAGTCATTGGGGGAGGCCTATATTCAGCAGTGGACGTCCTGTGGCTGAAATGATGATGATGATGATGATGAAGAAACTTATTAGGCTGGATCTGGGATAGCTTCAGCAGGAGCTAATGCAAGGCATACCATAGTACCTATGTCCCACTTGAATGGTACGAACTTTACATTCAATTGACGTAGCATTGCTCTTTTATTATATTTTTTTTTATCCACAACGAGGAATCTTTTGGAGGTTTCTCAATTGTTGCTCTTGCAGTCTTACTCCTTTTTGTGATGTAGACTTCTTCGTAGTGTTTTTCTTTTTACGGTAATATTAACTCAAGCAACCTTGATGATCACAAAAAAGAGAGAAGATAGAGCTACTCACTCTTCAATTCCTTGCCATCCGGCGTGCAGGGTCCAGTTTCCAGCAAGCAGTTCACGTAGCTGGTCAGCAAACGGTCGTTTTCCAGGATTTCATCAAGGTTGACCCCGTCGTACTTGGTTGTGTAAGTGGGGGACTCTTCGGCGTTAGCTCCAAGCAATAAATAAGTAAAAATTGGGATAAATGCCACGAGTTTCATGGTGCTGAAAATATAGAGCAATAAGTAATTCGTATTCCTACTTCAAAAATATTTATTATATGTATTATTTATTTTTTTTCAAAATATCAAATAAACACATCGGCAACGAGTGTTTGAACATGGTTCTAAATATCATTGTCGATTTCATTAATTGTAGTAAACGCCTTTGAAGTATTTCTTAACTTTTACACACCTCGAAAAATATTGGCGCCCACAGGCTAAAAGGCACTGTTCCGTTTAATAGTAACGTAGAGACAATTTGTCAATTTATACCTAATATAGCCACGGAAATAATATGCCTTGTCTTGCATAAAAAAAATAAAAAATCCCGATAACTCTTGAAGAGTAACAACTGTGATAAATTTCATGTTACGAGTTTTATACCATTTCTTCTACGTAGCATGCATCAGAAAAATTACACTCAAATAGCTATAAGTGTACGAAATTGCTGGCATTCAAGATCAAGGAAGCGTTATCTAGCAATTCAGTAAAACTATGCAATTTTAGTATGGAGGTTTTTTTATACTAGCGAACTTATCTATTTTATGGAAGCCATGGGAAGAGAGTGAACCTGAGAGGGTCCTAATCTACTCTGTCGGAAACACTTGGCAATGTATTCTAAATTCCTACTATTCCACCTAGAATTTAATGAATTCGTAAGCTAGTTTAAATTGCAATGGGTCAAATCAAAATACAAAATATCTTGGAGAGTTCCAAATAGAAAAATGGGTAATGTTAAGGAAGGCAGTAAGAAAGAAAAAATGATAGATTTTTATTTAATTTACTAATACCTAAGTAGACATGTAAAATTATAGGTAAGTCATGAGTAAGTCGATGACTCAAGTGACAAAAATCATTTGAGCATTGTTTTTAAGTTCAAAAGTCAAGACGAAGTGGCGTGACGATCATTAGGTAGAGGATAGGGTTTCTGATTTCTCGACCTATTTTTTTTCTCGAGTTTCGGGAATTCTCGAGGCCAAAGTCTCGAGTTTTCTCGGGTCTCGAGTCGTTTAATTAAAATTTTTGAAATCGATTGAAATTTGCTACAAACACAGGTTTATTTAAATCTAATATACAAAAAAACAAAAACCCAACTACGTAAAAATGAACTGAAAAGATAGGAACAAGACAAAGTGTTCACAAATGCAGTCGGAGGCATCAATGACTATTTTTTGTTTGTTGGTGATAAGTAGTGGGTGATAAGCCATGTGGTGACGGCAGAATAGAATACATTTGTCACCAACCCCTACTCTTCCCGCGGAGGAGGCTCATAGTCCAGCAGTGGACTGTAAATGGCTGTTGATGATGATGATGATAAGTGTTTGATGCTTCCGACTGCATTTGTGAACACTGTCTTGTTTTTATCTTCTCAGTTCATTTTTAACCTGTTGGGGGTTTTTTTTTCAATAATATATTTTTTTAAATCTTTTAGTTAAAGAACATACATTTTGCAAGCTATTTTTTAAAAACCCTTTATTTTGATACCCCACTCGATAGGTTTTGAGATATTTTTTTAATACATATTATAGCGCCAAAAATCGGCCATGTTAATTTATTTACAGTTAAAACAAATCTAACGATAGTCTTTAGTGACACTCGCCGGACTGAGAGGAATCGATTGACGAGCGAATCATAAATTCGACCCAGGAGTTTAGTCTCTATAGTGCTTCAAAAAACATACATACATAGGCTGTTAAACACATTATCACTCCTTTGCGTCAAGCAGTCGGGTAAAAAAGGAAAGACTAGACCAGTCTAAAAGCAACGTTAACCTATTAAATAATTAAAATCTTACTTTTGTCTAAGAAATTAGGCTTTCAAGAATATTAAAGCTTCAAATTCGAGACTCGAGAATTCTCGAGCTCCGGTAATTTTTTTCTCGTCTCGAATGAAGCCAAATTTCTCGAGTTTTCTCGAGTTCGAGAAAGCTCGAGCAGAAACCCTAGTAGAGGACATACTTGGTGTCAGCATCATGACGCATAGTTGCTAATGTGGTTGCTAACATTAACTCTCTGAAGGGCATCCTCCAACCAAGTTCACCAAGACTTCTTGGTTTTTCAGTTCAGTTTCACAAATTACTTAATTTGTTGTGCAATTTATTTACCACTTCAAGTTTCCAAGTGTGAATCTGACGCCTCTATTATCAAACGAGCTCAAAGTTGACGTCGATTGTGGTACTTAGATTATGTACGATTGGTTAAATTACAATATTTTACCTATCACAAAAAAAATCCTATTCTTGAGTGGGTTTCATACTTAGGTACCTACTTCACTGCTTTACTGGTACAGTCTCTTCAATCTCTCTACATCTCAGTTGATGAATGACCTAAGTCTGATCGAATCTTCACATTGCAGAAAAAAATGTATGACATTTCTGTAATCTGTTGGAAATGTCTTATTTCAGGGTGCTGGACAAGTCGCAAAGGCCAGACCCTCTTTGATTGGTCTTAGACATGTAAGCGTTGACAATGGGCTAATAATTATTGAACATAATATTTTTTGTATTTCAGAAGCTTGTAAAATTGCTTTGTAAGCGTTCATAAGAGATGAAGATTTGCAACTAATGCCCATGCCCATTTGACCTTTAATAAATCCATGTAGCAGTAAAAATGAACCTATTAGTTGACTGTTCAACTAGTTCTGTTGACGCTTGGTTATTATACAGCGGGTTTTTTCTAGCGGCTCTGTAATTAGTGGCTATAACAATAAAAACAATGGATCTACTCAAGCGCATGCGTTGATTGTGCGTCACTCCAAACCTGTCCCTCGCTCTAGGTCTCGAAGATACATTTTTAGAGTTCTTTACGCAAAGGGTGCCAATGGGACCCTGAGAAAGGCTTCGTTTTCTTGTCTGTCTACTAGCGAGTTGTATCTCATGTGCTATTCTGTAGATAGGTGGTACTTAAATGCAATTTTCCCAGAATTTGTGAGTATTTTATTGCCGCTTTAGCAGCAAACAAAAAAAACATAGGGGAGCTTAATTTTTGTTGTTCTTTTATTTTTGTTCGTTTTAAGAAAGTATTCAATGGATAAGTACGGAACTATTCCCATTTCCCACCCCTCGTTCCTGCCGCTGCAACTCCTGTGTATAGCCAGGATCTACAGCTTGTCCGCCAATGAAAACCCAACCAGGGAAAGTTAAGTTTGTCCAATGGACAATGTCCATAAATAAGTAGTACGGTACCCTTTGAGTACGAGTGCGTCTCTTACTTAGCCGGTTGATTTTATTTATTTATTACACTTTTTTTATCGGAAACCAGACCATATATCGGGTCAATTATATTTTAATGAAACTACAAATTAAAGGAAAATTGGACGAGTTTCTACCTAGAAACCAGATATCTTCGTGAAGAGGATTCATGATAATAATTATGTTAATACATTAGCTGTGCCTTGGTGGTTTTACCTGGATTTAATTTATCATGTCACCACACGATTCACCTCAATCTCACTTTGTAAGTAAATAATATTCTAAACATTCGACCTAATGTCTATTATAATATTATTATGTAAACAGATATACATCGTCGCTTGCCTCTCTAACTGACGTATCTGACATTTTTTTCGAAACTGAGTTATCTACACCACCTTAATCAATTTCGCAAGACGAATCGATCTGGCTAATCGCCTGAAAATTTTGCAAAATGTCAGTTACGTCAGTTAGAGAGGCAAGCGACGACATGTGTTTCACGTTACCAGCTCCCATGATCATAACAATTTTCCATAGAAGGTATTCTGGGAAATTGAAAATTTGTTTATCTATACTAATATTATAAAGCTGAAGAGTTTGTTTGTTTGTTTACTTGAACGCGCTAATCTCAGGAACTACCGGTCCGATTTGAAAAATTCTTTCAGTGTTAGATAGCCTATTTGTAGAGAAATGCTATAGGCTACATACCATCACGCTACGAGTAATAAATAGGTGCAGAGCAAAAATGAAAAATGTTGCGAAAACGGGTTTTCACGCGTACGAAGTCGCGGGCACAGCTAGTAATCCAATATTTGCCAATATTGACGTAGAAGTCAATTAACAACATCTTGTTCATTACAAATGTACATACGCCATGATCCCGCAATGCTTTACGTGGAAATGGTTTTATTTGCTGATTTATTCACTATCTATTCATCTACCGGCTATGGTTCAGGTACACATAAATGACTCATGTTGATCTTTGGTTTAAAAATAAACCAAGTACCTACTTAAACTTGCGTGTGTTGCTTTGTAACTGAACACAACAGAAACAGGCATTCTGCACTACCTTCTTGTTTATGCTAATTGCTCATATCCTACAAAACATCTTCGTTTTTTTTATTAATAATTTTGTCATTTATTTTTATTTTCTTCGTTTTTATTTTATTTACATTTATGAAATGATAAATAAATCCCATGTATGAGTTTTCTCTTGAAAATCGCGACTACCTTAGCTTCGGAAAGGTGTGAACTCTCGACCTTTTGCTTCCCGACTCGACTTGACCATATAGGCCAGTAGAATTAGATTTTAAATCGGAAATAATTCCTACAAAAGATTTTATTGCTTTAATGGCTTCATTGGTTGCCCATTAAGACTCTCCTAGGTTTTCGACTTCGACGGAGTTGTGCTTAAGTGGTGGGGGCCCCCGAAAGGGGAGCTTTTTAGGTTTTCCGGTTATACCGCGTAAAGGACATACCCTATCGAAAAGTGGTCTTCCTAACGGTTGAAGGGCATTTAATCTTGCATTAAATAAGACCAAATTCATATGTTTTGGACAATCCGTTCTCGTGCAAATGTTCGGCAAAGTAGAAAATATGTGTATTATTGTGTATAATTAATGACCCTCTCCACGTCCAATAGCTCGTCACCCGTAGGCTCCCAAGCCTTGTAAAAGGTCGCCTTAACCAGCGTATCCCTGTCAAGGCTCACGAGTTGGATTCGCTTATCCTTGTTCGTCCCAGCCGTTCCTTAACTGCCGTTGCTGCACCTCTTCCTGGCACTCTCATGAACGACTCTGTGTTACCTAATGTGGCTGCCCCTCTTCCTTGTACCCTCCTGTACGATTGCATTGCTTAGCCATATGTCTGGTCCAATGTTCGACGCCACAAAATCAACTTCGTACGCGTGAAAATAGTTTAAATTCTATTTTCCGTGCTTGCAACATTTTTCTTTACTGTTTCGCCTCTATTAGTCGTAAAGTGATTGTATATATCCTATAGCCTTCCTCAATTTATGAGCTATTCAACACAAAAATAATTATTTCAATCAAACTAGTAATTCTTGAGATTAGCGCGTTCAAACAAACAAACAAAACGTTTTATTATGAACTTGTTGTTGTTGATTTTTGGCGTCGAACCTTAGACCAGGCATGCAGCTAGGCAACGTAGTCGTGCAGGAGGATACAAGGAAGAGGGGCAGCCACAGTAGGTAACACAGAGTCGTTCAGGTGAGTGCCAGGAAGAGGTGCAGCAACCGCAGTTAAGGAACGGCTGAGACGAAAAAGGATAGGCGCATCCAGCTCGTATTATTTCCGATTTAATTCATTTTTGTGTTTAATTCTACTGGCCTATTATTATTTTTGCTAAAGTCGGTTAGTAACCAAACTGACTCTAGATTTACGTATCCCTTTTTAAATAATATCCTCATCTCTATGAAAACAACTAAGTAACGCCCGTATTTACAAACGATGCAAGCAGCAAATCGAACGCATAGCGTTGAATCGAGCTCTGTGATTGGTTCGTGTACCTATCACCCTGTGAGACCTCATAGTAATGTTTGTGATGACGGTCGTAAGTATGACATGACATACAGTGTAGTGTTAACAAGGATAAAAAATATTTAGTAATCGATTTTTGGAAATGCTATTAGGAGTTGCCGGATGTTTTGAACAAACTATAGTCGTACAAGATATTGACAATCACAACTTCTGAGGACAAGGTAAAGTTGTAAGGAAAATAACAATATCTACGGCTACAAAGTAATTTAGTCGATTATCTTAATGCTCATCACGAGTAGAGTAGTCTAAGGCTGGGTTGCACCATCTTACTTTAACAAAAGTAAAAAAAAACTGTCTAACTCCATACAAAAACATCGGTCATCGTTATAAGTTACCGTTAAAGTTAGGTGGTGCAACTCAGCCTAACTGTCGCGCAGTCAATTTAAGCCATTGTCTAACGATTGGAAATATTCATTAATAAAAGACATCAGACAGATAATTAGTGATGGATTACTAGTGAGTCATATAATGTCCACCAAAGTTATTAATTACCTAACAATGATGTGGAGTTCCCGTTGCATCTGAATTACCCCTCTGGACACGTGGTCCGACTGCTTTGTCCGATTAATCGGACCACGTGAACTTTTTTTTCCTGTTGGTTCGATTAATCGGACTACAAGGAATCGCAATTCCACTTCGTCCGACTAATCGGACTTGAAATAAATTAAGGGTGGTATGCAACAAAATCGATCCATGGAAACTATTTCTCGTGACAATTTCATATTAACTACCAATGCGATGCTCTTTGGTCATAATAATAACAAGAGCTTCCTCGTGAACGGCTTGGCATGGAAAGGTTCACTATTAAATAAATTTATAATTATAAATTTAAATCAATATTGATTTGAATAAATTAATACAAATATGTAAAGGTATAAATATTTTTAATTAAAGATTGTTTCATTCAATGTAAAACGACCTCCTTTTAGTTCAACTGAATTGAACTTTCAGGAAAAAAAAACGTAAAGTCAACTTTCTTAAGTAATCTTTCAAGGAAGTTGAAATACACGGATTTTTTTATAAACATTTCCTAAATGTTTATATTATTATAGATAAGTAGGTTATGTAGGTAGGTACATGGACCTATAAAAAAAGGCGGACGGATTCTCATCAACAAAATACTGTGACATTGGGATACACCAGCTTGCCTGTACGTACAGGCCGGCACGCACACATTCACACCCTGATACACCACTTCGAGTGCAAACTTCACACAGTTGACACATTTAAGCAGCGAAAAAACAACACGAATACGACATGTCTTGTGTGATGAAATTGTGTAAAAACCGTTCTGTTCGAACAAACAAAAATTAAGGAATCACATTTCACAGGCAAAATAATAATCCAATCACTTATTTCCCGACATTAAAATATTGAAATTAATTGAAATCAAACGTCATTCACTCGAAAAAATAATACGTCAAAGACCAGTGTTCTCAGTTATTTACGTGGGAAAATTACCCGAAATATGGGAAATTAATAATAATTTTAGGACTTTTTAGTTATTTATTACGCATACTATGGAAATAAAATAATTTATCATAATAATTGTGTTTTAATGGGATATATTTTCATAGGCAAATTTGATCCTTCCCAAAAATGTGGAACTGCAAAATTCAAATTTTCTTACATTGATTGCAAGTCAGTGTCAGGTTGTATGTTAAAAAAAATCTATCAGAGATAATAATAATATATTGATGATGCATAAGATTATGATTATAATGTACACAAGATTCGTAATTTGTAACTGCGTGAATCATTTTTGATCAACATTATGTACATACCCTGACACACTGACTTGCAAACAATGTAAGAAAATTTGAACATTGAAAATTTCGCGCCTACCTCAACGCATTCACCTTTCATCCTTTTAAAATGGCACGGAATAATTCTCTCTACATTTCCAAGTAACATCTGCCGATCTATGTTTTTCTTAAAATAAATGGGTAAAATGTTTTGGCTAACATGGCATCCCTAAAGTCACTCACACAATAGACAAACGCCAAAATTTTGCGTCACAGTTTTGTTGTAGCGCGAGTTCCGTCCGCCTTTTTTTATAGGTCCATGGGTAGGTATTCATTTGTTTTCCAAATCTTCAATAGGGATGTTTCCTGGGTAAAAAGCAAGAGTTTTAATTAGTCCGTCAGTTAGCTTATCAAAAAATACTCGACACCTATTTTTCACTTTTTAAAACTAATGAAAATGTAAAGAGATAAAGCGTGCCAAAGTTCTAAAGAAAAGGCCCGTGACGTCAGTGAGTGCGTAAAAGTGCTGCACTTTGTGACGTCACGCGGAACTTCAACGCACTGTAACTTTGTAATTATTTGTTTGATTGGCAATTAAATAATTCAAGTCCAATATTTTATTATATTAAAATTGACGGACGAAAAAAATTTTTTTAGGAAACTAGCCTAAAAATCTATCAAAAATATTCAATAGATTTATTATAGTTGAATTTTTAGGAAAATATATTCCGTTCATTTCAAATTTCTAGAAAAGTTATTGAAACTATGGAATTTTTTTCCTGAAAGTTCAACTCAGTTAAACTTTGATTTCAACTAATAGGTCTGTTATAGTTTTTCAATCAAGAAAATGCAATTAAACAGTGTTGAGTTAGTGAAATAATAAATTTATCTTTCTTTTTTTCTTTCAAATAGGTTGGGCGGTTAAATGTCGGACCATGTAACCTTAAGAACAGAAAGTCTTGATAGTCCGACTCCTTAATCGAACCAACAGGAAAAAAAAGTTCACGTGGTCCGATTAGTCGGACAAAGCAGTCGGACCACGTGTCCAGAGGGTGAATTACTTACATTTGTAAACAATACTTCATATCTGTACTTATATCTTGTAAATCCCACTGTTTTGGAATGAATAAAACTACAGGCAATCAGCTTAATCGAACAACTAATAAAAGCCTTTATTTACGAACAAAAAAACCGTTTTTGGCTTTATACCTATGTAGTAGCTGTTGCAATTCACGAAGACGAGTGAGCTTTACATGTGTGGTGCTCGCTACTGTTCATTTTTCAAAAGTTTTGATACACTATCGATATGTGCATGAAACACGTACACACGCAAGTAAAGCTCATTCGTCTTCGTGAGTTTCAAAAACTTATTACTTTTTTATATTTCATGCACACAATGCCGTGGATATGGAGAGCCAATTCAGAATTCGTCAAATTAATAGATGGAGATGACCAATGCCATTGTCATACGTTAATCGCCCGAAAACAAAGTTATAGCAAGGTTCCGAATTGTCTGACAGGTCACGGAAATCCTCTGTCTGTCGAGCCATGGTTATTTTTCACATAATGAAGGTTGCGCGAGCTGTCGCGTTGAAGGCAACAGAATATAAATATTTTATTCCAAAGTGCTGATAAAGTAAGCTTTTTTAAGACAGGTGTTGGTATCTTGAAAAGGGCCTATATTATACTGAATACTACTAATTTTAGTTTCCACGACGTCGTTCGATAGGTACCTACTACAGAATGAAAGATCTTACTGGAAAAGAAGGAGGCTGAAAGCCTCCTACAAGGAGTCCCAAAGAGCATGATTACCTGAATTATTTGATTATAATTGAATGAGACTTCGTTTTAGTTGTAGACTTTCCGGCAAAAATCATCTTACTTTTAAACACTGTTTTCTTCAAAGTTTCCTTAACTTATCTTTATCACCCTGTATAATGTAACGGCTTTATTACTAATTTATTAATGTCTCCATAAGACCTATCATTAGTTTTTACGGACAAAACGCATTTATCTAAGTCTATAGATTTGTTAATGACATTTATGACGAAATAGCATACCGCGAAAAACTAATATGACGGCCAAAACAAGTTCTTAGCTGTCCAAATTAATGTCCTATTTCGTATATAAGTCAACGATCATTGACCAATATTGTAATAGACAACTGTGAGTTAGTGACATCAAGTCGTGCTAGTGACCGAATTACAGAACAAGGTAGGCTTAGTTTTTATATAGGAATTTGGGATTAAGAGGATTCTTTAGACAGTGATTTTAACAATGTTATGCTGTAGAGACAACAATAATAACATTTAGTAAAGTTCTGTAGCGTCAGCGTATACTGCATTTGTTTATTAGACAAAACACAGTAGGTCGCGCGTCACGACTGACGCACATCTTATTAGTTATATACTAAGCAGTTAATAATTAATAAACTACGCTCTTGATTATCGCACACGCATCCAGCTGTTTCATTTGTCGTCTCCCAAAATTACGATTTCCGTGACTGTATGCCTCTTGAAATTTCAATCGGCGATAACCGCTTGTGGAAGGCCGATTGAAATTTGCAATCACGGAGAATCACGTCGGGGTCACCAATTTGGCTCCTGAGCAGGGAGACGACAAATGAAACAGCTGGATGCGTGTGCGATAATCAAAAGCGTAGTTTATTAATTATTAACTGCTTATATACTAATAAGATGTGCGTCAGTCGTGACGCGCGACCTACTGTGTTTTGTCTAATAAACAAATGCAGTATACGCTGACGCTACAGTTCTAAGTGCAATACACAAAACATCTGAGCATTTAGGTATAGTGAAATCTTTAGTGGAATGCATAAAGTGAATTCTTTAGCTGTTACTTTTATAGACTTTCATAGCTCTACATAAGTAGATGTCTTAATATATTTTTATAAAGTTTATATTTTTCCTTATAAGGATTTGTACGTCTAGGTTGCCTCTTTGACACCTATTGGCTCTGCTACTAGTTTCATTAATTGCAGCATGTATTTTTTAATTATTATCACACATGGTTTTTTCTGACCTCAATCGTGAAGGCTTGTTTGTGGTTAACAATGGAATCAAGTTGATCTGCAGGTTTATCACTTTAAGATAAAGACTTTTCCTGATAAAAAGATCCAAGGTGGAGATGTATTAAAACAACTCCATAAAAATTGGCTAGCATAATCTTTTATAGCTACAGGTGTGAATTTTTTAGGGCATCAAGTAGTCAATCCGGCATAATACTGGTTTTACGTAAACATCTTTACTTATCATCTTTCGAGACATCCAAAAGGATTGTAAATGCCAATGCCATGTTTTACTGTTTCTCTTGTTCTCTACATGTTCTACTGTTTCTCTTTTCATGTGTTAGACTTGAGCATGTATCAATTGTTAGTAGCAATCAATTTGTAGTTACGGAAGAGTGGCTCCTTCTGACACAGGTGCAAATGCACTTAAAAGAAGGAGTCAACCTTTGTTTTTAGTTATAAGAAACTTTTACTCCCCTAGATGAGGCAGAGGGCGTCCACAACATCTCCCAACGTCCTCCATCGCGTTCGCTCTTGAGCTTCGCGTTTGATCTCGCTCCAAGTCTTGCCGATCTTCTTCGCCTCGTCTGCCACAGTGCGGCGCCAAGTTTGCTTGGGGCGACCACGTTTGCGTTTTCCTTGGAGGTTCCAATCCAAAGCCTGCTTGGGAATGTGATCGGGATCCTTTGAAACTTTGGTACTAAAATAAAGTTATTTTTTATATGTTCTTATTATCTATTCTTTCCAGATGAAGGTCCTCCTACTAGCCTGTATGCTGGCGTGCGCAGGAGTGGTTCTCGGGAGACGAGTCCCTCGCGCGTACACAGACATCTACGACAGTATTGACATCAACACAGTGCTGTCCAACCGGCGGTTACTGGTGCCTTATGTGCTCTGTGTCCTAGAGGAAGGCAAATGCACCCCTCCAGGCAAGGAGCTGAAGTGTAAGTAGTTTTAGAGAGCATACTTCATCATCATCATCATTTCAGCCACAGGACGTCCACTGCTGAACATAGGCCTCCCCCAATGACTTCCACATCGCACGGTTGGTAGCGGCCTGCATCCAGTGCCTTCCTGCTAGCTTTATCAGGTTGTCGGTCCACTTTGTGGGTGGACGTCCCACGCTGCGTTTCTGGTACGCGGCCTCTATTCCAGAACCTTGCTGCCCCATCGGCCATCAGTTCTGCGTACTATGTGTCCTGCCCACTGCCACTTCAGCTTGCTAATCCGTCGGAGCATACTTACTTTACTTATTTTGGTTTCGATCGACCTTTCAAAGTTATTTGAGAATAACCTAGAATACTGATGAATTAATCGAAATGATAAACTAATTAGGAAAAAACTCAAGTTAGAATTAGTGACACCGTGAAGATATTAAGGTAATTGCTTTGAATAAAGATTAATCTAATAGAGTATTCATAAGGCCAAGATCATTAATCAATACCACCATACACTGGAGATATTCCTATTTCATCGAGCCCTCATAAATATGGTAGAGATGCTTGTAGCTCAATGGCTGATGCAGCGCTGAAAGTTAAGAAACCTACACTAACGGTCATACCACTAATGGTGGCGATGCATAGGTATGTGATCGTTCAATCCAACCATATTTTGTGGCATTTATCTCAAACATCTCTGTGCTTTAGAAAGCACGTTAATAGTTGGTCCTACCTTATCCCTTAGGTAGGTGAATGCACCAAATCTTATACATTCTTCCTTCCCCAACAGCCCACATCAAAGAAGCGCTAGAGACCCACTGCGGCCAGTGCACTGAGAACCAGAAACGAGGATCCCGGCAGGTCATCGCCCATCTCATCAACCACGAACCTGAGTACTGGAAGAAGCTCACCAACAAGTACGACCCAACTGGCAAATTCACCAAGATGTACGAAAACGAACTCAGGGCGCACGTGTAGAGACGATGACGTTCCCCTTTTGGAAGACATTCTCTGAGGAATGCTAGGAGTTGATAACATGAGCTGGTGCCAGATAGTCAACAAGAGAGGTATTGTACATGTCAGAGCAAATATATTTTGATATGAAGAAAAGAACACCTAGCATCGCTACAAGAACTCACACTAACTAGTTTTTGTAGCATCCATTGCCTTGGCTAAGTAATTCTTCATCATTGACTACACCAGACCCATCTTAATGCTCATCTTAGAGTTTGTCTCAGAAAAATATGATCAAGATGCTCGAGTTGGTATTTATAATTATGAAAAGGCTTGTGAATTTATTTAATTTATAAGTATTTCCTGTGGATGAATGAAATAAATGTTTTGTTAAGATTTTTTTTGTTTAATTTGTACCTACTTTGACCATTTCATAGTTAATTTAAAAAACAAGTTCTACGTTTAGAAAGGACATGTTATCTTGCAAGTAAATGCCTAGCTCAGTACATAAATATTTATAAATATGTATTTTGCACATAAAGAAAAAAAAATCCAAAGTAATTTAAAGTGCACCTTGTCATGACCTACCAAAGCCAATAGGTACCTACCATTTTTACTACACATAGACTTTGCAACGAAAATGTGTAGTCTTATAAATGCTGACTGTATAAGCAGCAAAGTAAAACTTATCAAAGTGGGAGCCAGTCATACCGCTACCTTTGAGCTACAAGTGACCCAATTCGATTTGGTCGGCATGAATTCAGTTTAAAGTTTATGCTCTACGAATGTACGGTGTGACTATACATACAGGGTGGACACGATAGTCAAAGTCAAAGTCAAATTTTCTTTATTTGTTTGGACTAATAAATAGTTCTTACAAATCGTCATTTTGCTCTTAAGGAGCCTCTACATGTCTCATAATCTTTTTACCCTACCAGCGCTTCGAGACCAACATTTGGCAAGTGCTGAGAAGAAGCGCCGCAACAAACTCAGTCACCACTGTCTGCCGGTTAATATAAATAAATAGAAATAGTAGTAGTAGGTACATTCGATTCAGGAGCAGTTCACTGAATTTACCATGCATTCTTGTATGGTGTATCTTATAAGAATGGGTATACAAGATTGCGTGGTATATTAAACAAGGTAGTGACGTGCTAATATCTAGACTTACATATTAAGATACTAGTAGAAATGACTCGCATACATAAATTTGAATAACTTGGATTGACCAGTCCCCGAAAGCAGCGCCTGTTCACAGACATGACGAGTGAACCAGCCATCGCTTCACTCGACCATATTAGAGGGAATGTAACGACCCGCCTCACTACGCCACCACCCCAGAGACATTTTAGTGAGAATGACAATTCCAAGTTATCTCTTTAAAAAAAAAAACTAATAATAAAGCTAAGTAACAGTCCAGATTGAGAAGCATGACACTATAACATTTGAGAAATTATTATGAGCTTATACATTACTTTTCATTTTAATTCTTTTTAGTGCGAGCATGAGAGGACCATAATCCTACTCCCAGAATGACTTATCATTAAGAAAATCTCGAGTTGTATAATAGGCTTTTTTAAACATGTGATCTTTAACTATATCTTTAAATTTATTATACGGTAGCTCTTTATATTTATCAGGGACTTTGTTATAAAAATGGATACCTTGTCCCATAAAAGAGGCAAACACTTTATTAAGTCTAAAAGCGGGTATAGCCAATTTATTTTTATTTCTAGTGTTAATTTGGTGAATATCACTTTTCTTTTTGAATTCAGTAATATTTTTTTGAATAAATAGAATACAGTTTAAGATGTATTGTGAAGCGGCCGTGAGAATGCCAATTTCTTTAAACAATTCTCTAAGGGATGCTCTTGCTTTCATTTTATACAAGTATCTAGTGTCCGACCGAAACTAGTTTTACGACCGAAACCGAAACCGAAAACGAATTTCGGCAACGGTGTCTATTTCGGCCGAAACCGAAACCGAAACCGAAACTTCCTTACAAGGCATGAATCTTGAGGGAAAAATAAAGAAAACGTTATTATTTTTTGTATTATTTTCCATTTTCTTCCCTATACTTTGAATTTTTGTAGAATTTCAATATCTAACTACTACGTGTGATATATCATTAGAAAAAAGAGAAGCTAGAGATGTTTTCAAGATCATTGGCAATCCGATATCACCATTCATTTTTTAATCAAATTCTAAGTTGAATTTTTTTTTTCGTGATTTGTACTTTTGTTAAACTTTGGCGGCTCGTAACTAGCTATCCAATCTCTATCTGAATCTGAATTTTATCTAACTAAAGACATATTCAATATTAATATCAAATAAAAAAAATTGGTTGAAAACACGTGACAAAAAAAAATTAAGCAGTTTTCAGGTCAAATTTCGGAAAAAATAAATTAAAACAAAAATATCGATTAAAAAAAAAGTAGGTCACTTAGGGGCAAATGGGCGAACTTGTATTCTTAGAATGACGAAGGTATTTAAAAAAATGTATGCTCAATGTCATTAACAATATGGTGTAATTTAGCTTGTCTCAAGAGTCAAGCACCATTTTGTTGACAAACGTCAGTGATCGGTACTGCGCCGAAGCTATAGGGCTGACTTCGGTAAACTAAATGTATGGAAGCTGGAAACTTTGAATTAGATACGATCCAGTTTATTTTATAACTTATTATTGGTATCGTTGGATAGAGCTCGTGAAGCACTTTCAGGATTCATAACCAGTTTTTGGATATCTTGTATAGTTTTTAATATTATGTGGTTTTACTAAATGTATGGAAGCTGGAACCATTGAATTTTCGGATAGATCCAGTTTATTTTGTAACCTAATATTGGTACCGTTGGATAGAATAGCTCGTGAAGGACTTTTAGGATCAGTGACCAGCTTTTGGATATTTTGTTAGTTTAGAAATAATCGAGTGAGATCACTTATCGTTTCCACGATATATAGAAAGCCACGCAAAATAAAGGCAAAGGAATGGAAAAGTTACTTTTCCTAGGATGCCATGACGACGGAAACACTCTTTTGAAAGACCAAAATAAATGGTCGTAAAAGGCACCCATCCTATCACGCTACAAAAACCATACACATGATACTAAAGGGCAGACTCAGTCTGAAGAAAAAAATTATTTTGATTTTAGGCGGTAGCAACTATGACTAATTTTGCTTCGTTTGTTCGTGTACATGTTTTAATGATTTTTTATATTTTTTCACCTTAAACCTTGACCTGCCTGTAAAAAACAAAAGGATTAGGTTGTCTGCTTACGACAAGTTATGTAGCTGCTACGTCAATCATGTTTTGCTGAAAATGTTTATAAGTGGTGAGTTTCAGGATCCTAATTCAGTTTTCGTATTCATCTCCAGAATCAGGTACCTGTCTATTTTTTTAAACTTTATTTTAAAATATGTGAAAGTTAAGTGATAATTTGGAATATTTCGTGAAGAAAAAAAATCTCAAAATTTTAAACTTGTGATTCTAGCTTGTCTGCAAAAATCAGTAAACTTAACTTTGTTCATACAAAGTGTGATGTCAATAGAATCCTATATCACCATCATCCTTGTCAAGTAATTTAGTGTCTACTGCATAAGAATGACCCTCTAATTTACCTTAAGCAATGGGAAGGGAGGTTGTCTACACTCCCCACGCTGCAGCGCTAGGCAGATGGTTTGGGGAGGCCTGATGTTCGCAACTGTCTATCTCCATCAACCCGCAAATGATACTCAGATTACTCTGTTTCAGAACCAAAATGAAGGTATTCACCACAGTCTGTCTGTTCGTCCTGGTGAGCGTGGTGGCAGCGGCCCCAGCAGAGACCTACCCCGACAAATATAGCGCTGAAGATGTCCAGGAGATCCTCAATAATCGCAGGCTGCTGCTTCCATACATTAAGTGTGCTCTGGACCAGGGCAAGTGCTCGGCCGATGCCAAAGAGATGAAAGGTAAGTTGATATTTGAAGTTTGTGATTATATGACGAGGAGTTGGAAAAGCGATTCAATGAAGCATTGGCAGCTAGATATTTTGTTTGGCGTCTGATTATATCGCAGCAAATGGTTGACATACTCATAATGATTATTTGTATAATTACATAAACCATTTCAACGTTGACATTGATGGGAATTCTTGTGATAAATGGGACCAGAAGCAACGAATCTCGAGCCAAAGTAGAACTAAGCATAAATTCATTTTTTTTAAGCCACACCTGTTGATTTTAATTTTATCAACAGGAATATCATTAGCAAAGTGATTAAGATTATACCTAATGATTTCGCATTAAGAAAAGGAAAAACCTACAGAGCATAATGAAATGACGAAATGACAACAAAACCTTGAACTGTAAAGCGTCTTCCAAAGCCCGGTTGTTTGTGTGTATTCAGTAGGTATTATTATCTCAAGACGTTACTTGTTGATACTAGGTGGCTTTAAACAGGATACTTACACTGGAGATTTCGTTTTTTATTATTTTATGTTCTTTGCTGACATGGATACCTACACTACTAACTCGTTACTTCTCGTTTCTTCGCATTTTAGGATTGGGTACCTAGCTGATTAATTACCCAATAGATTTTGTTTAACGAAACAGTCCTGTAACGTCACTATTTCGACTATTAACTAATTTAGTTGTAACTAATTTTGGAATTGACCATAGTGTTAAAATAATTATTTTTAAACAAGTTTTGTACCTTTGATAGTTACATAATATTCTAAGTACCACGCTAACGATACTTATGCTGTAATGGTTTGTCTATATTCTTTTCAGAACGCCTAAGGGAGGCTCTGGAGACTGAGTGCAGTAAATGCTCCCCAAAACAGAAGGAAATTGGCGGCATCGTCTTCAAACACATCATCAACAATGAGAAGGACTACTGGAACCAGCTCGTTGACAAGTACGACCCTGAAAAGAGATACGCACCTATATACGAGGAGAAGTACCTTGTTCAGTAAAAGTCTAAACTACGAGCGGAGTAAGGAAAAGTAGGGTACCTATCATTGATTTTTTTTTCACCTGGTAAAAGCCACTTTGTCGTAAGACTTATATGATTTCTTTTTGATTTTGTTTTTGTTTTTGGCCTTGACTGGGACAGTTCTTTTGCATGGAATACAAGGTCTTTATGGAAAATGAAAAAATTGTATTAGGGTATTTCTCATCGCCACGGTTCTCATCGTCACCTTCGTGGCAAATTTTATTTTTAACTTATTTCAACTTTTTGTAAACAAAAATTGTAGCGCTTGATGTGAAGAGTGTATTCTCAGTAAATCAGTCAAATAGTGAGTCTGGTTTGGAAGCTTTAACGTTTTGAATTTTTTGATGCCACGAAAGTGATTCTGTACTTCACAGCAATAATTATTTCAAACTTTACTACTGTAAATGACTCTTAAGTATTTATAAAACATATATTTTGTCTTATTTTCATAGATAAATGGCAATAACATAATATAAATAGGTAGGTAGTTAAATACAAGATAAAATTTTACCGATAACGTCACCTACTAAGTTACAAGATTCTACGCAATTGGTTTTAAGGGTGATACTGGTGGCATTCTGAAATCCTAAAGAAGCAAAAAAAAGGATTATCAGTACCTCAATAAAAAAGAACTCTTCACTTATCAGTCCCTCAACAAAAAATGTGTTTATTTATTGAGGCCAGATGGCCTTGTATTTTTGTTGTACAACTTTTAACTCAAACTTCAGATTAAATTTATCTTACAAACAGATACACAGCCACATATACAGACATATATACAGTCATACAGACAGACAGACAAAAAAAATACGAGGCCCTTATTTTTTTATTGATGTACTGAACTCTACTTAACACGTATAATTTATTCGTTATTAAAATATTGTAAAAACTTAAACACCAGTCATTATATTTTAAAATAAACCAAAGCAAGAAATCACTTTCGTGGCCTAAAATCACCTTCGTGTATAAAACACCACGAAGGTGATGCCACGAAGGTGACGAAAATTTTAGTTTTTTATTCATTATCCCTAAATTTGAGTTTAACGGTTCAAGTCGAATACTACACAAATAAGTCTAACATGTTAAGTTTTCAATGGCCTAAGTTTCAATTAAATTGTTTAAATTTTAGAGGTAGAAAATATTGATCAAGCAAGCGACGGAATGTCTATGGATAATCACAAAAAGTTACGTATTTTTTTCCCGGAGCGACGATCGACTTATCTCACCTCGGCAATGGCAGGAGCGCGACTGACGTTAACCGAATAGAACACAGTGATTGGTTGATGGTGTTCGGTTTAACGGCAATCTTGTATGATTACTCAAAATTTTAGGTACCTAAAATCGTGTGACCAACGTATTTTCCTTCCTCAATTCGAAATAATTATAAGAAGATATTTTTTTGACTATTGTGTGGAAAGTATATTTAATTACGATGATTTTAGTATATGTTACACACAAATTGAATGAAAATTGTGAATGCAGTAACCAAATGTTTCATTGCAACCGAAGGTGTGACACGATGAGAACGCGAAAAATGACCCCGTTTTGTATCGTTTCATGTAATGTTTTCGTATTATTTTTGCTTCTATTACGATAAAATTTGTTTTGTATGTAGCTAAATAGATATGTTATCACCTGAATTCAAAGTTATTGTTCTAACTTATACCGTTTATGAACTATTATTGTGTGACCATCAAATTTGAGTGTAAATGAGAAGTACCCATTAACCAAAAAAGCGATATCTGACGAGCTGAAAACTTTTTTCTCTTAATGATTCTAGTCTAGACCTAGTTTAAGATGGTTTAAAAATCATGCATGTTTTCAGTTAGTAGAATTCTACTATATCTAAATATCCTTATTTAGATATAGTAGAATACTACTAACTTGTCTTTATACATAAGATATCCTTGTCTTTATAATAATATATGTTGTCCATTTATTATTTTCTGCCTTATTGCCCGTGGCTGTGACATGATTATTTTAATCCCAATAATGTTTATTATTTAATTTTGTACTTGTTTTAATATGTAGTTTCTTGCAGTTTTTATTCGAAAAATATAGTATTTGTGAAATATTTTTCCTTGTTTGTATTTTATAATAATTTGCATGCCAATCCTATTTCAATCTTTTGTATTACTTAGTAAGCCCTACATACTGAATATACCTGCATGGTTAAGGTGCACGGTGATTTCGTAGAGGACTCATTTCATATTCAACTCCCAGGTTGAAAGTTATTAGGTAAAAGCAACAATAACTTTAATCTTTGAAGGGCACTCGATGTCAGATGTCTAGACAATCCCAAAGTCCATTTAATAGTACTAAGTAGAAGCTGAACAAAGAGAAATAGATAGGCAGAGCAGTTGATCTGCTCAAAAATATTATGTAAGATATAACTATGAAATGTTGTCTATTTTCGGTCATTGCTCTTTCCTCCCGCGTTATACTTGTTTGTCTATGTTTATACTTGACAACAAGCATTAACATAAGTGAGCATTTACACTCGGATCATAAGTCATATCATATAAAAACCGTTAATTTTTTCCGACTATCCTTTCTATAAATATAATTGAAGATGAACCGGTTATGGTGCGATTTGCACCGATCTGTCTGGTAAGTTTAATTAAGATACAAAAAGTATATTTATTTGAGAATCGGCTAGTCTATATTTGTATTAACCTTCGGAAGGCAACAGGCGTGACCGGACACACAGTTAAGAAAAGTCTTCATAAGTTTAGTCGGTGATGTTGGGTCTTTCTGTCGTTTGGTCTATTCTCTAATTGGAAGGAGCATTATCAGTCGCGTGCCAAAAAAGCCTTTGATTTTTATAAGTTTCTGCAACTCCAACGTTTTCGACTCTATCAGACATTGGGTCAAATTGTGGTAGCATCAGAACTCCTTGTCAAGATTGTGTTGGCGTTGGCGTGGAAGTTGGCCACGTATGGCCAATGTTTGTCCATGATTGATACACATATGTATATAGATAATTGGGTACAGTCAGCGTCAAATAGAGTGACACCCAAAGTAGCCAAAAGTTTATCTATTAAATTGGAATAAGCTTGTGTTGTCAACTTTTTGGCATGCGCGTATAAATGGTCTAGGTGCCCTTCCCTGGATGTTGGGCTACCAATTTGAAGATGATAGCTGATTATTCACTCATCCCCCATCATCGAACTTGGCATGGCCAAGACCCTCTAATATACGTAGATATACTATATATATAGCCTTTTTGGCCACTTTGGGTGTCATGAACTATTTGAAGCTGTACAAGATATCGACACCTGCAAGGAAGAACATCGTAACTACATAAAATTTAATTTACACGTGTTTTCATGCGATGGCCAAGTCAATATATTTATGTAAAACGTTAAAGATTTCCTGGCCTGGACTTGGTATTACATGGATCTCACAACTTTTTACCGTAGAACAACTGAGTTGCGAGACTTGGTTTTTTTGACAAGTATTGTTTTTGATGGGATCTCATTTCTTTTTGTATTTTGTAGACAGCAGTTATGTATCTAGAAAACTGGACCGAAATTGAAAAATTTTACTCGACTTGGCGGTTGCACTACCGTGCCCCCAAATATTTTAGTTTTTCCTTGATTCATACACCAAACACTACTTATATTCCAAATTTGAAGCTTCTAGGTCTGCTAGAAGTGCCTTAGAGTTTTGATGATCGGTGAGTCAGTGAGTGAGTCAGTGAGTCAGTGAGTCAGTCAGTGAGTGACAAAATTAAGTAACTTTGACCCGTTATAATTCTTAAACTACTGGTTCAAATTGAATGAAATTTTAAATATACCGTGTCTTTACAATGCCTGCATAGCTAATGAAAATTCAGCCTTCTAGTTTTATCTACAACGAAGTTACAGGCGGTCGAAAATGGCCTGAATTGCTTCGAGAAAAGGATGGTACGGCCGTGCCGCTTTTTTGCTCGACTTGGTGGGGGCACTGCCGTGCCCCCAGATCGACACCTGCAAGGAAGAACATCGTAACTCAGTTTTGGCCATTTTTCAGGAGAGCGCGACAAAGTCACATCTCTTATTTTGTTGTAAATAAGACAACATGTACAAATGTTTGGCCCTATGGAAGTTTTGCACGTTTCTTGGAACAACGTGCTGACCTTTATCTCTAATCAGTATCGTTCATTACCATATTCAGTAGTACCTAGTACCTACCTACTGCATCTGCATACTGTTTACTGTTTTCATGCATTGCTACGCTATGCGTTCCTCATGGCTTTGTTCGTGATGAGGATCTCAGACTGTTACAACAATTTTCAAGTGTCATGGATGTGTAAAATCTTCTCAAAACAGAGGTCAAAACCCTGAATACTTAATAATAATAAACAAGGCATTATTTCCAAGAATAGAGCTGTTACATATTATATTTCTCACATAATTGCGGAAGAAATTGTGTAGGTACTAAAGTCATAACACGACTTATGCCCGTTTTCACCATGAATCCCTAATTTTTAATTGACCCCTATGAAAACAAAATTCCTGTTATGTATTACCATAGGGGTCACTTAAAAATTAGGGATTGATGGTGAAAAAGGGGCATTAGTCCGTCTACGGTACTGGTGCACCTTATGCCAGTTTTAAATGATCTAACGTAGTTATTTAGTAGCATCTGCACTAAGATGTGCTTGTATTTCAAACTTTCTTTGATTTGGGTCACTTGAACCAATAACCTAACTTGCCTTTAAAGGCAGAATCGTATCCTCTAAAAGACTCATTAGACAATCCTTTAATAGGTCTGTAATGCTTATGGTATTCGATAGCTCATAGAGCTATATGGATGGATGTTTATTTGTGAATTAAGTAATGACGTCTTTCATTCCACCTACATCGAACCCAAAAAACTTCAGATGGACAAACAAACTTACCTAGTAGCTATAGATGCCATCTCGACCAGGTGCGGACGTCAACATGACGTAGGCATCGGGTTCAAGCAGTGTTTATTTCCGAAGAATCGCAAACTCGTTCCGATGTTGATCTTGGGATAAAGGCAATGTCCTAGTGGTATAAAACAGGTGGTGTCCAGCACTCATGGTCATTCGGTCGTGGACGACTGTGGTACTGTGATACTTGTGACTTACGGAATTATTACATGTAAGTACCTTTATTAAACTTTACTTGAGCCACATTTTAAGTCAACATCTATTACTTTAATTATTACTATTTAAAATTGCTATAATTTTCATACACTTGGAATAAAGTTGATTGGCGAAGGATACTTTTAGCATTAAGTCCACCTTTTGTTTATTATATTTGTTCAATAAAGTTTTCAAATAAAATAATAGATTTTCCATATAAACTTATTTTGCTCTTATTATGTATATTAAAAGGGCTTGCTCCTTATTAGAAAACACACACGCAGAGCTTATTATAGAACGAGCTTGCGCAGAAAATGACTAGTCATTCGTGCTATAAAAGGATAAAAGATAGAGAGGTACGACGCGTAGATATGATAAAGCATAGACTATTGTACTCCACATTACGCTTGCTAGTTCATTTGTAGATAATAATAGTAGTTATGTCCATCTATAAAAATTAACGAAAAATAAAGGTGGAAATAATTTAAAAAATAATGTTGTACAATGTTGGCAGACCAATAAATAAAATGAAAAATGAATTAAAAATAATTTTAAACCAAAGCTGCCTTTGAATTTTCTTTCTGTTTGAAAGTTGGCACACATCCTTAAAACTATCTATAAAATGATTTGTTTTTGTTATTAAATAGTACCTAATAGTAGTATTTAAATTCAAACCGGCAACGTTCTTGACTTAAATTATTAAAATCTATTCCATTTTCCTTTGTTTTCATCTACTAAATACACATTAATTAAAAACAAAATTATCCACCATTCCAGCATGAAAACCTTCGCAATTTGCCTACTAGCCCTCGTCGCAGTGGTGTCTGCGTACCCGCAGGCCAAGTACACCGACCGCTATGACAGCATCAACTTGGACGAGATCGTAGGGAACAGAAGACTGCTGGTGCCGTACATCAAGTGTATCCTCGACCAGGGCAAGTGCTCGCCGGAGGGCAAGGAGCTTAAATGTGAGAGGTTTTTTTATGCATAACAAGGCAGGTATTTGACTACAATCGCACATGTGTGCTTACCATGAGTTTACGTTAGGTGCACTCGCTAGCGAGTACGTCAAAGAAATCTATGAAGATTTTATTTCTTGAAAGTAGCCGCTAGGGGCGCTGCACAATACATTTAATGTCATTTTTTTACGCAGTCGCTAGCAAGCACACCTAACGTAAACTCATGGTAAGCACACTGAAAGTGGGATGCAGTCTAGGATGGTACATATCTGCCCTGTAAGTGCCTATTCACCTTGAAAAGACCCGGATTATAGTCTTCGGGTAAGACAGCAGCAGGCAGCGAATTCCAGTCCCTAGCTGTTCGCATTATAAAAGAAACGCTTAGTGCGAGCTGGTGGAATGTTAACAATATAGAGATGGTACGCTAACCTGCGTCTGGTTCCCCGATGATGGAAGGGGGCTGGTGGAATTGGTTTAGTCTTCTATTATAAGGACTATGCCACTTTGGAAATTGTTACTGGTCAAGAAGGTTTTGTTTATATGAGACTGTAGAGATATGATTAAGCACATACTCATCATCGTCATAATCTTTAGGAGGAAGACCTTCCCTAATTTTTTATTTATTTGACCTACACACGATGGCCAGATCAGTTGAGGAGGCAATAAGTTTTACATTAATAGTTTTTTCACTAAGCGACAAGCTCTTGTACTAAATTATATTTTTGCATCTTTGTTGTAGAGTCTACAATTCAGTAATTGTAGACAGTTCTACAATGTAGACATTGAGTTATATTACTTCAATGGTTGTAGACACCAAAACCAATTAGGGTTGTTAACTTTGCATCAACTTTAGATTATGTGTGACGTCATAAAAATCTACAAAACCCTAACCCTCGGTTTGGAGCGTGATACCTGGCATCGCATCGTAAAGTAGTATAAGCATTCTTTCTTACACTGTACGTACGTACTTCCGAAACATCATAACAAAAATGCATTTTATTAATTATCATGTTTCTTTCAGCTCACATCAAAGAAGCCCTAGAGAACTACTGCGCCAAGTGTACTGAGACGCAACGCGACGGAACGCGCAAAGTCATCGGGCACCTCATCAACAACGAGTCCGAATACTGGAACCAGCTGACCGCCAAGTACGACCCGCAGCGCAAGTACGTCGTCAAGTACGAGAAGGAACTCCGGACTGTCAGCTAGGCTAGGAAATCTGTGATAATTGTGAGATGTAAGACTTGAAAATGAAATAAATAAGTTATTTTCGAACTTTATTTTTTTATTGTTTCAATTGAAGAGATTCTTGTGAAAGAAGGTGATTTTGTAAAAAAAAGCATCTAAGACAAGATCTTATAATTATGCTTTTTTTTTCAAAATCACCATTAATCAGTAGTCGCTTTATTACAGAACAGCTCTAGGTACCTAAAAGAACCACTGAAGCCATTAAGTTTACAAAATAAGTAACAAACAACTTGTGTCATCGGGAACCTCATCAACAACGAGTCCGAGTACTGGAACCAGCTGACCGCCAAGTACGACCCGCAGCGCAAGTACGTCGTCAAGTACGAGAAGGAACTCCGGACTGTCAGCTAGGCTAGGAAATCTGTGATAATTGTGAGATGTAAGACTTGAAAATGAAATAAATAAGTTATTTTCGAACTTTATTTTTTTATTGTTTCAATTGAAGAGATTCTTGTGAAAGAAGGTGATTTTGTAAAAAAAGCATCTAAAGATGTAAAACCCAGCAGTGGACGTCATTATTTTAGCTGAAACGAAAGAATGATCCTAAGAAGGACTTTTGAAAGCTCTCTTTTACTAGTACAAAATGTAGGACAGTATTGAGTTAGAAGCAGTATAGTTACTACCTACAGGATTTGATGCTTAGTAAAGTGTACACGTTAATGTGAAATGACAATAAATTCATTTAAAGAAATGATTTATTTGTGGTTTGTAGATTTTTTTTATTACAATTTATAAAATTGATACCAACATTGAAATGCAAGTATAAAGTTAAAATAAGACTTGTATGATCGAAACAGAGTTTGAGCAAATTATCATATAACAAAAATCTATCACAAATCATAATTTCATCTGTTTTTTATCATTGTCCCTTATTCTTTAGCAGCCAGGAAGGGCTCGTAGATGGTCTTGAACTCGCCCTTAGGGTCGTACTTGTTGATGAGTTCTTCCCAGTACTCCTTCTCGTTGTCGCGGATGTGGTTCACCACCTTTCTTGCACCAGTTTTCTGTTTGTCTGTACATTTCTCGCACGCGGTCTGCATAGCGTCTTTCACGTGAGCTGTAAAACGAATGATCGTTAGGATAAAGCTAGATCATCATTACCATTATCATCATCATTATAAACTTGATCATTATTATTGGTAGGACGTTTTAAGCGATTGTCTGCCAGGGTCCTTTAGTCAACAGTGTCTATGTAGAGACCTTTATCAATTTTTTTTATTAAATAATAAACACTTAAAATGAACTCGTAAATTGCATTCTTTTTAAAATCTATTCTTGTAAAACATTGGTTTTACGCTTTACTTGCTTTATTATTATCAAGACATGAGTGCCATGACTGTGGCTGTAGTAAATGTATGGAAGCTGGAAACATTGAATTTTCGGATGGATCCAGTTTATTTTGTAACCTATTATTGGTACCGTTGGATAGAGTTCGTGAAGCACTTTCAGGATTAGTAACCAGTTTTAGAATATCTTGTATAGTTTTTAATATTATGTGGTTTTACTAAATTTATGGAAACTGGAAACATTGAATTTTCAAATAGATCCAGTTTATTTTGTAACCTATTATGTTTTTAAAGAGTTTGTGGAGCACTTTCAGAAGAGCCCTTTCAGAGGAGCGCTTTTCGATATCTTGTATAGTTTAGAAATAATCGAGTGAGATCACTTAACGTTTCCACCCTGTATAGCGCAAAATCAAAATCAAAAGACATTTTAAAATTTCAGGGGCTCTGAATGTCACTTTATTTCTCGATTTCAAAGGGGATTTTTTTTCCATATTACATAATACCTAATACTTATATTGGCACAGTACTTAGGTATACAAGAGCCATATAAAAACAAGAACTTGCAAATTCTAAATACAATAGAAGAATCACGCGCTGGTTGCCGTTAAAAAGAATACAATAGCAAATTGCCTATAATATGTATTTTATCGCCATTTATTGCACTTATCCGGTGTTATTGTTTTTGCACTCTTTAAACATTAATTAATCTTTAACATTAGTGGGTTTTGCTGAATGCTATTTTAATTGCAAAATGTCACGCTAGGAAATGAAATATTGAATTTAACAATAACGGCAATGCAAATGGTCGCAAATTACACGAAAAGACCTATGAAACTGAGAAAATTAAATTATACAGTATCTTATCAGTTTGTTCTAAGTGCATGAACGATTGCAATACTCATTAACTTCATATCAACTCATTCCAGAAATTGAATTCATTGATCATCATGATTTGATTGAAGGGCTACTAAATTAACGGAAAATTACCAAAGGGCAAGATTTGGGGATTTGGATGCCACGATGCGTTTTAAAACCTTAACCACGAGCAAAAAATGGCTCGATGACGCACATACGCGACAAGGTTTTATGCACTTAAAAGAAAAAAGTACCCGAATGCTGTTGACATTAAAGATTAAAAGATGGAAGATTACCAAACAAATTAATTTCAAGTACGAAATGAGGAAAATTCACTTGATATTAATGAACGCAATTCTTAACAAAAAGTTGCACATTGAATTCAGTAGAACTTAAATGCCCTTTTGTATTCAGGAACGTTTTGTTTATGGATGTTTTTTTAACTTATTTGCCATTAATTAATACTCAGTAGTTAATTGTTGTCCATGGGTCTACTGAGACACAAAAATATCGTTGCAAAATCCAACAGAACCGCGAAAGCTTGCTAAAAAATATTTCGTTTGTTTTTATCTACACTAATATTATAAGGAGGAAAACTTTGTTTGTTTGGTCGGTCGTAATGAATAGGCTCAAAAACTACTGGACGTTTTTAAACATTCTTTCACCATTCAAAAGCTACATTATCCACGAGTAACATAGGCTAAATTTTATTTTGGAAAAAAATAGGCGCGTCCACTATAGGCTTTTTAATGTAGTCCACGCGGGCGAAGCCGCGGGCGGAAAGCTAGTGTTCAATAATGGTCCAACAACGTAATTACTTAAAAAGTTAAATCAAAATAGGGAGTACTAACCTTTCAGCTCTTTTCCTTCAGGAGTACACCGTCCTTTGTCCAGGACACACTTGAGGTACGGGACTAGCAGTCTCCTGTTTGCGATAATTTCTTCAATATTGATGTCATCGAATCGATCAGTGTACTTCTTTTCGTCAGTCTGTTCTTCTTTCTTTTCTTCTTTTTTCTCTGTTTCTTCTTCAGCCAGCGATTGGGTTACTAGCGCCACAACTGCCAGCAAAATTATGATGCGACGCATCCTGAAAATAAAAAAAAAATACCTTCCTGAAAATGATAACACTAACCTTACTTAAGAAAATATCTACAAATTTAATTATTAAATGTATAAAAAGTTATCTCATATTAATATCATGATCCATGAACATAACATCTTGTTATAATTTAGTTGATTGTCATGAAAAAGTTACAGTGGACTTTTCAATTATCTTTAATTTGAAATAAACCATCAGAAAATTCATGATTGCTGAAAAGTTATAAATAAGTACGATTTATTTTTATTTCTGTGGCATAACTAAAACTACGATCTTACTTGATTCCGATGTTTTTGCTCTTAAGGATCTCGTAAAACTGATGCTTTTAATCCAGTTGTGCTGATCAAATGTAAATCGATTACATTTATACCCTAGATCATTGTCAGCTGCTGCATAATTGCGGGAAAATCTGGTCTTCTATTGTTAGAGGTATTACACAATTATCGATTTTCATTCAGTCCGTTTTATCCTGACATTTCCGACGTTTTTATAATGTCGCGGATGTGGTTTCAAAATCTCTAGTTATGATTCGAAAATGTAGAATAGTTTTTTAGGAGCCTCTTACAGCTCTTAATGGCTTTGGACATTTCGTAGACTAGTTTTTATAATACTATAAGCTGCATAAATCAAGTGCCAGTGGGCGGGGCACATAGCTCGTAGAGATGGCCGCTGGGGCAGAAAAGTTCTGGAGTGGCGTCCACGAGCCGGAAGACGTAGTGTGGGCAGGCCTCCCACTAGTTGGATCGACGATCTGGTGAAGGTCGCGGGAGGTGCCTGGATGCGGGCGGCGCAGGACCGGTCTTTGTGGAAAACCTTGGGGGAGGCCTTTGTCCAGCAGTAGACGTCTTTTAGCTGAAACGAACGAAAGCTGCATAACATAATTTATGTCATCAATTCACTCGCCAAAAACTACTCAAGCTCCAGTTATACTTATTTAGGATCAGTAGACGCGTAGTATTTAATCTTGAACATAATTATTATGAATGACAAGCCCAGAATAAGGTAACGGCAACTTCAAAAACATAACAAAATGATTTTTTGACTAAACCAGTTTGTGTTATGGCGGCAGTGTCACACAACTGTAATTTTAGCTTTACTTTTTTCAAAGAAACATATTCTTTTAAAAGTATTGTTTTTCGTATTAAGCTTTAAAAGAACTTTCACATAATTTAACTCTACCATTTGGATTATAATAGAGCTTAAACCCGCTAGAAGTGTAATGGTTTGCAGTAAATGAAAGAAAGAAAGAAGAAAGAAAAAATGTTTATTCAGTATCATCGACAATACACTTGCAATACTTAACATTATTTAATGAGAACGTAATTACAATGATACTGAAAAGGTATCCACTCAGCATGGTGTCGTAGCATCTCAGTAGATAATGCCACGACGCTGGTCTTCCGTGGACACCCAAACAGGGAGAGCACTACTGAGCACAACAATTGCTTATGAATCATGATACATAATAATATAAATACCTCATAAATACGTTACATATTGTACACCTTATATTTAACTCTTTACATAATTATGAGAAAGTTAGCACACAGTTACCATAACAACCATAGCAATACATGTTACTGATGAAACGTGGAACTTGAAGTGAGTGTATTTCAATTTACATTAATTTCAGTTTGCTGTCCTATAATGAGTCTTTTTGCAAATTTAAAAGGAAACCTTTGTATTTATATTTAAAAGAAAACAATGAGAAACATTTTTTAAGGGGTGGAGGGATGTTGTTCCAACATTTCGTGGCTGAGTATCGAAAACTTCCACGAAATGCAGCTGTACTGTGGCTAGGACAACATAGAAGAGAAGCAGTTCTGATACGATTAGAAAATAACAATTTGTCATATAAATATGAGGGCGATTTATTTTGGATTACACCAAATAAAAGACATGCATAATGCAGTGAACGTCGAGATTGCATATTAATTAAATTGTTGTGATTTAGAAACGGAGTAATATGAGACCTGGGAGGANCTGGTTGGCAATGGTTTCACTGTAGTGTAAAACCCTGATACTCGCCAATAGCACCAACTAGTGAGTGTAAATACGGCAGCTCGTGTAACCGAGCTAGTTTAGATGTTAACGTTGAGAAAAGGACTTCATAGTAATTCTCAAAATCTATAACAGAGTTGTATTTTGTCAGCTCATAAAAAGTATTTTAATTGACTGAGTGTTGTGATCCCCTACTTTGTTGGATGGATGAAGAAGGATTCTCTTGGAGAAACCAATTGTTATAAACAGTTAATCACTAGCAGGTTACAAAGTTAAACTTACACAAAGAACACGGGTCTTATAACAGGCTCTCCATACGCAGCGAAGAACAGCGTGTAGTAATACGGTAGCAGCGCGTAACGCAGTCTTAGCGCGGTTCGGCTCGCCGACACTACTGACGGTCCCAGGTTGTGAAGTTAATCCGGTAAACGTTATCCGAAGTATCGAATGTTGCCATCCCTCTCACGCAAAGCGAGATGTCATCATGAGCGACGGTGACAGAAAGACCAGCGTTTCGGAGTAGCTTTGCTGGAGTCTACGCTACACCAAACTCGTCGATATAACCTGGCGGTTAGGTGTCGATGGCTTTGTTTATAAGAATCACGTCAGCGACATGAATCCGCGCGTGTTGTCTGGCGACTTATGGCAACATGTCGGCGGCACGTATGCAACTTCCGTACGCGCTCATTTGCCCGCCATTTCTCTCTTCAAGCGACTCTACCAGAAAAGTTGCTGATTTCGTGCCGCCGATAAGTCTTATGTCGGGGGGTTTTGTAGTAAAAGAAGTAGCCTTATTATACTCACACAAAGAAAACGGGCCTTATAACAGGCTCTCCATACACGTGCGCAGCGAAGAACAGCGTGTAGTAATACGGTAGCAGCGCGTAACGCAGTCTTAGCGCCGTTCGGCTCGCCGACACTACTGACGGTCCCAGGTTGTGAAGTTAATCCGGTAAACGTTATCCGAAGTATCGAATGTTGCCATCCCTCTCACGCAAAGCGAGATGTCAGCATGAGCGACGGTGACAGAAAGACCAGCGTTTCGGAGTAGCTTTGCTGGAGTCTACGCTACACCAAACTCGTCGATATAACCTGGCGGTTAGGTGTCGATAGCTTTGTTTATAAGAATCACGTCAGCGACATGAATCCGCGCGTGTTGTCTGGCGACTTATGGCAACATGTCGGCGGCACGTATGCAACTTCCGTATGCGCTCATTTGCCCGCCATTTCTCTCCTCGAGCGACTCTACCAGAAAAGTTGCTGATTTCGTGCCGCCGATAAGTCGACGGGGGGTTTTGTAGTAAAAGAAGTAGCCTTATTATACTCACACAAAGAAAACGGGCCTTATAACAGGCTCCCCATACACGTGGGCAGCGAAGAACAGCGTGTAGTAATACGGTAGCAGCGCGTAACGCAGTCTTAGCGCGGTTCGGCTCGCCGACACTACTGACGGGCCCAAGCTCACTGGGTCTTGTGGCTGTAACACAAGGCACATGGTATTGATTGATGATTTTGTGTAGTGTATAGAAGGTATAAGACTCAATACTGAAGTGTTATCGATTATAAGACGGAGTTTGGTAACGAAAATAAAAATCACTTTTCTATTTCGATTGCATTTAGATCAGGCGCAATTTTCTGAGCCGTTGTCAGCCAGTTAGTCAAAATTTGCTAAAGTAGCAGCAGTCCGCTACTTTAGCAAATGGATAAGACTATCAGAGCAGAGTTGCGGTCTGAGTTAGTCAATTGAAACTGAGTAAGTTTCTCCGTCCCGCTTTTTCGCCCCACTACTTTGCAGATTGCGTTTAAAGTCCTGGTCGCCGAGCACGCAGAATTTCATCTAATGACCCCAAGCTACCCATACAGTCTTATCGCTCGCGCGTAATTATATTGCTGTCGCGACTGTGCGACGGGCGGCCACAGTGAGTGAGCGAGCGCGACAGCGGACTTTAGCAATGACGCATTGTGAGCTGAAAATCGCGTTTCATTGACTTAGGAAATCTTGCGTTTTTATGGCTGGGATCGCCTAATTATAAATATTTCATTCCATTTTTCACAGTGCGACGTTGAACAACGGCTGGAATCATCTAATAGTTCATTCCATTTTTCAGACAGTGCGACGTTAAACAAGTTTAATTCTTAACAAGTAGTACTCACACTAGAGCTGTCTGAGTTGTGATTCCGTGAGAAGGGATAGAAAGCTCCCAGCTGCATCCAGCGCCGGCAAAGTTCCACAGTTGTATTCCCACGGAAGCCGCAAATGTCGGCTCCCATCATCGGGATGGCGAATAAGTTGAAGTTCAGCAGCTCTGAGGACAAACGGTTTTAAATATTAATAATTATTATTACCAGTAAAGCTAAAATGTATAATACATTTTCTACATAAGATACAAATACTAAGACAGGAATTTATCGTGTCGTGACACACATCCTAGTCCGGCTAGTCATTTTGTTTCTACTAAAAATGCGCGACCGTTTCATTGTCTGACAGATAGAGTATTTAGCCTACGCTCCTCTTACTGGCCAGACGATAGGAAAGCCACAACAGGTGTTTTACTAAGCCTGGTCCGTGAGCACGTAGAATTTTGTCCAATGACCCCAAGCTACCCATCCTTATCGCTCGCGCGTAATTATGTTGCTGTCGCGCTCGCACACTCACTGCGGGCGCGCGTCGCACAGCCGCGACAGCAATATAATTACGCGCGAGCGATAAGGATGGGTAGCTTGGGGTCATTGGACAAAATTCTACGTGCTCACGGACCAGGCTTTAGCTATGAAATTGTCGTTTTGAACGAGAACTCTTTATTCTGTCTTCACAAAGTTTTGAAACAAAAGAACCATTTTATAATGAACTATTGGTAGAATAGAGACACAGGTCTGAAACACAGCAAATCAAGTATATAGATGACCCACGCTGAACTATCCCACCAAACTCAATGACAGAGGGGCGCTACCATCGTTCAACTATATGGTTTCCAACATGGCAAAAATCGGAACCAGCGATTCGGTATTGACGGTGGCGCCCCGCTGTCAATGTCATCGATAGGACAGTTCAGTATTTCGGAACTATAACAGCTTACCAGGTATAGTCATCCGCATGTCATGCCATTCGCTGGCAATATCGCCGCTCCAGTGGCCGGTGAACTTGCCCGAGCCAACGAACGTAGAGCGCGAGATTATGAACGGACGCTTGCCGCGGATGTCGCTTAGCGCGCTGCAAAAATACATAACATCTTTGTATTGTAGATACTATGTATTTGTAAAACCTTGAAGGAAAAGGTGACAGTCACACTTATTACTTGAGAACACTGGCTCACTTATTGTTTCGAAGCAGTGGAACGTTAAAAGTTATACTGAGATCCAGGTAATTCAGTCCCCACTATATGAGCACAACCATCTATATTTAACAGAAACAAATGGAGGACTAATTGCCAGAAGTAGATGGAGAATTTGGCCTACACTTCCCTCACCAAATAGGTTGGGGAGGCTGGATTTTTGCATTTTTATACCTTAGTCGCTTTTTAGGGTTCCGTAGTCAAATGGCAAAAAACGGAACCCTTGTAGACACGTCATGTCTGTCTATCTGGCTTTTTTTACGGCATCCTTGGATAGTGGAGGTGGACTTATACAACTGCTTGAACCATAAGACACAAAAAGCTAGGATCACTTTTCAACCGACTTCAAAAAAGGAGGAGGTTCTCAATTCGACCCGTATGTTTTTTTTTTTTTTTTTTCTATGTTTGTTACGCGTTAACTCCGCCAATTATGAACCGATTTGAACAAATCTTTTTTCGACGTATAGGTAATACCTCAAGGGTGGTCCCATTTAAATTTAATAATAAAAAAAACAACCCCCAAGGGTGGAAAATTGGGGATGAACTTTTTTATACGCAATATCTCCGTCGNGAATTTTGAACTCGCTGTATTAACTTTTTGGTATAACCAAAGAGGCACCCGCCCATAACAGTATCAGCATAATTCAGTTTTGATAATATAAGCGCTTCGCAAAGCTTAATTCTTATATTAACATCCAAGAACATTCTAATCTTATATAGCACGCTAAGCCTGTAGTAACAATTTCTTACTATTTCCAAGACATGGTTATGAAACCGTAGCCTATTATCCATGAGAACTCCTAAGTTGCGGGCTTCAGTTACTTTCTCGACATCTGTGTCTCCTATCTTAATTGCAGGATTTAACTTTTCTATGCTGCTAATCTGAGTCGCAGAACCCAGCACGAGATACTTAGATTTAAGCGGGTTCAGAACTAAACCATTTTTATTTGCCCATTTGTCAATCCGCTCTAAATCTTCATTGATTTTATTGACGGCAGTTAAGGTTTCACTAGGCTTGAATTGGAGATAAATTTGCAAATCATCTGCATACAAATGATAATTACAGTCTTTGATAGAACCAATCAAATCAGTGCTATATAAAATAAATAAAATTGGGCCCAATATGGATCCCTGCGGTACTCCACGACTTATTGGGGATGGCTTCGAACAAGATCTAGTACCATCCACACCAACCACCTCCACCCTCTGCGATCGTCCCTCAAGATAGCTGGCAAACCATCTAAGTGACCCACTGTCAAACCCATAAAATGACAATTTAGACAGTAAAAGATTGTGGTTTATAGTGTCAAACGCCCGCGAAAAATCAAGAAGGGTTAGTATAGATCCGTGTCCTATATCCTGTCCTGCTAAAATATCGTCTACTACATCCAATAAGGCCGTGGCTGTGCTTCGACCGGCACGAAATCCAGACTGTTTAGAGGGTAAGATGTTGTTTGCATTCAAATAATCAGTTAACTGCTGACAGACTACTTTCTCAATTATTTTGGACAAAAAAGGGAGGATACTGATCGGTCTAAGGTCTTTTAGTTCGCTTGGGGTGGTGGTTTTTGGTATAGGCTTGACAAGAGCCTCCTTCCAGATATCAGGAAAAATGCCAGTTCGAATAGACATATTGATCATTGTAGTGATTACTTTAAGTGTCCTTGGCANTAGTAATTATTTTTCGACGTTTTAGTGTAGGTTTTTTTGAAAATTGTTATGGTTATTTTTTCACGAAAACTGACGACATTTGGGACGAGCTTTTTATGAAAACAGGTTAAAAGTAAAACAACGGAATTAACATAAATTCAATAACAGTAGCAACAGATAAATCATGATTTAGATACTCACAAATTCGTCGCGATAGCTTCAGTCAGCCCATACAAATTGTGCATATCATAGTGCGGGCCGGAGTATTGCTTGGCGTCGATGCATAGCGTATGAGCTCGCAGATACGGGTCCGGTGTGTGCGGCTTGTAAGGTAATTCCTCGTCGGAGCAGTGGCCTTCCTTGATACCATCCACGAAGTTCGATGGCTCGTTCATGTCCTGGGATAGTTTATTATCATCATCAGGGGGCGTAGTGTGAGTTTACGCCAAACGCATTTGTAGTGGACAGCCGCTTGGGCGGGCAAAAATAAGAAATACCTTCGGTTGAAATAAAGGTTTATTCTTGCCTAAAAATGCCCAAACGGCTATCAAAACAAAAACTTCAAAACTAAAAAGTAAAGGTATCAAAAAGAATAAAAATATAGATAAATAACAAGAGGTTGGTCCACCTATCGGTTCCCAACAGCATTCGATGTCGACTGCGTAAAAAGTGACATTAATAATGTATCTCATAGTAAACACGACTCTTCCTACTAGATGCTACAGGACTATTATCACCTCTCGTTCCCACTGCTGTAACTCCTGTGCATTCAGGATCTATAGCTTGACCGTCAATAAAAACTTGACCAGTGAAGGTCAAGTTTGTCCTGTGTTACTAGATATTTGGCCTACACTCTCAGGGTGGCTGCATATTTGGACATCCACAAGAAGATTTGGGGGTATTTTACTCTGCCAGAATCACAAGGAGATATTAATTTTTTGCAGGCGTATAAAGGAGGAAAATGTTAACTAACTGTATCACGCGTTTTACATTATAAAATAAGCTCTTTTCTGCTTCTCAATTCTAAGCCAAAATTATTAAATTTTGAATTACACCAACTCCATTTAATGACAATAATATAAAGTCACTCACGATCCACGCGCCGTCGTATTTGACCTTCTTATGGAAATCTGTCATCATATCCACCCAGAACTGAGTCCCGTTCGGGTGGGTGAAGTCTGGGTACACCGTGCTTTCTCGGTTCCATACCTGTTAAAGTAATAAATAATACATGAAATAGAGCATAAGTAATAACTCAAAATTCGTTGTATTTGCCTACTTGTTAGATGTGTGAATAAAGTTTCCGTGTACATATCTTATTACCATATTATGTTATAATTGGATTATTGGATATAATGTATGTCTATTTGTAATGTATAGTGAGTGACTACCAGCAAATCAAAGTATTAATTTTGTTGAGCGTGTGTGGCGTGTGAGGCGGGTCGCTACATTCCCTACAATATGGTCGAGTGAAGCGATGGCTGGTTCACACGTCATGTCTGTGAACAGGCGCTGCCTTCGGGGACTGGTCAAGACAAGATATACCTACCTTAAATTTTTTAACATAACAATTAACAATCAACTTATAGCCTGACCAGGAACATAAAAACCCTCGCCATGTTGCGGAAAACTAATGGTACTAATTTCTTTTAATGGCAACAGTAACTGAAAACTTCATTGACATGTCACCTTGCATGTCAGTCTATTGCTGTCAAAGTGTAAACAAACTTTATTTTAAATGTGCGCAATTGGTTTTATGAATTAAATTGCTAAAATATTTTTATAGTCGTGAAAGAAAAGTGGTTCACAATGTGTTAAAGTATTTGTCAAATTGACTGACATGTTTATCGTATAGTACAGTCCACTATGAAAATTAGCTGTGGTTTGTTTCAACTACCTATTTTAAAAAAATTTGACACTTTCTAAGTGTTGAATTTTATGGGATTGGAAAAGAAGTACCGAGTTTGAAGCGTTCATGAGCAGACATTGCAGTTGAATATTCAAGTTCTGAATTTGATTATTGATGAATAATGTTGCACTACCGTGCCCCCAAATATAATAGTTTTTCCTTGATTCATACACCAAACACTACTTATATTCCAAATTTGAAGCTTCTAGGTCTGCTAGAAGTGCCTTAGAATTTTGATGATCGGTGAGTCAGTCAGTGAGTCAGTGAGTCAGTGAGTGACAAAATTAAGTAACTTTGACCCGTTATAATTCTTAAACTACTGGTTCAAAATCAATGAAATTTTAAATATACCGTGTCTTTACAATGCCTGCATAGCTTATGAAAATTCAGCCTTCTAGTTTTATCCACAACGAAGTTACAGGCGGTCGAAAATGGCCTGAATTGCTTCGAGAAAAGGATGGTACGGCCGTGCCGCTTTTTTGCTCGACTTGGTGGGGGCACTGCCGTGCCCCCAGATATTTCTATAGATTATCACTACATAGTATAAAACAAAGCTTCTGCTGTGTCCCTATGATGCTTAGATCTTTAAAATCTTTAAAACTACGCAACGGATTTTGATACGGTTTTTTTAATAGATAGAGTGATTCAAGAGGAAGTTTTATGTATACTTAACACCCGTGCGAAGCCGGGGCGGGTCGCTAGTTCAATAATAAGATGGATATTTCCAGGAAAATATATGAGTTGCTTTCAGACTAAGCCCCTGTACGTCAAAAACTAGTTATCAGAATAATCAATTTGCGGATTTGATCATATGATTTTAGTCAGCCTTATTATCTTAGGAATAGGGTAGTTAATCTATCGAATACCAAAGTTTTATTCAACCATAGCGGATTTCAGTGGAGAAGGCTAGAGCGGGATATGGTTTGAACTAATCCGACGAAAGTCCGACTTCTGCGAAATAGCTTGGCTTGACTAAGTACATTAATACTACGTGGTATCCTACGTTAGCTACAAAATGTAGGGCGACGTACTAATTCTAGTACGCCGAAACTGATACAGTCGAAATATCATTACTTAGGCTGGGTTGCACCATCTTACTTTAACATTGACAAACGTCAAAAAGCTGTCAAAATCCATACAAAAAACACCGGTTACCGTCAAAGTTACGGCCAAAGTTGAGTGTGCACCACTCAACTTTGCCTTACCCAGCCTTAAACCTAATAAATGTCACTAATGTCGGTAATTCGTTTAGTTTTATTTAATTTATATTGTTTTGAATGGTGGAAATTTATTTCTGTTTCTTGGAAAATGTCTACTGAGGGCTTAGTGTGAGTTTACATCAAATGACGTCACTAGTGAGCGCGTAAAAATACATATGTATGACGTACAGCATCCTTAGCGGACATTTCAAGAACTAAAAATGTTATACAGGGTGTTTGGTAAATGGGTATATGAGCCGACACTAGCCCATGTTAACATGGGCATATAAATGATATGGTGAAGTCAGAAATTTGATATCATCATTTTATTTTTTTAAATTTTCATACGAAATAAATTTTGTAAATTCCGATTTGTATAAAAATTAAAATAGTTAAAATGAAGATATCAATTTTCTGACTTCACCATACCATTTATATGCCCATGTTAACATGGGCTAGTGTCGGCTCATATACCCATTTATAGCCTGACCAGGAACATAAAAACCCTCGCCATGTTGCGGAAAACTAATGGTACTAATTTCTTTTAATGGCAACAGTAACTGAAAACTTCATTATAATGTCACCTTGCATGTCAGTCTATTGCTGTCAAAGTGTAAACAAACTTTATTTTAAATGTGCGCAATTGGTTTTATGAATTAAATTGCTAAAATATTTTTATAGTCGTGAAAGAAAAGTGGTTCACAATGTGTTAAAGTATTTGTCAAATTGACTGACATGTTTATCGTATAGTACAGTCCACTATGAAAATTAGCTGTGGTTTGTTTCAACTACCTATGTTAAAAAAATTTGACACTTTCTAAGTGTTGAATTTTATGGGATTGGAAAAGAAGTACCGAGTTTGAAGCGTTCATGAGCAGACATTGCAGTTGAATATTCAAGTTCTGAATTTGATTATTGATGAATAATAAAATAAATTCTACTAGCTCGATTGATGGTTTCATTTAATTTATTTAAATCAGGTTACCTATAATAATATTTTTTCGTTAATTTATGAAAATATCAAATTAGCACGTAATCCTGAATCCTGATACATAAAGTTAGCCTATTAATTTAACACAGGTACGACTGTACTCAGTGTTGCACTATCAAATGCAATTGACGCGCCTCTATGCCAGGGTTTTTATGTTCCTGGTCAGGCTATAGACAGTGGCACGGCACTAAATATAAGTATATACAATTTATTTAAAACTACCACACGGTTTTGTTATGGTGCCTTGCTTTTCTCTCTAGAGTTTTCTTGCCTTGTCTCCTAAATAGTTTTATATCTGGCACTTAGCCAGAAGGATATCTTAGACTTGTCATGCTCACTAAAATGTCTCTGGGGTAGTGGCGTGTGAGGCGGGTCGTTACATTCCCTATAATATGGTCGAGTGAAGCGATGGCTGGTTCACACGTCATGTCTGTGAACAGGCGCTGCCTTCGGGGACTGGTCAAGGAAAGATATACCTGACATAAAATATATGTATCAAAACGCAAAAATTAACCTAGAAATTAGCACGGCACTAAAGAAATATATTCAAAACTGCCACGTGGTCTCGTGCTAGATGGGCGTCTTAAAGGCCACCTTCTATCAACGGGAGCGCGTGGTAAGTTGCTTCTGAATGTATGTAACTTCCTACTTTTTTATATTTTTTATATTTTTAAACCGGCAGACAGTGGTGACTGAGTTTGTTGCGGCGCTTCTTCTCAGCACTTGCCAAATGTTTGTCTCGAAGCGCTGGTAGGGCAAAAAAAGAATAAGACATGTATAGGCTCCTTAAGAGCATTTGACGATTTGCAAGAACTAATTTAATTAGTCTAAACAAATAAAGATAATTTTGATTTTGATTTTGTTGAACAATAGAATTTCTTTATTGCGGTAAATGTGGTACAAAATAGTGGATAAACAATGAATGTCCGTTTCACACATCTAACCAACGACAATTGGCATGCAACATACAGTGAAACAGAAAGTACACAATTATGTCCAAATAAAGTCACTAAGACTATAAAAATTCAACTAAAATAATTAATAATAAAATACACTCAATGATAATAAACAAAATACATTTCGATTAAAAAAACATCTTACCTTCCCAACAAACGGTTGGTTAGTGCCATTCTTGATGAACACATCCATTTCTATGCCCTTGTCGTATGGCGGGTAGGAGCCGGGTTTTTCCGATGCACTTATACCAGGATCTGTAAATATTAAGGAGTACAAATAATAAAATAAGCCAAACCTAGATAACATTGTAGTTTGGTTCACTTTTGTGAATTCTTCGTAAACTAACAAAGTATCGCAAAATTATTACTTCATAAATATTGGCTTGAATATTCAGCATCTAGATGCTGACTAAATGACTAGTCATTTGGCAAGACTTTTTCTAATTTATCAGAAGCAAATAAACAAAATATTCAGCTACAAAATGGCCAGATGGGTTAGGGAGGTCTGATTCAAATTTAAAAAGCTGTTTACACGTCCCTGTATTACTTTAACCCTAGCACTGCTTCGGGACAATAAATGGGTCAGTGTTGAGAAGCGCACAAGAAACTTAGTCACTTTTGTCAGCCGTATTGTTGATGTTCGCATATTTGTGCCATTCACCTTTTACGCATTCCACAGGAATACTGAACTAGTTGTTTTCATCAGAGGGCAAACTGTAGACCCTAGCTTTACAGGAATTTCAGTGGTGGCAAATAGACTGAAGTGGAATTAGTCCAATATCCTGGGACATATTTAGTTGCGGGACTAATGACAATTTAACTTTGCCTCGGGACAAACTTGATCTTCACTGGTTGGGTTTTTATTGGCGGTCAAGTTATAGATTCTTGCTAGAAATGGGAACGAGAGGTGGGAATAGTCCCGTGCTAGGATCTATAAAGATAAATAAATAGCCCGTACTTACCCAAAAGCATAACATAATGCATGCCCTCCTTATGCAGTTCGTCCACGAATTCTGGCAGGCCGGCGTACGCGACTGTATCGTATGTGAAGTCGTTCGCATCCTTCATGTAGTCGAGGTCGTTCCATTGCACGTCCTGCGAGACGAAAACGGAACTATAGAAAGGTGTGATAATGGCGACGAGAGATATTTCAGTAGAACGGAACGGTAGCGCGCATAAGACGCGCGTCCTGTCATTGGCCATTGATTTGCACGCGTTGGTTTGGCTGAAGCTTAATGTAAAAAAGCATGTGCAAGTAACTAGCGCAATGTTAGTATACTTTATACAATTTTCGATTTTATTTCCAACTATAAAAATAATTCAATTTATTAAAAGAAGAACTGTTTAAAGTACTTACAAAGGGAATACCCGCGTCTCTATTGGCTTTCCAAACGTTTCGTGTCGTGTTCAGCGACAGATAGTTGTATCTGAAAAAGTAATAGAAATTAAATTACATAATGTAACAAAATATTAGATTTTATTTGCGATTACTAGACGCGTACGCATCTGTGTACGTCTGCTTGCAGCAAGGCTTCGCTAAATAGAACGCGTATAAAGCGCGCGCTAAAGCGCTAGACTGACGATGCGCTATAGCGCCAAATTGTGTTAGTAGAACGCGTCTGTACGCTACGTCGTTGCTTAGTGACTTTTATTATGGTCCCGTAAGCATGTTTTAGGCATCCTAAAATCTACCAATTGCTAGATTCACTTCATCATCATTTCAGCCATAGGACGTCCACTCCTCTAATGATTTCCATATTGCCTGGTAGCTAGTGGCCTGCGTCCAGCGCTTACCTGCTACCTTTATGAGGTCGCCGGTCCACCTTGTGGGTGGACGTCCTACCCTTTCACTACACCTAGACAACTGTCATCCGCTTTACAATGGAGGGAAGTCAAACCTCCTAATATGTTCTTCTGATTAATTTCGTTGCGGGTCCAATGACAGTTTAACATTCCCCCGGGACAAACATGACCTTCATTGGTTGGGTTTTTATTAGCGGTTAAGCTGTAAATCTTGGCTACACAGGAGTTGCAGCGGTGGGAACGAGAGGTGGGAATAGTCTCCTACACCTAGACACCCTCAAACCTAATAAACTATTGACTCACTTGCACAGATGGAAGCCAAGCGGCATGAAGGGCCGGCCCACCAGCGCCGCGTACTGCGCGGTAGGTAATGGCCGGTCGCCGAGCACGTGGAATTTCGTCCAATGACCCCAAGCTACCCATATCTCGCGCGTAATTATATTGCTGTCGCGCTCGCACACTCACTGCGGCCGCCCGTCGCACATTCGCGACAGCAATATAATTACGCGCGAGATAAGGATGGGTAGCTTGGGGTCATTGAACGAAATCCTACGTGCTCGGCGACCGGACTTTAGACTCACTTGCACAGGTGGAAGCCGAGCGACCAGTAGGGCGGCGAACGTACGACGAAGAAGTTCAGAACACCCCCGATAGCGCGGTAGGTTGAATATAGTCCGGGCGCCGAGCACGTAGAATTTCGTCCAATGACCCCAAGCTACCCATCCTTATTGCTTGTAATTATGTTGCTGTCGCGCACGCACACTCACTGCGGCCGCCCGTCGCACAGTCGCGACAGCAATATAATTACGCGCGAGATAAGGATGGGTAGCTTGGGGTCATTGAACGAAATCCTACGTGCTCGGCGACCGGACTTCAGACTCACTTGCACAGATGGAAGCCGAGCGACCAGTAGGGCGGCGCGTCGAGGAGGCCAAAAAAAAAAAAAAAAAAATTGAAGCCATTGTAGCAGCGCCCGCACCAACCAATGTCACTCAATTAAAAAGTTTCATGGGTCTGGTAAACTTTTATTCTAAATTCTGTGCAAATATGAGTGATATTTTAAAGCCTATGTACGACCTGTTGAAAAAGAATGTTCAGTGGAACTGGACAGCTGATTGTGATAGGGCTTTTAATAAAATAAAAACAGTGTTAAGCAGTTCCCCTGTGCTCGCGCACTACGATCCAAACTTAGAGTTGATTTTGTCGGTTGACAGCAGCGCGTACGGCCTGGGCGCGGTGCTCACGCAGCGCCGCGCGGACGGCGCCGAGCTGCCGGTGTGCTGTGCCTCGCGCACTCTCAACAGTGCCGAAGCTAGCTACTCTCAGATAGACAAAGAGGCGCTCGCTATCGTGTTCGGAGTCACTAAGCACCATCAGTACCTATACGGGAGACACTTTACTCTGAGGAGCGACCATCGACCTTTAAGTTACATTTTTGGTAAAAATAAGGGTCTGCCGGTGACTGCGGCAAGTAGACTGCAACGTTACGCGGTTAAGTTAGCGGCATACGACTTCTCTATAGAATTCGTTAAATCGGAAAAAAACTGTTTTGCCGATGCTCTTTCTCGTCTTCCTCTAGAATTGACCAAAAAGCAACTACGAGGTGAAGACGAGGAAGGTAGGTATTTGCATTACGCACAAGATAGCTTTCCGATCAGTTTTAACGATATTAAAACGGAAACGGCAAAGGACGTGCTTTTAAGTAAAATATACGGATTTGTAATGTATGGTTGGCCGAATAGATACGCGTATAATGAAATTGAAAAGATTTATTTTAATAAAAAAGATTATTTATATATTGATCAGGGATGTTTAGTATGGGGTTATCGTATTGTGGTCCCAAAGTCATTACGAAATTGCATCATGAAAGAGATCCACGACGGCCACCCGGGTATAGTTAAAATGAAACAAATCGCACGTAATTATGTTTGGTGGGAAAATATAGATCGAGACTTAGAGGAGGTTGCGCGCGAGTGTTTACCGTGCCGGGAGCTGCGGCCCGCGCCCCCCGCCGCGCCGCTCCACTCGTGGCCCTGGCCAGCGGAGCCATGGGCACGATTGCACGTCGATTTTCTCGGCCCGTTCAATAATAATTATTATCTCATAATAATTGATGCACATTCAAAATGGATCGAAGTAGAAAAAGTCAACACGACCTCAGCCAACGCAGTTTGTGATAGTTTGAGACGTCATTTTTCTCGTTTCGGTTTACCTAAACGCATAGTAAGCGACAACGGACCGCCATTTTCATCTGCCGCTTTCGCTGAATATTTAAATTGTAACGGTATTAAACATACTTTAGTGCCACCATATCATCCCTCGAGCAATGGAGCTGCTGAAAACGCCGTGCGCACTATTAAAAGAGTACTCAAAAAGGCAGAATTAGAAAGAGAAGACACGAATAGGGCGTTGAGTAGATTTTTGTTTATGTACAGAAATACCGAACAGAGTACGACGGGACGCGAACCTGCAGTCGCCCTGATGGGCCGGCGGCTGCGCGGCCGCCTGGACCTGCTGCGCCCCGACGCCGCCGAGCGGGTGCGCGCGCGCCAGCTCGTCGAGGAGGCCCGGGACGAGGCCCCGTTACGCGTTGCCAAACAAAACGAGCCAATTTTGATACGTAATTATTCCAAGTCGGGCAATAAGTGGGAGGAGGGCGTGGTACATGAGCGCATTGGACCTGTATCCTACAATGTGACTACAAAGAACGGTCATACACATAAGCGTCACATCGATCAGATACTCGCTAGGAAGTCACGTCATTCACTGAGCCGAGTGATGGATAATTCGCATAACAAGTCAAATTCGGCTTGTTCTAAAGACACGTCGGTCGGTGACGGTGACCACGAACATGACGAGTCATTTGATAGTGCGGAGGAAGGATCGAGCACGGGCGCGGCCTCTCCGGCGCCGACCTCGCCATCGACGTTGCTGTCTCCGACGGCACAGCCTACTGATAAAATGCGCAGGGAAGCTGCTATACGTTGTTGCAAAAAACTTAAAAATGTTAACTAATTTGATTAATGTCGAGATAGGTATATAATTATTTTGATGTTACATTAAATACATATTTATATATGTTATAACATTATATACACATACGCTCATTTAACTTGTTATAGACTATATTTATTTGTTGTAACAGAAACGGAATGGTGGTGTTATATTTAGGAAGGAAAAGTGTTATGTATGTATAGTTATGCACCTATGTAGTTAGGCTCGCAGCTACGCCGCTGGGCGCTAATAAATCAGTTTACGTTCAACCGCTGTCTTATTGCTACGTACCTATCACAAACATTTCAAGTAGGTAATTAGAATTGTAATTAAACGCAGGGCAAAGGACGAAAACAGTAATTTAGTAATTACGTAATACGTCACGTTGTATTTCTGTGAGTTTTTAACACTAGTTAATAATAATACCTACTGTGTAACTCCAATTGAGATCGCGCGTCGTTCGTAGTTCGTGAATTTAAGATCCGCCATAACAGCTGAGTGGTGCGAACAGTTTTAGATGGTGGTTTTAGTAGGCGCTTAGGTAAAATAATAAAATAATTCAACTTTCCCTTCATACTTACCCGGGCTTAGGATCAGCCTTAGGACCGGCAAAATTCAATGCTTTGATAAGCACCCTGCATCGTGCTGAAGTGTGGCTGTCCCGGTACAGTCGCAAAACCGCACTACACAATTTCTCCGGCCAAGAATAATAATGCACGTATCATTAACACGTATTCACGTGAGGTGAATTGGTAAGACAACGTAATAATTGCACGACACTATTGACTTGATTGATACAATGTTAACAAGACAGTTCACGACCGATCAAGAGCTCGCGCGCGCGCAACTGACCGCGGCCGGCCCGCGGCGGCCGAGCGAGCGAGACGGCGGCGCGGGGCCGCGGGTGATAATGGCCGCCGCACAACAAACGTACACCGCCGCCTTTAGGAAGCGTCGGGCCGGCAACGTCGCATCTCTCTCCATAGTAACGGGCGGCCTTGCGTTGCCGCGTTGAGTGTAAATATTGCTAGCGACGCGTGTGTCCAAATATTACCAATTTTGGGATGAAATTTTGAGTAGCTTTAACTTTTTTTTTTTGCATAAATAGGATCAGTATCAATAACTCATTACCCAGATTTTTTTTTCGGTGATAAAAATGTAGTGGTGTATATTAAGTTTATTTTACATTAAGCGGTATGTCATCTCGTTCGATGATACTGAATGATGATGAGATTGATTCGTGGGTTTACCTGCAGTCTGCTGCGGCGAGGCGACACCTTGGTCGTGCTTCAAAGCGGGTTCTTCCTTCGCTGGGGGCGCGGGCGCGGGCGCCGCCGCCGCCGCTACTTTATGTTTATCGCCCACCTAATACGATATTTTACTCTTGTTTCAATAAATATTTGAAGTATTTGAACGCAGGTAAGGTTCAATGTTGCATGCAGGAAAGCTTCAAGAACTTAAATGTATAAATCAACCAAAGCTATTCAAAATATGATGCTTTTACTTTAGAGTAAAACTAACCTGGTGGAAGTCACTTTCCCTCATCATGTTGGGAACCTTATTGCGTAGTTGACCACTGTATCCGGTAGCCAGCACATACAAATCTGGTCTTTGAGTCTTTTCTTCTTCTTTTACCTGATAAGAAAACAAAGGTTTTATCAGTTTTATCCTATTACCTACTAACAATGGAATGACGCGGATAGAAAGTTATTTTTGAATATAAAAGTACAAAAGGGATTTAAATGAAATAGAAGTTTTGTGCACTTCACGCAAATTTTCGCGAGAGTTCTCTAGTAAAAAAGAATTATCAGCAATATTTATTATTTAAATACACAGAAAGCAAGTTAGTGCTAATACAGTAAGGAGCTAACCTTGTCCACTTTCCTCTCGATGATCTGTGCCAACTTCTCAAGCACAGGGAAATGTGGCAGGACGCGTATCAACACAATCAGCGCGTTGCGGATTTGCACGTAGTCGCCTGAATCCAGGCACACCACCATAGCCTTGGTGATCTTGTAGTGCCACTTGTGGCACACATGTCTGGAAGCAATTAAAATAAGTAATAATTGCTGACATGAGGCAAGGGAAATGGTATCGCTGTTTGGCTAGATTTGTGATTATAATTAAAAAAAAATAAAAAAAACGTTTATTTGGCACAACACAATAAAATTGAGAATGTTACTAGGTATGCAAAATCACTTGAAACCTATGTTACAGTTAAGCTTTTACATTTACAAATACATTAGTTTTTATTTCATTCAAAAATACCCAGTAGTTATGATTTTATAGGCATTCAAAGTTCGCTTAATATTGAGTCCCGCCGACGGTCACGTGACCCCGTGTGACGTACATTCACAGCGTCCGCTCACTAGAAAACGGATATAAACATACTTAAATATTTTTTTTTTGTAAATACAAACTTATTATACATATTAACACCCAGACCCATCACAGAAAATAAATTGAACCAAACCCAAACTTGATGCGATTGTGTCATTTTATTGCGAATTAGCTTCCAGCTCCATCATTAGACCCCGATTACTATATAGAATTAAAATACTCATCAATACAAAACGAACGAGCCCAAACTCGATGCATTTAAGTCGTTTTATTATAGAGTTCCTATGGCCACCTTCCAGCTCCATCATCAGATCAGCTCCATGTCATCATAATATTGCATGGTCATCCAAATCACATGTGTTTGCGAAATTTCAGCTTAATCGGTTGCCTGGAAGTGGGTCTTAATTCAGCTTGCAAGATTCCACCCATACAAATATGAGCCAGTCACTGTAATATGACGTCACGCGCATAAAATGGCGGGCCGGCCGCCGCCCGCACTTTTAAAATTCAATATTTTGGAAACTAATTGACGTATCGAAATAATTCTTTCACGTGTATTTTTTATTTTTAACAGAGAATACAGAAAGCTAAATAACAAAATTAGTGAACATTCTTCATTACAAATTACAACTTGAAATTAAAAAATTAAATTGTACCAAACAGGTCCTCGCTCAGCATATGCCAAGGCACGTGGTACCTCGACGCTAATATTCTGCGAGCACCGTTTATAATTATGTAGAGGGCGTCCAGCCTTACAAAAACAAAAACAAACTTCTAAAATTTCAACAAAATAAAAACAGAATACCTACGTAAACACAAAATATTTTCGAAAATACCTGCAATATCGCTCAAAATAGTCATTAAGCGGTAACAAAATGCTTAGACGTGCTGTGGTGTAGTTGCAAATGTTATTTGATATGTTAACAAAACGCGTTGCCTTAAGCATGTTACGATACATTGAGCAAGTGTTGGCGGCTTGACAAATCGTAAAAGCGCTTTTATAAAAGCCTATTTGCAGAAAATAAATGACTTTTTAAGTCCTGTACCTGTAATTCTCATAGCCGACGTGGTCATTGGCCTCCGTGAACTGGTTGGAGACGCGGTACTTGGTGACGAAGCCGGGATAGTGCGCGCACTCCTTGTGGAAGGCGGCCTTGTCGCCGTGCCAACGCATAGCTGTGCCCAACACTTTGCACAGGAATGTGCCGTATCGGGCCGCCTCACCCTCCGTGCATGACATCACGGAGTACGTTATGTCACAGAACAGCTGGAAATGTGAGGTCATATTAAAGGTGTAATGGGGATTTCAACGTCATGTCATCGGTGAGTATTTTCAGGGAATATGCACGTACCCCCTTATTAATTAAAGTTACACCCTAATTGAACTCTGGCTTAAATTGTTTGGAATTGTATGGAAATGACATTTTAATCTGGGGTTCATCCTAGGTGTAACTTTTTATTAATAAGGGGGGTAGTGTTTAAAGTGCACGATCATCTCGTTCTTTCCTGTATTGGGAGCTAGCGTTGGAGACTCGACTCACCCTATCATATCACAGAAGCGTCGAGAAGTTGGGCGTCTTGAGCGAGTGTACTGTGTGCACGAACTCGGCACAGTACAGCGCATCAGTGGCTGTGAAGACGCAGCGCGGGAAGAGACATAGTTGCATGAGCCGTGCAACGGTCTCGTTCTTAGCTATGTTGGGAGCTTACTTTAGAAACTCGACTCACCCTATCATAGCACAGAAGCGTCGAGAAGTTGGGTGTCTTGAGCGAGTGTACTGTGTGCACGAACTCGGCACAGTACAGCGCATCAGTGGCTGTGAAGACGCAGCGCGGGAAGAGACAGTTGCATGAGCCGTGCAACGGTCTCGTTCTTATCTGTTTTGGGAACTTACTTTACGATATTCGACTCACCCTATCATATAATGAAAAGAAAAAAGATAACATAAAACATGAGGTAATAAAAATATGCATATTATTTTCAGAGGTAAACCTGTCAGCCCGAGGACTGATGCTGCTCATTTTTGCTTTTTTGCAAAAGTCTCTGAATGTCTTCATGCCTCCTGATTGTAAATATTTCCTCTCCCTTGCCCTCGCGCCTCTTGACGAAGATAGTTCCGTCCCTAGTCCAGCAGTGCTTGTATCCCACACTTTTGAATTCGGTTCTGCAGGTCCGAAATAACTGTCTATTAACTTGTGTGAGTCTTTCATTAATGTAGATGTTTCGTTCCGGTCCATCAATGTTGATGTTTTTGGAGGTTAGGCGACGTGTTTTGACTGCTCTGAAAAACCTGTCACGCGTCGCGCGCCGGATAAACCGTACTACTATAGGTCGCGGTGTTTGGGGTAAGTTGGGTTTAGCCGGTCCTACTCGGTTAGCGAAGTCAATGTCTGCTTCTTCCAGTTTTATCCCAGCCGCGTTAGCCAGCGACGTTATGATGCAGTGAGCATTTTCGTCAGTAGTCTCAGCGAGTCCTTGGATTTCTACATCTTTCCTCAACATACCTTGATACTGGTTGTTGAGTTTTTCCTGCAGGATTTCAACTTTGATTTTCAGGTCCGTCATGCCCGCCGCGCAGCCCTCCACGGCCTCAAGCCGAGCCTCTTGAGCTGAGATCTTGGTGGTAATGTCATCCAGCCTTTCTTCACATTTAGTCAGCGCGCAGATAACAGACCTGAATTCAGACTTCATGGACGAGACCTCTTCCCTCAAGAGACGGATTTCCTGGGTAAGTTCCGAGAGTGAGTTTGTGGTGCTCGTTGATGTACTGGTAGTAGGACTTGTGTTTCTGGGCTTCCTTATTGTGACGTTATCTGTTGATCGTACAGGTGTAGCCGAATTATCTCCCACTCTTTTAATAGTGCTGCGGCAGTCCGGGCAGATCCAGGTTTCATTCGGTTCGGTGTTTTTGAAGTTTACACAAAGGTGGTGAAAAACATTTTTGCAATTTATGCTCGTGCATGATACATATTTACTGTCCCTTATATTGTTTTTGCATCCAGCACAGTTCAACGCACGTCCAGACTTCATTTCTGCAATCCTTTTACTATGTTATGCAGCGATAATACAGCGACACGTATCGCTAGGCAGGCGGTACGGTGGTAGCGGGCGAAGCGGTCGACGAGCAGCGCGGTGACTCACAGCAGCGACGGCCCGCAAGTGATTGTCGAGCAGTCAACGATAATTTTAAATTCTTGTGAATAATTTTGTCTAAAACTTCACTATTTTGGGATTTTTTTTACTGTTTTTTTCGGAATTTTATAGAAAAGGGTTTAGTCTACACTATTAACACATTAGACTTAAACGATGCGCACTTTTTCCTATCATTTTGCACAAACAAACACGGATAATAACGACGGAGTTGTGTTGTTGTTGACGGTCGCGCGACGATTCCCCCTGTGTCTGTATTTTATGTATCCTGATGTATGTCTGTATTTTACACGATATGCCTGAATAATGTACCACAAATGCGGGTTTTAAATCGTACTACTTTAGTACTTGAAACGCTCTTCTGGTTTGCGTGTATCGGAACGTGATGTTTTTGTTTTGAATTCCAAATACATTTTTGGAAGCTTCTCTGTTCGAGAATCAAATTATACTAATAACGTTTGATATTGATGTATCAACATTCATAATGTATTAAACGCACGTATTTATGGAAAACAAAAACGTAACTCCGACGATAACTGAAACTTATACGCGTATTTACACAATCTGTAACAATATTGCTGAATCAATTCATTATTATTGCTGGGGTTGTGCAGACGGGCGTTTTTTTCGACGCCCTATATAGAAATTGTAGAAATTCTTAGAAAGGTAGGAGGTTCGTATTATTGGGATTTTTTTTGTGAAGTACGAGTATATGAATTTATTATAGAAGGAACATTAATGGTAAATGTGGTGCGTAGTCGTTACATATAGAATAGGTAGAAATATTTGACAAAATGATAAACACAGCATCGTTCTGCTTCGTAACTTAAGCAATTTAGGAATATTTCAGTGAGTAACGTCTTGCTAGTAATATAAATCACATTAATTTCAAATGAATCTCAAACAGAACCTGGTTTAATACATAAATCTATCAACCAGAAGAAAAGGAAGGCGGTTAAAAGTAATCACGAAACGAGCGTTTAAAAAACGCCAGTTCTATAAAAACACGACTCAATCAAGATACCGCAAATGAAAATCAAACAACCACATTTTATCATTGTTACGGCATTTCGTGTTTTCCCAATTGTATTCCGATCTCGATTGGGCTAACAGAATGACAGATGTTTGAGCGGACCGGAATAGGCTCGGAGATGGACTTCAAAGAAAAATTGTTTTTATTCGCATCGAAAGACTTGCGCAAAGGCACAAGCGCGAAAGACAGTAGAGCAAATGACATTTGCGCGCATGGAAACTTGCGCGAAAAGACACTAGCGCGAATGGACGTTAGCCAGAAAAGACATGAGCGCGAATGGACGTTAGCGTGAAAAGTCATGAGCGCGAAAGACAATAGCGCGAATGGACGTTAGCGCGAAAGACATTTGCGCGCATGGACACTTGCGCGAAAAGACATGAGCGCGAATGGACGTTAGCCAGAAAAGACATGAGCGCGAATGGACGTTTGCGCGAAAAGAGATGAGCGCGAAAGACACTTGTGTCTTTGTGCAAATATCTTTCGCGCTAGTGACTTTCGCGCAAGTGTACCAGAACCGTTCTTATTACGTAGAGATCAAAATTAAACTGTAAATAATTGTGTTTTAGATGCTGGAACATCTTGCTAAACACTGACATCTTGTGTAGTTATTATACTAATACTGTTTTGGAACAAAAATAAACGAATGAACTTAATTTAACCCTTTAAGTACCAGCGAATCGGTACACAATATAAATCAATCGTTACCGCGGTCTTATGCGACCATTAAAGTGCCCACGAGTTATTAGATTCAATTCAAAAAATGCACCTGGAGTTGTTACAGTCCACCTAATAGAAAAGGGTATTTTCTCATGTCTTAAGGTTTTTAATTTATATGCTAGAGAGTCTAATGCCCGTTTTCACCATCAATCCCTAATTTTTAAGTGACCGATATGGTAACACATAACAGGAATTTTGTTTTCATAGGGGTCACTTAAAAATTAGGGACTGATAGTGAAAACGGGCATTAGAGACTTAAACATTCGTTATTGTGATACTATATGATAAAAACTGTTTTGGCAATTCTAGAGCTATGTTGGTACTAGAGGTGGGCGCCGATATAGAATTAGCCGGCGGCGGCGCGCCGACTTTTTGGCTTCGGCGGCGGCGGCGTCGGCGGCGTGACCTTGACCTTTGACCTTGACTCATTATTTCTTTAAAAAAAATTGTTTAGAGTCATCTAGACTATCATCTTGTTCAGGGCCGCGCATGAGCGCAGGCACGTCGACCCTTTGGGATCTTTTGTGCGCCCCCATACCTTTATTCCCCTCTCATCCGTGAAAGCCTATCCATAAAGCGAATCAAGTGCTTGGGTGAGAGGGACCTATTTCTGGTGCCGGATATGCCGACCCCAAGAGACCAATTCTAGTTCTCGCTGGGGCATCGCATTCGCACAGTAGTTATTTCATGGAGTCTGCATGTTCTCCACATGCTCGACAGCTGTCGTTAAGCCCATCTTGTGGAGCATGTGGTTCGTAGTGTAGTGTCCTGTTAACGCACCCGTGATCACACGGGCTTGCCTTATGTTTCCATTGAATATGAGTTTTTCCCATGATCTTGAGTTTCCCTTTAGGAATAATTTGGAGTGACTCATACCGTTGGAGCTTTCTCATTCAGCTCTATGCCTCCTAGTTATTATGCCTCATGGCCATGTATGCGGTGCTTATAGATAAGGGCACTATCGGCTCTGGACCAATAGGTGTCGCCTCTGACCCTTGTCTCGCCAGACTGTCGGCCTTCGATTCCCGTATGTCCAGGTATCCACATTAGGGTCACCCTGTTATGCCTTCCAAGTTTCTTTAGTACCAATATTGCCCTCAGAACGAGTCTAGATCCAACCCTCACCGAGGCAATGGCTTTGAGTGCTGCCTGACTGTCACGTAGGATGTAAATGTCACGCTTTTTATGCACCTGTTCTATATTCCTTAGTGCACACATGATTATAGCATAGGTTACAGCTTGAAATACTGTTGCAAACCTCCCTAAACTTTTACTGTGCTCGGATCGTTTGGAGTAGACGCCCGCTCCCGATCCTGAGCCCATCTTGGAGCCGTCAGTATACCTGATCAGGTTGTCCTGTTGATCTCAGTCTTTTCCAGACTTCCCTTGTTGTATAGACACTTTAAAATATTTGCTAAACATGTACCTAGGCTGCATTGTATCACATCCCATGACCGTTATTGCATCTAATTGAGGATCGCTCCATATCCTTGTGTGTTTGGTGCAAGGTTTGTATGTACTCCAGAGTCCCGCATCCTTCAGTCAGTGCAGCGCCTTTGTTGCGTCTACTTCTAGCGCCAAGTATAGTGGAAGCAGTCCCAGAATAATTTCCAATGCTTAGTTGGCGTAGCCCTAAACGCACTCGTTATTTCTAGGCATGCAGTTCTTTGCAATTTTCCGAGTAACGTTCTGCATGTCTGTAGCCTAGTTCTAGGCCACCAGACAATGCTGTCATAAAGACGTATTTATCTTGATCATACTTTGATATTTGGATAGCGGGTTTGAGTAAACTTTTTACTACGCCTATTTCCAGGTTGGATTTCTCAAATGTAATTGTACCAATGCGCCGATGAAAGTACCCTTAGCAGATATTTTGGAGTTCTTGGGAGGCAAATACACTCGCGAGCAAAAGTATGGAATCACTTACATGAAGTTGTTTCCACGCGATCTTGTGTACTAACGATTTTGTTAGTAACAAAAAAAGTGAGAGCCTCCATTACTCGCCTTCCCATCAAAATGAGTGCGAGCAAATTGAAGGCGTGCTTGTCGGTGACCTGCCGTCAGTTTTAAGCCTGTGGCAGGCCTTTTTGGAGTCAAATTCTATTGCTTATATCTTAGACGAACTGTCCACTCGCCAACAGCTATTCTACGAACATTTCTGAGCTCTTGTTGGCCGTCGATACCAGTCAAATGACGATTTCATAGAGAAGTTGACATGAAAAAACTGTCATCCCTCTGCGATGTGCACCGGCGCTGTTCAGAACTTGGTCTCGGGATAATGCCACCAGTCTCCCGAAAGCGTCCTAAAACTTTCGAAACCCAGGACTGGCTTATGTGGAGCTGACGTGCGATAGCCCGCTGGCTAAGCCCTTCTTGCAATAGTGCAACGATTTGTGATGCTTCTGAAGGTGTAGAATCCCAGGTAAAGTGTCAAAAGAAGCGGAGATGTGTATGGATCAACGTGTGAAAGAAGAAATCCTAAAACACGTGCTTTTATAGGGGGTAAATAGGCCGCAACTCGCGACGTATCAAACAGTTGATACATGTCTTTTTCCTTACTTCTTCACATCAGCCGGGATATCTTTTTAAATACTGGTGTGATTTAAATGAATTTGGTATCAATTTAAAGTTAAAAAAAGTTTAATCTTTAAAATGGTGCTACTTTTTTGTTTACTAACATATTCGTTACTACACAAGATCGCGTGGAAACAACTTCATGTAAGTGATTCCATAGTTTTGCTCGCGAGTGTAGTTAATGTTGGATTAGCTGGTTTTCGACCACATTTAGGTAGATGCCATAATATTATGTCCAGATCGGTTTATAGTTTTTAGGGTTCCGTAGTCCTGACAAGGAACCCTTATAGTTTCGATATGTCTGGCTGTCTGTCTGTCCGAGGTTTTGCTTGGAAACTACTGGCACTAGAGAGCTGTAATTTTGTGGAGGTATGTATATTGATCACGCTAACAAAACGGTTTGGCCGGTATAAGTTTCATGTCCTAAATGTGTTATGGTGAGACTTCGGAGTTTGCTTTTATGCGCTAGTGGGTCAGCTAAGCATTAGTCACATCTAGCTGAGTTTGCAACAGTCTATTATAGTGGCTTTAAGATCACTGTTCACATCTGAGGAAGGCCACAGTTGTTTCTGGTGACTGAGCTACTTTACTAGTAAATATTATTGATATTATGTTGTAAAGGACCGGACCAATTACGGAGTACTGGGATACTCAAGCTCTGCAGCAAAAAAAAATCTTGTCACAGAGTTTGACTTGAAATTATACCATAAATTGATGGTCGATTACTACATGGGCCATACTTAAGAAAGGGGATAAACGTCCAAGGTCGGTCTTTTCCCACAATTTTGACAATACAAGAGTCAGGTTAATAGAGCGATAGGATGAGACTTTGTTAGGCGGCTTTCCAGCCTTATGGATAATTTACCAAAGCTAAGGAACTTGCGTTGCGAGGCTCTCACTCAGTATGTTGGCCGTTTGGTGTAGTGGTACGTTCGTAATCTATGCCGGAGGTCGCGGATTCGATTCCCGCACAATAGAAACATTTGTAAAAAAAACAAATAGTCAGTGCAGTATAGGAGCCGGCGCGCCGACAGCCGATCGTCGGCGGCGGCGGCGTGAAAAATTTCGCGGCGGCGGCGGCGCGCCGGCGTGGCGCCCACCTCTAGCACGAACTCGGCACAGTACAGCGCATCAGTGGCTGTGAAGACGCAGCGCGGGAAGAGACAGTTGCATGAGCCGTGCAACGGTCTCGTTCTTAGCTATGTTGGGAGCTTACTTTAGAAACTCGACTCACCCTATCATAGCACAGAAGCGTCGAGAAGTTGGGCGTCTTGAGCGAGTGTACTGTGTGCACGAACTCGGCACAGTACAGCGCATCAGTGGCTGTGAAGACGCAGCGAGGGAAGAGACACAGTTGCGTGAGACGTGTAACGGTCTCGTTCTTATCTGTTTTGGGAACTTACTTAGATATTCGACTCACCCTATCATAGCACAGAAGCGTCGAGAAGTTGGGCGTCTTGAGCGAGTGTACTGTGTGCACGAACTCGGCACAGTACAGCGCATCAGTGGCTGTGAAGACGCAGCGCGGGAAGAGACAGTTGCATGAGCCGTGCAACGGTCTCGTTCTTAGCTATGTTGGGAGCTTACTTTAGAAACTCGACTCACCCTATCATAGCACAGAAGCGTCGAGAAGTTGGGCGTCTTGAGCGAGTGTACTGTGTGCACGAACTCGGCACAGTACAGCGCATCAGTGGCTGTGAAGACGCAGCGCGGGAACAGGCATAATTGCATGAGACGTGTAACGGTCTCGTTCTTGGCGGACTTGGCTGCGCGCGCCGGGAACCAGCCGCTACACTCGCGCTGCAACCGCGCAGACACTCGCGCCACGTGGTCTTGTTGGCGACGACGCTCCTCCTGCGAATTGGCGCCAGGTAAATAGAAATAAAGAAAGAAAAGTATTTATTCGATGCAAGTACACAAGATAACAACTTAAAAAAGACAACAGAACGGGTACAAGCACCAAAATGGCATCAGCTCAGTATACGCCGTGACGGCAGAGAGCGCGTCACGACAGCTTAATAAGTTTTAGTAGTAAGTTAAACAGAGGTTGCACAGATATGAGACAAAGCATAGGAGAGGTTAAGAAATAAAGCTTATTCTAAACCTGATATTACTATCAGGCACTTCAGTTTGCTTTTAGTATTAGAAAACGCGATTATGCAGAACTGCTTAGCTGTGTTCCTTTTTTTAAAATGTAGGTATTGGAATTATAGATCACATACCTGCAGTTTGTCGATAAGGGTGTTAAAACGCTCTTGCTCCTTTTTGCCTTTTGTACCCTGCGAGGTATCCTTCGCCGCAATCGCAGCCGCTGCTTTCAAGCGGTCCACTTCGCGATCGTAGCTTTCCACCGGCACTCGCAAGTCGTACATTGATAGTGACCAAAATGTCACGTAGAATTCTGGGGAAATATCTTCCCACACTCTCGACGGCAGCATCGGTGTCACAGACAAAAGAACCGGCTCCAAAACCTCTTTAGAAGCGGCGGTGTAACGTTCGATACTCTTTTCGAGACTATCGTTTTTCACTTCGGCGCTCTTTCTGAGAGATTCCACTTTGGCGCCAATTTTTTGAGCCAACACTGGACGGTGTAAGAAGAATGCAACGTCGGCATCTACATGATAATCGCGTAGTAACTCCTGTAGGACAAAATTAACGTTTATTCTTGCTAGAAGCTTGCTTGCTAACAATATTAGATAGGAATGATTCAAGTCAAATTAAAAAGCAGATTAAGTTACCTGTAGAGGTGGTAATCTGGCCGCATACTCATCGGGAGCGTGTGAAGAAGCCAGGAATGTACCGAGCTGTACTAAGGCGTCTTGACATTGATCTGCCAGTCTACCAACCACCTTTAGTTGGGACCCTGGTGGTTCTCCACTTGAAGCAGGTTCATCCTCCAACTCTGCGCAAAGGATATAAAAGTTACTGCACCATCTTGCACGTTTTTATAATTCGCATTTTATTTGAGAGAGCATACCTTTCCATACGCAGCAGTGGCGTTGCTGAGCCGAGAGTATACATAATGAAATGTCCAAATTGTTGCCAACAATGGCCTCTTTTAACCTCGCTGACGACCTGCGTGTGTTGCGGACTTGAGAGAAATATCCAGCCTACAAAACAATTGCAAATCAGTCCTAAATCTAATGAACAATGTCTCATGACAAAGATTAAAGATGATCGTTAAGTTAGCCCACCTCTCCCTTTAGTAGTTCACCTCCAGCCATAGCATCCAGTTGCTCTGAAGTCATTTCCTCCACTGCTTCAATTCCAGCCATCTTTTGGACAATTTCTTTTAAAATAAGAAGGTCTTGGCTGAAAAAGGATATTTTATTCATAGATCTGCTGGCTAAGGATTTAAAATCATTTTTCTTTGGCTAGAATACATTTGTGACAAGGCTACTTTACCTGTCAGTTTCTTGAGTGCTTTTCTGTTAGCTTGATGCGCAGTTGTTCGCATACATAACGAAATGTTTTAAACTATAAGAACAACAGCAAGGGCCCTCGCCCATGGCGACGTTTCCGAAACGCGCGGCAGCATCTACAAAAGTGATGCCAACGCGCTACTAACTACAGCAGCGCGACTGCATCGCTACAAAAAGTCGCCGTGAACGAGGGCCCTAACAATCAGACTCAGAAATTGAAACAAAACACTCACCTCTGTTGCGCCTTCAGCCTGTTCGCTACGAACTGCAAAAGCGCTGTAAGTTCGATGTTGTGCTTCTTGAAAGCGGCTCCAGCGAAGGCAGCCAGCGCTTGCAGCCACGGCGGGTGCGCCGCGCCGCCCGCCGCGCCGCGGCCCGCGCACAACGCTTCCAGCAGGCAGTAGCCGAGCACGTCCAGAGACAGTGACGTCAGATACTTCAGCGACTCCACCACGGGACCGATCAGGTTGTCGTAGGTTTGTATCTGGAAGATACGTTGAGTGTAGCAGGCTGACTTCACTTCATGACTTTTGCATTTTAACGAGTGTCATTTTTTATACTTACTTTTGTGAAGCCTCAATGTAACCTTGTTGGTGATCAAATAAATAAATAAATGACGAATCGAATTGATCGCGGACACGGATTTACTAGTGTATTGAAAAATGTTAATATATGTATTGAAAAAAGTTCTCAATAGAAAATTGGTTTAAATAATGATGAGGGCGCCAACATAAACAATGAATCTGATAGGTTTCAAGGCAAGTTTTAATATTCAAGGCATAAATATTTAGCACATTGTCGCATTTTATGTAGTGTGAACTGTTACGTCATGCACAAGTATTTTGTGTTTAAATTAAAACATATTACATATCGATCCCAGCTTTACCAAACACAATATGATAGATACAATCTACAATCAATTTCACTATAAGTGAATATAATTTACCTGTAAAAGCATATAGTCAAAGAGGAACGCCGGAGCAGCGTGCGACAGTTTTCCGATCAAGCGACCTTGAGGCTTGATGTTCTCTTTCGAAACACGTTTCATTATGTGCTTGATCCTTTGCAGCGAGTTGCCGCGCACTCTCATCAGAGCCGGTATTCTTTCACCGGCTTCGTTTTTCCAACGGGAGTACAAGCAATACCTAAAGAAAATTATAAAAATCAATGTGAAAATTATAATTAATTTTCTGGTTAAATTTTGTAAAAAATAATGTATTATACATACCTGCATTGGTAGGGATATAACTTGAGGAGGGTATAAACTTCTTCAGCCATGCAGCAGTTTCCCTCCATCAAAGTCAGTGACGGTAAAATGGCAACATCAAGAACTGTTAATGCCTCATGTTGGAGAGGATCATCAGGCTTAGATCGCGATGTTCTAAGAATACGGATTATCTAGAAAGAATAAAAGAAATTATTTATACATTTTAGACATTGTTTAGTCTTTATGTCTACAAAAATAATTTAAATACTTACTTTGTACATTAAAATGGGGTCATAATGAAGTGACGGCCCCAACAAAATCAATGCAGGGATGACTGTTTCCTTCATATCTTCAAATGTTTTGCATGCAGCCGGGGCAAGTGGCGATGGCAACGGTGGTATTGGTTTACCATAAATCTTAGGGGCTACACGACAGTGGCTGTAAATGTTCATAAACATTAAAAAATACACCATCAAATCAAACAAAAAGATTATGGCGCATACTAATATGCATTGCGTCATTAAAACAATATTACATCAATAAAATGCCAGAAAAAGTTCTTACGTCCTGTACAATGGCTCCACTAGTGCGTGCAACATGGCACATAGCGCGGTGGCGGGTCTGGCCGGCATCGACGACGTGTGCAGGCGAGCGTACAACGCTGCAAACTCGCGCCAAGCGGTCACCTTCAGCAACGCTTCGCTTAGGACCAGCTTTTGATTGCTCCAGTACTCCTGGTTGGCAAATGTTATGTTAATCTTTTTACAAAAACAATTAGATTGTAACAGGAAACATGAATCAATGAGGACAGGAATGACCTCATGTAAACACAAAACATATTGAGGAAAACATCATGTTCATCTTGACTTGGAAGAATTGAACCAAAGCACTCTGACTCTTCATCTTTAAAAGACATGGACTTTTAAAAATTTTCTTTTTTAAATAAAATAAAATAATGGTCATCATAATTAGTTACAAGAAATTCTAGACTGCCTGTGGAAACAATAATACTGTGAAGAAAAACAAGGCTTTAAGAATAACCTGAGGATCTGCTTTCTCTTCTACAAACTCGGTGGGTCCATTGGCTTGAGGTCCCTTTGTAGACACTATGTTAAGTTTCCGAATATAATCTTGAACTGTTTTGAATTCTTTTTCAGCTTCTTTGGCCATCAACAAATCATCAGGACGTAGCTTTAAAAAAAAGGAAAACAAATGTAAATTTCTTTTTTTACCGATTTCCCCTGAGCCACATCCAACACGACAGCCGAGTTATTCAGAAAAGCTACGCGAATTTTGTGTGTAAAAATGTGCGTGGCCCAGGAGTTCAAAGTCAGGATATTTATTGATACCTACATACTACTACTACATTAACGTACATACCCATGGGTAAATGTCATCAAGAGAGATGACACGATGTTGTAAAAGCAGTGCTATTACAGTCATAATCGGTGGTGGTTCCTTGTACGTATCCAGGACCTCCATATTGCCTAACTTAAACCCTAAAACTTCTGATATCACATGAGGATCTCCCATGTAGTTTTTAATCAATGGTATAAACAGATCCTCTAAATGTGGTCGAGCTTCAAATGATTCTAGTATAATATCTAGTACTCTGTTGGGGTCTAAATTGAAACATCCTGAAAGAAGTTATAAAATTATTAGTATACGAAGTTCATGCAGTAAAACAGATTGAGATAAGATTGACTAATTTCATTTACACACCTATAAGTGACTGAATGATTTCTAGTAAGGTTTTCCATTCTGTATCATCACTTATTTCTTGATTCAATTCAACAATTAATTTAGCATATCCTTCACTCTCTTCTCTAAACAGATTAAATTTACGTTGTTTATAGCTGAAAATAACAACATGAAAATTACAATTTTGTTCACATCTAATCTGAATTTTAACTGTGCTTAGTGCAAGTTTGCAGTGAACATCGTTGGTATCGAGTGTTTATAAAAATCTATGAAGGTTTTAGTTCCTTAAAGTATCTGCTCTGCTAGGGACGCTGAACATTCTGTCATTATTTTATGCAGTCTCTAGTTATGAAGTTTGGTGTAAACTTGCACTAAACACTGATCTATTTTACTTACTACAACTTTGTCTTGATTTTAATGAATTTGGTATAAAAGTTTTTGTTCTTCAATGTACCAACATCTTGTAATGTGTCGATTTCTAATCTTTCCTTTAGTAATTTGTCAGACATAAAAGATTCGAGTTCTCTCACAACATAACAAAAATTTGTGCGTTCTTCACTCTGAACATCAGTGCATGTCTCAGCGTCTAATACACAGACTACATCTAACACAATTGATGGTATATCTGCATGCAATGCCTGTAAGAAATCCCAACTAATATTATAAATGCGAAAGTAACTCTGTCTGTCTGTCTGTTACGCTTTCCCGCTTAAACCTAGCAACCGATTTTGATGAAATTTGGCATAGAGATAGTTTGAGTCCCGGGAAAGAACATAGGATAGTTTTTATCCCGGTTTTTTAAACAGGGACACGCGCGATAAAGTTTTTCTGTGACAGACAAAAATCCATGCGGGCGAAGCCGCGGGCGGAAAGCTAGTAATTAATAAATATTTAAGTAATTTTTGTTTATATGCCAACAAATTAGTGTCAATAAAGTAACCATAAAGAATGGAATACTTACACAAATTTCCCGAAGAACTGCAAGCACTGCATCTCTCTTCAGGTTACCCCGAAGACCACAAAGCAGTAAGTCGTATACATTCTGGGATAAACCAGAAAGTTTTCCAGATTTGGTAAAAAGTGGACTTTTCTCTTCATCTTTGATAGATTGTGTCACATATTTAATACTAAAAAATATTATTATCAGTTAGCAGGGATGGTCGGAAATTAATATCCTGTTTTAAAAGACGATGATGTTAAATTAATGTTATAAGTTATTATGAAGGAATCACTAGATTCTAGATAGTTGCTTTGCTACATGCAAATCCTACTAATATTATAAATGTGAAGTTTTTATGGATGTCTGGATGTTAACATGTTTGTTACACTTTCATGCAAAAACTACTGAACGGATTTTGATGAAACTTTACAGTATTGTTGTTTATGACCCAGAATAACATAGGCTATAATTTATGACGATCTGTGACTGTCTAAATTCTAAATATCGCGCGGGTGAAGCCGCGGGCAAAAGCTAGTAAACTTAATATTTTAGAATCGGATATCGTGTTACTGTAACGAATATCCGATTACTGAGTACATAAGGTAGGTAGGTACTCAGTAGAAGTAAGTTGGAATAAATGTGATTAACAATAAGTCAATCCATTAGCTTGATGAGAGTTACAATAAAATTGGTGATGTTGTAAAAAAAAACTTAAGTCTCTGACCAGTTATGCTCATACAAGCTTATTAGGGTAACAATTGATTAAAGTAATTCAATATTCAATGGATTATTATGGTTCAACATGTGGTATTTACCTACAAGAAGATAAAAAAATATATTTTCAAAATCAAGCAAACAAGATTTCGTGTACTTACAATTGATCTTTTCCTGATTTTTCCCAACTTTTACAATATTCCGCTACAAACTTAGCAAATGATCCCATAATTTGAGAGCTTGATAAATTTTTAATGAAAATAAAACCGCAGCAGGATAACTCACGCTGCAGCCATTTCTGTCATTGAATGAATGAATGAAAGAATGAATGATTGAATTCTGCATAAAAATGATAGACAGTAATACCAACATAACCAAAATTACAATCGGGCTATTGACTATCTTTTTTATTAGTTGTCAACTATTTATAAGCCAAGTATTTTTTTTATCTGCAAGTTAGATTTACCATACGAACGTTAAAATAATCTTGTCAAAGTGACAGCGAATATCTAAACAATTTCATAACCTCAAATCCTTATTTTCTTTAGTTAGTTATTCATTTTGTTAGCAGAACAAATTCAACTTCTATCACTGTTGAATTGAAAAGTGATTAAAAACTTTCCAATATAATCCTACAAGAATGCCTGCATACGAGTTTGCTATTATGTTTCGGGCAATGCCGAAGTCGGAACTGAAGACTGTTCTCAAAAGGGTTTCTCACGCTATTTTTGACCGTGGTGGAATCATAAAGAATATAGAGAACTTAGGTTTCAAGCCAATGCCTTACAAAACCAGTTCTCATGGATTAGTACATCGTGAAGCAAATTATTTTGTGTTTAAAGTAGATACGGCCACTCAAGCTGTTGCTGACCTGAAGGAGGAATACAGTCGTGATGTTGATATTATTCGTCAGAGAGTTTATAAGGCACCAAACGATTCAGAAACCTCTCCTTGTACATTTGAAGAAGAACTACTTCCTCCAGCTTACCGTGAAGATGTCCAAAAGATGATCAAAATAGGAAAAACTCAAGTCAATCGCTTCACCCACAAGTTTAAATACAATTCTGGTTTGGACTACTATCCATTCCAGAAATAACCTTATTCAGTATGTCAAATTGTACAGTAGTTTAATTAGTTAAAGTTATCTTATTTGCAATAAATGAAAGATGCAAATATGTTTTTTATTTAATTAAATGCATGGTAACTTGGCCTACTAGATGTAATGACACAATTTTTATTTGTATGTTCATCAAAATTATTCTTGTAAATACTATGGGATCTTTCTTAAAAACAGCCAATATTTTCTCATGTTGTAAACCATATTTACATGGTACATATTGTATTAATATGAATGTTATTTTAAATTCATTCAGGAGGCATTCTAATTGCAAATTTAAATATAGCCCTGAAGTGGAAGCTGCCATCAACAAACAAATTCAAAGTGAACAAAATGCAGCATTTAGCTATCTGAATATGGCTACCATCTTTCTTCACCCAACTATTTCATATCCTGGTGTTGGTGGATTTTTTATGAAAATGTATGAAGAAGAGCTACATCATATGAAAATTCTTATCAACTATCAAATAATCCGTGGAGGTATCCCCATTTTAAATTTTGGAGTTGTGGACCCAGTTGATCCAAATATGACACTGGTTGAAGCTTTCAATTTAGCTCTTGAAAAAGAGAAGAAAGTAACTGAGGTAAGTAATCACTTGTATTTAGTTTCAGTAGTTTGTTATGATAATGTTACACAAGTTCATATTCTATTGTTGTTGATAGGAATTGAAAAATATAGTAAACACTGCTGAAGCATCAGAAGATTATCAATCTGTGGAACTTATCACATCAAAGTTTCTGCTCGAGCAGGCATATGCTATGAATGATCTATCTCATTATATCACAAAGCTGAAAAGACTCTGTGATGATAAAGATGCACTCTACCAGTTTGATTTAAAACTCGGCCAGCTGTACCCTTATTCATTAAAAATCTGATTCTTGAAGTTGGGAACATAAGAAAATCATATTAATTTTTTAAGACTTTTATTGTTTATTTTTAATACAGTATGTACACTTATTTCTTAGTTAGAGTTCATTTGTTCATTGGAAAATATTTGCCTAATTTGCTTTAGTCTACAGTTCAGCAATGCATCATAAAGAATATTTTTATTGTTATGAAAATCTTTGCTATGCAGTGATAACTCATGCCAATCAGCATACCATCGATGTATAGTTTCTGAAAAAGAAATGCAGTATTTCAATTTTCATTAGTCAATAAAAAGCTTTCTAGTTTTAGATTGCATTCGCGATTTAAAAAATGTCTTCTATACTGGTACCTACCGCTATAAAAAAAGATCGTAAGATTAAATCGACTAAACATCTCGAATCTAGGACCCACAGCGATAAAGGCACCGCGCCGTCCACTACTCCACCGGGCGAAAATAGTTCATCTACCGTCTTACCCAAAAGTTCTTTAAAATGCGTCTTGTTTATGTCGCCGTCCGCAATATTCCATACACGTCGATAGTCTTCGCATAGCGTTAACTCTTCTTCGTTTACTGTTTTGTCGTCTAAATCTAAGGCGCTAAAATTAAACTTAAATTGTAAGTTCAATGAGGACCTATAAATATAAATTGGCTACAAACTCGTAAGTTGGATAGAGCTTTTACCTGAGTGCTTTTTTCAGAGCAAGGTCCTGATATTTCTTATACTCTTCCTCGTAATAGTCTTGAATCCGAATAAACGCTTTCAAACAACTGTCAACTGGAATATCTAAAGCAAAATACGTTCATAATTATCATGTGGAATATGTGACACTAAAAATTCAAGTGAATACGCTAAAAAATTCGTTACAAACCACAAGATATTTCTACTCGAATGCTCTTGTCTACTGAGCAATTAGACATCATGTCTCGTAAAATAGCTATTGTAGTAATATTATCAGATTTAAATACTGCATTTCCCCGTCTGAAATATATTTTTTATGTTGAAAGTTATGTTAATTAAGAATTAAGTAGTAGAGTGGCGTAACGCGTAGTAGACATTCAGAATTGTAATTAGTTGTCTTACTGGTATTGGCATACAAGAATTGTTTTGAGGAGAGCATGAGAACGAGCAAAAACCACATTCGATGATGGTCTTGGCAAATCTCCTGGGAGCGCTTCATTTAGCCATGAAGTAATTTCCGCCACAGAAAAGCTGCCTGACACACGGACTTGACACCATGATCTGAAACACGATATTACTTGAAAGTTCGCGGTTTAGAATTTTGAAGACGTGGAAAGGTAGAGAGTCTGTTAGTCTTTAGGCATGTTTTATTTATACATAGCATTAATTTGTTTCTTCTAAGCCTCATTTTCAAAGAGTTTCAGCCGTATTTACCTTGTCTCGTTATCCAGTTCAGGATGTTCGTGTTGAGAGTAATAGGGTAAAATTGGCAACCGCAGGTGAATCAGACGAGCTACTCTTGGAGCTCCAGCCGGCAGAGCGTAGATTAGCACTCTCACTGAGTCTGAAGCCCTGGTTGCAGGATCCAATGTGAGACGAATCTTCACCCAGAGGCGTCTGGTCCCTGCTTGGCATCTTACTGTGGCTAAAAGGTCTTGATTTTTTCCCTAAAATGGAGAATAAGCAGAAGGAGTGGTGTTATATTTAAGATAATATTTAGCTACTGGGTGTTTAAGTATCTGGTGTTTGTTTTTACCTGAGAAGAACACACGCTCAAAACGGCAGCGCTATCGGTTTGCATGTCCAGCTTTCTTTTGCAGTAAATGAATAGCATATCAAGTGGAACAGCCGACGTGATCCTTGCTTCTTGCCATCCGTCGCCTGTGGCTCCCGAAAGCTATATTTTTACAAGAAAGTTTAAGGTTTACACACCATTCAGTGTCCATTTAAGTAAGTAAGTACAGGGCAGACTACCTCACCTCACATTGAATATCTAATAACGGCGGTGCTGAAATGCCCGCTTGCAAAGATCGTGTACTTCGTTGGTATTTCTCTCGTTCATTTGCCGTTTGCTTCTCCAATCGTGCAACTTCTGTTCTGTAATTATTAAGAAGTTTGAAGTCTGCACTTCTGTATAACACATGCCAAAAGAAATTGATCATAACCATGATGCCAAACCAATCAATATAATAGTATTTTTACATACTCGAGTTTAGATCGTCGTGCAGTCAGAGCATCCAAGGACAGATTGTTTAGTGACGCTCCAGAAACCTGACGTCGTGATCTTAGAGCAAATATTCTACCAGAAAATGTTGTGGCTATTAATTCGGGTTCTTCTGCTGTACCTATACAGCCACCAGTAACTGACGTGACAGGCTCGCCGCAAAACTGCAATGAAGCATGCGTACATCAGTTCTTTGTATTCTGATAATTACCTGCATAAACATGGTTACTTTGTATACTTACGTAAGTAAACTTAAGGCGTGGCTTTTCAGAAAAGTTTTCCATGTCAATCAAATATAACTGTATAGAACCATCATGGCGGCCAACTGCTAAGTGAGTACCGCCGCTGCCGAAAAACCAACCGATGCACACCACCGAGCCTAAGCCTCTTCCTTCCATTAGGCACTTATTTGTTAACACCGAACTATAAAAGAAAGAATGTGTGGAAGACAACAAACCAAGCTCAGCACTAAGTTAACTGTGGCACTTTAAATCGTTGTAGTAACAATGTGCTGACTGTATTTGAATGAATAAGATAACTTACTCTTCATACACAATAAGTCCTATGCACCCATCAGCCGCTCCATAGTAGGCGTAGATATCAGACGTGTGGAGTGATGGAGGTATGGCCAGGCGAGAAGGCCCCGATGATATCGCTGCATGAGTGATCAATTTACCATTCTCCAATAAGATTGCGCCTTTATTGGCGACCAATGCGAGCAGTCGAATGCGGGTACTCTGCACGTCAAAAGTAAGCAGCTATTTCCAATGAAAATACTTAAAAAATATAAGTAGAACTTGTAAATAAGCTTATGTCTAGTTTATTACAATATCGACTTACATTCGGCGCCGCAAACGCAGCGATGTCGAGCACTCTATCTTCGCAGATGTAAGAGTGTAATTCCCTCAAATCCCTGTAGCAGGTGACGGTACGACCACTGCATAGAATCAGATCGCCTCCGACAACACACCTAAACAAAAAAATCCTTCTCACAATTACAACAATTGCAAGGTCCCAAACTTGCGTCCCTCCCTAGCTTACCTGACCTAAATGAAAACATGTTCTAAGTAAATCACTCACAAAAAGCATCTAAAAACATAGAGCAGGTTAGTTATATCATACAGGGTGACAGGTAAAGCGATAAATTCCTTCAAAGGGGTTAAAGTAGAGCTTATTTGCAGTCATTTAAGTCATATGACACCATGTCCGAAACTTGTTCATTTCCAAGTTATTCAAGATTTACTTAAGTATTTTTAAAAAAATCTTCAGTTTTATGTTAAAATGTACCCTTGTAATGAAGAATACGAAATAATGTTAACTTTTTTGTTGTATTCGTATAGCTAAATAACAAGATTGACATTTTAAATTAAAATTTGCAAGAAAGAATCGTCATTACTCAAGTAAAAGCTAAAAAACCATGTATTATTTTGCAAAAAAAAATTGTTTTAGGTAATTAAACGAAGAATTTCCAAGAAAAAATGTATGGAATGTTGTGTACAAATTACAGAATTTAGTTCCTTGATTCATTAGCTATTCAAAAAGGTACAGGTATTTAACAAACACTACTTAATTATTTTTTTTATTTGAATTTAAACGTCTAGTGAGATACTTTCATAAAAAAATAAATAAATAAAAAAGTCACACTAACAACTGTTCTTGGGTCTAAATAAATGAAAAACTTAGTATTTTAATAATAATTGTATCACCTAATTTTATCTAGGTACATTATTTTAAGTCCTGCTCAAACTGTGAGCCCCGTCTTCTAATACAAGCTCGTAGTCTGTTTCTCACTTTTGTTTTTGTGACTCTTGTTGTCAAACTGCTGAATATCTTGAGCTGCCCTCTGAATGCGCTCACGAAGCTCTTGCTCGTTGTTTACGGGGGTTACATACAAGAGATACTTCATGTGACCCCATAAATAAAAATCGCAAGGGGTCAGATCCGGACTTCTGGCTGGCCAAGGAATGGGTCCACCGCGCCCAATCCAACGAAGTGGATATTGTTGATCCATCCATTGGCGTACACTGAGCCGAAAGTGTGCTGTGTGTGTGAAAGCTTCGTGAGCGCATTCAGAGGGCAGCTCAAGATATTCAGCAAAGTTTGACAACAAGAGTCACAAAAACAGAAGTGAGAAACAGACTACGAGCTTGTATTAGAAGACGGGGCTCACAGTTTGAGCAGGACTTAAAATAATGTACCTAGATAAAATTAGGTGATACAATTATTATTAAAATTCTAAGTTTTTCATTTATTGAGACCCAAGAATAGTTGTTAGAGTTTTTTTTTTTTTTTATGAAAGTATCTTACTAGACGTTTAAATTCAAATAAAAAAATAATTATGTAGTGTTTGTTACACACCTGTACCTTTTTGAATAGCTAATGAATCAAGGAACTAAATTCCGTAATTTGTACACAACGTTCCATACATTTTTTCTTGGAAATTCTTCGTTTAATTACCTAAAACAATTTTTTTTTGCAAAATAATACATGGTTTTTTAGCTTTTACTTGAGTAATGACGATTCTTTCTTGCAAATTTTAATTTAAAATGTCAATCTTGTTATTTAGCTATACGAATACAACAAAAAAGTTAACATTATTTCGTATTCTTCATTACAAGGGTACATTTTAACATAAAAACTGGAGATTTTTTTAAAAATACTAAAATCTTGAATAACTTGGAAATGAACAAGTTTCGGACATGGTGTCACATGACTTAAATGACTGCAAATAAGCTCTACTTTAACCCCTTTCAAGGAATGTATCGCTTTACCTGTCACCCTGTATAAAAATGCTTAAGTATAAATAATTAAAAGTTTAAATAAAATATTTACATGGAAGTGATTGTTTCAGACACCGAAGTTTCGATTGTAAGAAATACTTTTCCTTTTTTTGTGTAGCCCTTAACTTCGTTACCAGATGCAGCAAATATTTTGTCTGATGGTGTACCTGCAAAATATGTATATGCAGCTAAGTTTAAAGTAAAGAATAAAGGTCCTGAAATATAGCCTATAGTTAGGTAGATACATAAGTAATTGTTTGAAGGAGTTATCGAGCTAGGGTGCTGTATTTCAGGCTCATGCATAGCATAGCAGTGGACATCATGTAGGTATGACCTATATCCACGAACACACGTGTAATTATTAGGGACCTACATAGGTACATAACATAAAATAAGAAAGCAACATAGGTACTTCCTACGTAACTTAATACCTACCATAAGTAGAGGCCAGTTGAACAGAAGTAATGGGTTTCCCGGGCAGGGTCTTAAATTGAACGATCGGCTCTTCATCTTTTATACTTAAACATTGTAAAACTCCGTTTTTATCTCCTATTACAAACTAAAACAAATGAAATGCATTGATAACTTGGTAAATAGATTTATTTGATAGATACTTAGTCTGAGTTCTGTGAAAAAAACACGGAAGATTCCGTATATTCTGTACCTAATTACTTAATGATCATCGTTAGGTACCTAAAGGTTGCTACAGTTATAACTGCCTAAGTACATAAATAAGTGTAAAATGATGATGTACTTATTTCATTAATTTACCTTTTGCTGAGTTCGTGGCCCAGGTGCCGGTAATATTTTCAATGTATCTGGGTATGTAATACCACAGATGGTGTAGTCAACACGTGAAAGATCGTAATCCATTGCGGGACTTGCAATGATGTCGATTAAAAATTATTAAGAATAACATGTGAATGAAATAACGTGGTTTGTTTTAGAGTCATTACGAACTAAGGCTACCTGCAATCTAACCAAATCGATAACGCCTAGCAACGTAGGAGAACAACAAAGGCAACGATAAAAGGACCTTCAAGAATAGGTACCTACTTAGGTGGTATCAATTTGAAGTTTCTAAATTAATATCAAATTAGGATGGATGCGCCTCCGCCTGCCTACTTAAACCAGTCTATAACTTTAGGTATAAATTGGTGTCTTGGTGTCCCATGGGACTGAGCACACTGGAGACTGGTTCGTTGCGGTTTAATGTTATACCTATTTGGAATCATGAACTTATTGAATATGAATTGGAATGCCGACGTAGTGTGGGCAATAGTGGGCATGTCCCCCACTAGGTAGACCGACACGATCTGGTGTGGATCGCGCGGGAGGTGCCTGGATGCGGGCGGCGCAGGAACGGTCCTTGGGGGAGGCCTTTGTCCAGCCATTTGGCTAAACGAATAATATTGGAATGAATTAATTTATTTGATTTGTTGTTTTGAGAGCACACTGTATATTTGTGTACTGCCCAACGGAATGGGATTTGCACTTTGTGTGCGCTGTGTTCATTTTATGACTTTCATCATCATCATCATCATTTCAGCCACAGGACGTCCACTGCTGAACATAGGCCTCCCCCAATGACTTCCACATCGCACGGTTGGTAGCGGCCTGCATCCAGCGCCTTCCCGCTACCTTTATCAGGTCATCGGTCCACCTTGTGGGTGGACGTCCCACGCTGCGTTTTCTGGTACGTGGCCTCCATTCCAGAACCTTGCTGCCCCATCGGCCGTCAGTTCTGCGTACTAAGTATGTGCCCAGCCCACTGCCACTTCAGCTTGCTGATCCGTCGGGCTATGTCAGCGACTTTAGTTCGTTTACGGATCTCCTCATTTCTGATTCGATCTCGTAAAGAAACACCGAGCATAGCCCTCTCCATAGCACGCTGTGCAACTTTGAGCTTCTGTATAAGGCCTATAGTGAGGGGCCACGTTTCCGAGCCATAAGTCATCACAGGTAACACACATTGGTTGTAGACTTTCGTCTTCAGGCACTGGGGTATTTTGGACGAAAAGATGTTGCGTAGTTTCCCGAACGCTGCCCAGCCGAGTTGGATTCGACGATTGACCTCCTTCTCGAAATTGGACCTACCTAGCTGGATCGTTTGTCCGAGGTAGACATACTTACTTGTCAACAATCTCAAGAATCGAGCTCCCAACCGACACCGGGTAGGGCGCAACATGGACGTTCGACATAAGCTTCGTTTTGTCCATGTTCATCCGAAGGCCTACCTGTTGGGAAACTCGATTAAGGTCTTCGAGCATGGTGCCGAGGTCCTCCAGCGATTCTGCCATGACCACGATATCGTCGGCAAACCGAAGGTGAGTGATGTACTCGCCGTTAACGTTTATGCCGTATCCTTTCCATTCCAGGAGTTTGAAAGCGTCTTCCAATGCCGCGGTGAAGAGTTTCGGAGATATAACATCTCCCTGTCTTACGCCTCGCTGTAGAGGAATCGCCCTCGTGCTTTGCTCCTGTACTCGGACCGACATGGTGGCGTTTTTGTACAAGCACTTTAGTACCTCGATGTACCGATAGTCGATACGGCACCGCTGGAGAGACTGCAGCACTGCCCACGTCTCAATCGAATCAAAGGCCTTCTCATAGTCCACGAACGCCAAGCATAGTGGCAAGTTATACTCCTCAGTCTTCTGTATAACNACTTCATCAAACGGGACCTCTCCAGCTTGACGTTAATGTTTAGTATGCCTCTGACTATCCGGTGATCACTACCGGTTTTCACCCTGTTGATCACGGAGACATCGCTAAACATTCGTCGCTTTGTGGTCATAATGTAGTCGATCTCATTTCTCGTGGAACCATCGGGACTCATCCAGGTCCACTTCCTGTGAGGCGGCTTCTGAAAGAAGGAGTTCATCGCATAGAGATTCTCCTTTTCCAGGAACTCGGCCAGCCTCTGTCCCCTGACTTATTTATGACTTTATTGTCCATCAATAGCCGAATAACGAAGCCGTTGAGGTTGAGAGTCGTTAAATACATATTTTTTTAGTTATGGGTTTTTTTTGTCGTTATATGTATGGATTCCTTCTCTAGTTTTTTTTACCTAAAAAAAATTAAATGTCAAAAATGACAAGTTAGTTGTCAACTTTTATAACCTAAAAATTTTGATTGATTTGCTGGCTGACTGATGCAATAAACTGGAAAAGTGGAAAGGGAACAAGGGAATTTTGTAAATAAATTAGTTTTCTTAGAGAAATTTCCATAATTGAGTAAAATGGAGATCGATAAAGAGAATGTCGTCCAAGCTGTGGTGGTAATGGACACCTTCAATAACAATTTCCATCCTATCAGTAATTACAAACCTATGGTACGTTTAATTTCTTATTAATATTGTATAGATACCAGGATTTTTAACTAAAACAAGTGCTCTTAATGTACTCATTATTTTAGGCTTTCTTGTCAGTGGCAGGAGTTCCTCTAATCGACTATGTTCTGGAGAGCCTATCACTTGGTGGTGTTGGTGAAACTGTTTTGTTTTGCACTCAAGATGGGTCCAAAATAAAGGATCATTTACGGTACAATTACGCAATAAAATATAATATTATTGACTGCACTTGATTTCTTGATATTAGTTTATATCCCAAATTTTTGCTCTACAGGAAATGTAATGATGAAAAAGCTCCTTGGACTTCAACTATGGATGTCCAAGTATTGATGTCAGATACGTGTCAGACGATGGGTGATGTAATGAGGGAAATAGATGCGGCAGGATTAGTTCGCGGATATTTCATTCTATTGGGAGTCAATAGTGTCTCTAACATAAATTATGCAACTTTGTTGGAGCAGCACAAGTAATGACTTCTTCCCACTATTATTACTATTTGATCTTTTGTTACTTAAAATTCACAACGATTGCTTCACTGGTTTTCAGGCAAACATGTAAAAAAGACAAAGGTGCTGCTATGACTTTGGTGTACAAAAAAGTTTCATGGGAACATCCTCTGATTAGTTCTGACAAGCCTACATTTCTAGCTGCTGATGGTAATACTGGGAAAGTGCTGATTCACCAGAAGTACAAGCCAAAATCAAGTGAAAAGACCATCAACCTACCTTTGGTAAACAAATACACATTCTTTCAAATGCCTGTATGATTGTCTTCCAAACTAAATCTTATGTAAAGTTTTCTTCTTGCAGGAGATCATGTTGAATCATTCTGAAGTAAAGTTGCATCACAACTTGGCTGATCCAAATATAGCCTTGTGCTCTCCTTCTGTTCTTCCACTCTTTTCAGACAATTTTGACTTCCAAACCAGAAATGATTTTATTCATGGCATATTAATAAATGAAGAAATATTAGCTAGTTCTTTGTATTACACTCTATTAAAGGGCAATTATTATGCAGCAGCTGTAACTAATTGGAAGACTTATCAAATTATCTCGTAAGTACAGTGAATATTTTGGTCTTATTACCTAATAAGTATACAAGTTATTATTTTTTAGAAGAAATGAAATTTATTTTTTATTTCAGTCGTGATATAATGCAGAACTGGGCACATCCACTGTCAATTGAGACAGGAAGGTTTTATCAAAATAACTATGTCTTCCTGGAAAATAATAACTGTAGAGATAAGAATTCAGTTTTGAGCAGGTAAAATATACTTTTTTTTAATAATAACAGTATAAGGTTACTCAAAAACCCTGTTTTGTGTTTTTTATTATTTCAAAGAAATAACTTAGAATATTTTCAATAATTTACAGAACATGCCGCCTCACTGAAGGTGCACTTGTTGGGTCTGGTACTCACATTGGTCATAATACTGTTATTACAAATTCCCTTATTGGGAGAAACTGTATTATTGGAGATAACTGTACTATTGTAGGAAGCCATATTATGAATGATGTTTCTATTAAGGATAATTGCAAGATTAACAACACCTTTACTGATGATAATGCTGTCATCTCTGAAAATTCTACAGCGGTAGGTTCTATCATTGCCTCCAATGTTACCATTCAACCAGGCAGTGAACTACAAGGCAACCTTATAGAAAATTCAGATAAAGATAATGGTGAGTAAACAATATTTAGGATTAAAGCTCACAAATTATTTTATAGTTATAGGTACATATTAAATTATTATTGCTGTTTTCAGATAAAAAATTACTAAAATCTACATCTGGTAGTGGTACTGAATGGGAAAATGAATCTACTAATAGTGAGGATGAAGAGTTCATTGGATTTGAGAAGGAATGGAGTGACAGTGAATCATGTTACTCTTCTGAATGCAGTTTTGCATCGTCACTGCCAGAGTCTGATGTACTAGATGACACCAATAGTAAGGATGATTATCTTCTTAGATATTATTCAGCAAACTCTAAAAAGGCAACAGCAGTCAATATTTTTTTTAAATTGTTTTATTTCAGTATTCCTCCAAGAAGTTATTGACAGCTTAGCCAGAGGTTATGAAGAGAAACTGAAGTGTGATTACCTTATATTGGAGATAAATTCATCCCGTTATGCATACAATATTCAGCTGAATGAAGTAAATTTCTTTGTTGTAAGAGCACTTCTGAGTATGCCTGTTTTAGAAGATACCAAGAATGTACTAGGTGCTATTAAAGATATATTCAAGTACTTCCACCCTGTATTGGCAAACTACATAAAAGCTAAATCTTCAATATTGGATTGCCTGAAAGCTATTGAGGTAAGATCAGGAAAATCTATTGTTTCTTTGGTATTAAAAAAATATCTCTCAAACAAGTTTAAAAAAAAATACTTTAATTTACAGGATAGTTGCACCAAGTGTCAGTGGTTAGAAGGCAGAGCAGGACAAATCATCCATTTACTGTATGAATCAGACGTATTAGATGAGGACTCACTGGTAGAATGGTACGAAGAATTAAAAGAAAACGAGAGTCCATTGGCAAAACAGGTCTCAGTTGTAAAATTCTTTGAATGGCTTCAAGAAGCTAGTGAGGAATCTGAATCAGACTGAAATAATGATTATTATTGTAAATAAAAGATTATAAATTTGTAATACATATATTATAATTTTTATCTTTGTTTTATTTAGTTTTATATTAAGAAATCTAAAAAATATTTTTTTGGTTTTAGCGAATAGTAGCATACTGTTGGAACTGAACTGTGGAGAAGTTTCTGAACTTGTTGATGTCAAATGACGTTGGTTCACACGGAGAGTGCACCTTGATCTGCCTCATATGAGTGTCCCTTCCATTTTGATGATTGCTCAGCACTGCTATTTGGATCATGTATGTCCTTATTGGTCGGTCATGAATATCTTTGATTGGAATCATCTCCCATCCTGCAACAGTATTTAATTTTGTGAACACCTTATTTATTATTATAAAAAAGAGTGAGGTAAGCACTATTTTGTTTTAAAACACTTAAAAACTTTATAAACTTACCACTTGGTTCAACAAGTTCTATCACTTCAATTTCTTGTAAGTCATTAAAATGAGTTCCAGCTCTGATGGATATGCGGCTAGGAGTATAGCTCTCATCTAATTTGTAGTCTGTATAAATGTAAATATGAGACACCATAGTTTTTCTCTGAAACTGAATATTTACCAGGTGTGGTAGTTGTCCATCTGATTGCCAGTATGTGTCCATACAGTCATCTCTCAATTGATCAATACCATAGCCTGTAATACAGAATTAAAATCTTAATAGGATATCATCAGTAAAAGTAATATTAACAAAAGATGCGAACCTGGTTTGCAAGATGATAGACTCCAAATTGCACTATTTCCTACTTCACGGACGGTCCCAGACCTTTCGCTCACCAAAGGATCTTTCTCCGTAGACATTTGAGGGCCGTATTACCCTATTAATTACAAAATTGAAATCTGGATAAACAAAAACAGTTCAACAAACTCGAAAAGGAAACGAAGATGCGAACTTTAGCGTAAATAATGACGCTAATGACAGTGACAGTGACATATGTGACAGCACAACCACTGACAGTTGACATTACATTAGAAATAGAAAATAGGCAAAGGAATGCACCACCTTTGTGAAATACTCAAAATAAAAGTAAAAAATAGATAACAAATAAAATAATCTACCTATAATATAAAAATGAATCGCAAAATATGTTGGTAAGCACACAATTCAACAACGCCTGGACCAATTTTACCAATTCTTTTTTTTAAAGTTCCTTGAAGTCCAAGGATGGTTTTTACAATGAGAAAATTCGAATAATTATCGGGAAAATCTCGGGCGAAGTCGCGGGCGGAAAGCTAGTTGTTAATAAAGAAGTACTTTACATAATACGGTCCCCAGATGGCATTGCACAATTTTTAGGAAATCACTCCCCCCAATGGAAGATTGATTGTAAGAGTTTCTCCATACTTACTTAATTTCATGCTAGAAAGTACATCCTTCAACCTCTTAAATTATGGGATGAAAAAATTGTCTCGCAAGTCTTGCAACTAACAAAAAGAAGTGAAATCCCACCAGTAACATTTTTACGTTAAGTGACCATGACGACACCACCATAACTATGGAATCCTAATTATGTACTTAGTGCCGAGCTTTTAACTATAAAAGCCTAAGTGGCTTTGCCGTTCGTTACTTCATACAAGAGCATTATTTCTAAGTTTAACTGGTTTAACAGAAAAGTAACGAAGAGTGAAAGTGAACTAATTGTTTAATACTGTGCTAATACCTACGAAAGTAGGGGTTCAAAAAATGGGCTGCCAAAGTTTTACTAAAAAGCTTAGAAGACGACAAAAGCTCAACTTTAACCGCCTCTCTGTGGTAAGACCAACTGTTTCACACCCAGGTTCGATTCTCAAGTGAGGGCAAATTTTTCTGTTCGGTTTGGTTAATGGTAGGGCTTTTTAATCCCGTCAGGCTACTAACATCATCTTACCTAAAGCTACAAAGTATATCAGTAACAAGTTCAACAGCTCTACCATCCATACCAGCGCGGTAGATTGAGATTGAAGTACCTACCTATGTAAGTATTATTAGGTTGGAAATTATTACGTAACATTTCAATGTTATCCTGAAAATCCTCCGACTCCTATTCCCACAATTATAATAATTAATGTTAAACAACACGAGAGCATTCAATTCGTTGATCATTCGCTTAATCGCACAAGATGGGGACGGGTTGACAAATTGATAACTTTATAATTAGTGGTTACGTTGTGGCGACGTAATTTGTTGATGGCATGTGGCGATGGCCTGGTCATCGGCCGACCCGCGGGAACTGGCCACGTAAAGAATCCCAGACGAATACCAAATGTTAAAGTTGGTTCCGCCAGTGAGCACGCTCGTTAATTTCTCCAAGTGACGAATTTCTATATTCAAATTATGATACTAATATTATGAAATGATTAGAAACCACGATAGGAACATAACTCTGAATTTAATGACGCTATTTTGTTACAAATATATTTAATGAATTTTGAAAAAAGCATAATGGAAAGTTTCCTATAATCCAAACTCATTGATGATTATTTTTAATTGAATAACTACTGGTAAATTACTGTCAAATTGTCATTTGTCTTGCACCCCCTGATTGATTGATTATTTATTTCTGAATATTTATTTTGAGCCGCGATACAGTTCATGATACGAACTATGATCTTTGGTAAAAAACAAGTGGAACAGCTAAGCGCATTCACAGCGACTGGGGTTTTCTTCGGTCTAGCTAGTGTCGTCGGCTTGGTGTACTTTACCGACTGGCGAGCTGTCGTCGGCTATCTGCCTTACTACAATGGCAAGTTCAGAGGAGAGAAAAAGAAAGACGGCTGCGAATGAAACTGCGTCAATTCAAGCATAAATAAATATGTATCGTGTCAGAACAATATTATCAGTGCTTGTGGAACAATAGTTTTTTTTTGGTTTGACATCGTGGTGTTACTAAATAGAAGCTAGTTATTTAAATTTACGGAGGGTTAAGAGGGTAAGCAACGCGCACGCGTTCGATAATACAATTGGACTTTGTAAAGAGAATGGAATTATAATAATGACTGGTCTCCGAGATCAGGTGTGCTCGGATTTGTAATAAAATGTCAACCGGGTCCTGCGCAGCCGGCGCGCGCGCAGCTGCCCGCGCCCTCCTCCGTGCCTCGCCAGTCACGCGCCCTCCGAACAAACAGGACCTCTTTTATTGTATTGTTGTATTTTTTTACAAATTTTATTCATAATTGCTGTAGTAATTTCGGAGGACCAAATAAATTGTTAAATGTTTTATTGCTTTTATTGTACATACCTACTGTGTTCAGACCAAAGTTGCTAGTAACAATGTAGAGTCTTTTTAAACGCACTTTCACCTGAAAACGATACTTTGTTTCGTCGGTAATTTTTGTATTTAATAGACATTCATCTCTGATGTACCTAGGCACTTTCTACTTTTACTAGAACTTTCCACATCTATCAATAAGTATTAGTATTCGTATAATCGGTCTCGTCTCGACATATCCGCCACGTGCGACTGAAGTTTATTGTCTTGTGTGCCTCCGATCCACAGTTGATATCCTTGTATGTTCTTGATGAGCACTTGAGTGAGGTAGGTCGGTAGTTGTTGCTTGAAATTATAATTTACCATGAATGAAAATTAAATCTATAATTCTATTACCTACATAGGTAAATATTTTTTTTAAGTCTCTATATAAAACAAAGTAATAAATAAGTCCCAAAATAACCCTACAAACTAGGGACAAAATAGGGCTTCATTTAATTAATTTAAATAAGTATTTAACAAACTACGTTTTCTAACATGACTAAATTAATCGAATCCGGGATTGCGGGGCATCTGATGATGAGTAAGGAATCAGACCTCTTGAGGTAAAATAATACCTACTTTAAAGATAAGATACGTACAACATACCTACCTACTTACGTATGTTGCAAAACATCGCAAAAACATCGCAAATTTTCCACTAAAATAAAAAAAATGTAGAGCGCCACAGTCCGCGATAAAAGTTTTGTCTAATAATAAGATTTGTCACAAGCTTACCTTATCTGAATGCTAAATGTAGGGCTCCATTATGAATAGGGCCCAAACATTACGGCCAAGGGTTCAAGGGAATGTGCGAGGGGAGTGCAGGCCGAGTGCCGATACATCGTACTACGATCCGACACTCTACTGTCGGCCGCTCGCGGGGCGGCTGTGCGACTGCGCTCCGAGCTTTCGAACTTTGTAAACAAACGAACTTTGTGACGCTCGACCGCTTCGAACATTCGAACTTTTAAAAACTGTGGTGAAAGTGAACTGAAATGGATTTGTCTTGTGGCGAGAACATGGAGAATTCCGGCAACCAGAATCGCAATGGGAGGCAGGACATGTGCGTAGCAGGGCCTGACCGCGCGCTGGACCGCGATCCAAGGGTTCTGATGAACCTGATGGCGCTGGAGAGGACTCACGCACTCCACACGGACTACTTCCAGAACGTCCAGATGGATATCCAGCCTTTCATGAGGAAGGTTGTCACTACCTGGATGTTGGAGGTAAGCGTTGTTCATTTCATATTCCAAAACTTTCGAAAAAACCATAACCATTACCTTATTAGCAATTTATATGGGTAATTAAGACAAATGATATTACTTAATTGGGTTTTGCGTAAATAAGTATTTTGCTTAGTAGCCCGAATCCAAAACAAGTTTATTCATTTTATTTTAGTTAAAGTGTCTTGTTTGTATTTACTTATCTGGTATTAAATTGGCAACTTAAATAATCAGATATATTTTCACATTTTAAATACATAAATAAATCAGGGAGGTATTCTTTTATGTTTGTGGCAGTCATTCACAATATTTGCTAATTCATTGACCTGACATATTATTTATTTATGTTTTTATTTGATAACACTATTCTGTGAGTTCATTATGTCATGATTGTACACGATTTGCTTAAATTAACTCATAACGTGTACCTATCATAATAACTTTATATGAAATAAAGAGTAGTACATAATATTATGTTACGTACCTATGATTGATATGTACTTAAGTAATGCTCACACCTCTCTGTACTCCTACTTGTTGACAAGATATGCTCAGTTTAAGTAACCCAATATTACCAGTAACCTTCAGATGTGAAACCTTTGCTGTTTGTGAGCCCTTATAACAGACTTAACAACGGAAGCTTTTTTATGCACTTTTTGCCGAGCTTACCTCTTCAATGCGCACGGGAATCTTAATAGCTGAAAGAGGCATTGCTGCAGGTAAAAACTTTGCTTTACTGCGAACAAGGCTCTTCAGGCTAATGCATTTATTTACATACTGTCGATAATGGTTGTAGTAACCCTCGTAAATTATGCGTCGAACAACCATCACAAATCATGGCGTTATAAACGCGACTTCGAAACAAGTACTCTCCCTTATCCTGTTTGCAATAGGATCCATATTCAATTGAGTGTTGTAACATTGCAAGTTGTGGAGCAAATAGAAAGTACCCTCACGTTACAGTTAGTGTGAAACTTGCAATATTCAAAAGCTGTGATAACAATGCTGTGGAATCTGTGTAACCTAAATATGTATAGTAAATAATGGAGTAACTGTTTTGGGCTAGGTGTGCGAGGAGCAGCAATGTGAGGAGCAGGTGTTTCCTCTGGCGGTGAGCTACATGGACCGGTTCTTGGCGCAGCGAGCTATATCGCGGCAGCAGCTTCAACTACTGGCGGTGACGGCTTTGCTGCTGGCTTCTAAGTTCCGTCAGTGCCACCCGCTGTCTGTGGACCTGCTGTGCGCTTACACCGACAACTCTGTGTACCCCCATGAAGTTAGGGTATGTATACATTTGAGTTCCTTTGATTTTAGCACGTCTTTCAGACTCTACGTCGCTACATTTCTCAGTTGCGGGTTCCAGTAGTCCTGTTACCGTCTCATTTCAAGTTTTAGTCAGTATAAGATATTTAATTATAAATAACTATCAATGAAAATGGTTGAAATGTTGCTTTGTCGAATGATTCATTTTAAATGTGAGTTTTATTAGGGACTAGTATTTCTGATCAGAAAATGTTCATAGGAAAATGCTCATAAACAAGCTCTTTCAATTAAAAAAATATAAGACAGTTCAATAAATCTAGTTGAGATTATGACCTTAAAATACTAATAAGATGCTTAATAACAATAAATTGCATCATACATAATTAGGTCCATGCAAATTGATAGGGCTATCAAAATTTATCCGGACACATCTGACTCAATTCGCTTATCACCATTCACCACCCGCATTACAATTAAAGGTTAAATAGTTCCTTAGCAGTCACACACCTTACATCCTGTCCCGACCGCAAGCTACTTTTGTTTTGATTCCGCCGGGTGGACTCGATTAGCCGAGTCAAATGTCACTCCTTCACCCCAAAGAGACGGCCCTCATATTACCCGTTTCCTTAAGTCGCATGCCAGTATCCGGTAATTATTCCTTCCTTAACACAATCTATAGAGCAAGGCACTTATTGTCGCCCTCAAGTAAGTCACAGCCTGTGACGAAGGCATTGAATTGGTTTACGTGCTTCCGACGGAAATGTGGGTAGTGACTACACTGATACAGAGATAACGGGGTTCTTAATATCCAAAGGAAAAGGACAGTGACCGTCACCAAAGATCAAGCATGAACGTGACTATGTTCAGTAATTACGACAATATTGAATAAATTCCCACAGCGCGGTCGTAATGCTGACAAAATTGTCATAATCGTCAGCGAGTGCGGGCAGGTGCGATTTGATCAATTAGGTAGCACCCACTGACATGACTTTGTGTCACCCAATTCTCACGCGTTTGCATAGCCACCCCCATCAGGTATACAGATGTCCCGATATTATGATGTGAATAAGGTGTCAGTATAGAATTTCAATGTCCTCGTAGTTACCCCGTAAAGATGTTCCGATATAAATGTAATTTTGACCGTGAGAACCCATTTCTTTAAGCACCGTATGGCATCGTGGCACATACCTCCTTGCAATTAATTCGTGCGATGATCATGATAGGCCTACACTACGCATACCTAATGATGTCATATGGCGCGGAATTCGATTGTACTTTCCCATGGCCTTACATGCTTGAGCTCTACTTATGTTACAATGATTAGTTCTTCTGATTATTAAACATATAAACACACAATAGTATGTAATTGGTATAGTTCCACGATGTAAGTAGACTAACTAAGATTAAAGAGAATAAATTATTGGGCTTATACCATTATCAAATTGGACAAGAATTCTTATTGTTTATAAGTAAAACTTTACAGATACGATAAATCTCAATCATTATCTACAAACGTATTAAGTTTAGAGGGTTAGTGAACTTCACATGAGACAGTGATTTCAATAATTATGTATTTTGTTTGATAAGAACGGTCGTTCTGGCTTATCTTTACTTTTACTACGTCTCTACACCCGATGACGACGATGCTAAACCCAATGACTAATGTTTAGAAATCATGAATGTTAACTCGTTAACCTAATGAGTTTTGTAAATGAAATTGTAGTTTTTATCTTTGTTATTTTCATATTATCAAGCGTGCCCTTTCGCAAGTATTTAGTCATTGGCCCTTAGGAACCCTTTTGTCTTTAAACTTACAGAATTTCTATTTTCTTTTGTGACGTGATTCGCTACTTTTTGCGGTTTCCGCCTGACCCATCGAGTATGACGGTTACGACTCAACTGTTGAGAACATATTTGTCCCTTTCAAGACATTTCAAACAAGGGTCTGCTCTACATATAAATTAAAGCAATCAATGCATGTGCGTGAATCTTTTTTCACACGGGGTCGCGCCCTTTTGTGCTGGCGACGAATTTGCAGCAAGCATTCTGCAATTTGCGTGTAAGGGATAGCTGGTATATTGTATGAATGTTTTTTTGTTGTAGCAATGGGAAGTGATGCTCCTTCAGCGGCTTAACTGGCAACTGTCAATCGCAACCGCTTTCGACTTCGTGGAGCCCTTCTTGGCGCGAGTGCCCTGGGGCCGCACCAATCGCCTCGTCCGCGCTCACGCCCTCACGCTCACCTCAATCTGCTATACAGGTAAGGACAAGTTTGATAAAACAGTTTTTTTTCAGTCGTTGACACCTCGTTATCAATTTGCGAAGCTCGTGATACATGCGGGTTGATTCTTCCTCGTTATGTTAATTATCGTTAATCGATAGTGTGTGAGCGTCAATTATTCCTCTCTAATTCGTATACTTAGTGGATTGTTATTTTAATGGGCGAGTGTTGGGCCTCCCATTGTTTGGTTTCGGGCGGAGTGCGCAGGCGCAGCTCGCAGGGGTGTCGCGTGTATCGGCGCGCACATGCCGCGCTCGCGCACTGATATCACACACCTTGCGCCTGACCACCCCTCAGCCACTGACCCTAACCATTTCCAATGTTAAATTACACAACATGCACGAATTCAACGATAAATAAAACTAGATAATACATGGAAATTCTTATGATTATTTAAACATTGCGGGATTATTCTAGACTAAAAATATTTTGTATTTATGTAACACTTAAATTCAAATTCAAATTTTTTATTGCTGGTTAAAGACATATTCGAGCCGTAAATGTACAAAGTGGATAGATAACAATTGAAATAAACCAGTTTAGTAGTAAATCTTGTAGAGTGAGTGTAATAGAGTGGGCTCGTGTTTAACGTTACAGTTACAACAATAACCTGCTGCACTTTATTAGACGGACGTCTGTCATCGTAAAAATAGCATTTTACCGTCAGTGGAAGATTAACAAGAAAATGAAAATATGTACTATACATATTATTATTAATAATAAAGATATAAACTATGTAAGAGCTTTCTTTAGCATATGTTTCATGATTATATACGATACTTATCCAATAATTTACATAAACGTTATCTTTATTCAAAAATTCAATAGGGCAGGTATTTTTTATTAATATAAATGGTATTTACGTGTGTAGATCCAAATATCACTGAACATTTAAGGTTCACACTTCGCCTGGTCACGTAATGTGATGCAGTAATTGCCACTGACCAGAGTTGACCCCTAATAAGCCGTGCAAGGGTTGTATTTACTGACCGCTGAACATTAAATATGCTAGGTATGATAATAAACATCGTAGAAATAGCATGACGGTTAAGAAGCAAAGTCTAAGCCCAGGGTTTACCAACTGACGGTTAATTAAGGTCATGGTTCACCAACAGTAGTAAATAAACTTAAACAGAGCTTTGAAAATGTGTTGTTGCTGTTTTCACTAAAAGCACAGCTAAAAGTCACGTGTTAACTGTTGATGCTTAATGAGACAGCTTAGACCTAATCGCCTATTAGCAAATTCGGACCTAATTTAATTAGGATACTCCAAAACAGACATAATACAATCATATCATATCAGAGCTATTAAAAAGATGGAACAAAATAATGTTGGCTTCATCTCAACTAATTAATAAAGTAATCTATGTTTTTTCCAATATGAGAAGGGCTCGTAATCGGATGAAACTTAACCCTGTTTTGCCCGTATGGTCCATCGAATCCCGATAAGTGTTATTTATGGCTGTCAGATGTGCCCTTCGTTTGGTTTGAGGCAATGCTAATAGAAACGTTTTATCTAAATGAGTAAATGAATTTCCAGTTAACACTCATAGCGATATACTGAAAAAAATCTAATTACACGAATTCAGGCACTGTTTTAGGTAGGTATGTCATACGGTTAATGTATGCAAATACATTACATTTTACTCACTTGCTATAACTACATACTTACGCTAAGTGAAATGTTTAGTTAGGAGCGTGCGGGATTCAAGTAGCATGTCCATGCTGCGCCTTCGCCGGAAATGGTATAATTGCTGGTAACTGATCGTGCATTACTCGAGGTGTGAAAGGGTTAATAACACTTCTTGACCCCTAAACTTCCTTCATCCTAAACATAGGGTACGTCTTTTCTTTTTGAGTTTCTTCTCAAAGTGCATTAATTGTACAGTAGTAAATTGTGCGTTTGATTACACACTTCGTTTTTGTAATTCAACCACCAACACGGGGGTTTTGTTACGGACATTCATTTATATTAATAGGAAAGATTTACGTACCTATTGGCATTTGTGGACAGAATTAGTCGTAATTTCAATATGATATATTTGATATCATAAGCAATAAACGTTAAAACGTTAGGCACGGCTTATGATTTGTTGTAGAGTTAGTCCCAAAAATCAAGTCATTCGTGTCAGGGCCGTCGAGCGTAGGGGAGCGACCGCGACAGCTGACTCGCGACAATGCGCGAAGACGTCCCGCGGCCATTGTACCTCCGTCTCCGAAATCCCGACCGCTCCAGGCCTGTCCCGCGACAAAGGAGCCCCATAATGCCGTCTCGGCGCGCACCTGGCGGTCACCCTATCTAACCCGACACAGCGCACGAAACTTCTCAAATCTCAACGATTATGATATTTTATGTTCCGATTTCGCGTGATCTCGCGCTTCCGCCCTTCGAGCTTCCGAGTCTTTGTGATAACGCCTTTTTATCTCATAAATTATTGTATGTCGTTTTATCATAACAATATAGGTACCGTTTTTGTAACTTGATTTGTCCTCACAGTAGAAGACAGTGCCTAAACAGACTTTACCTAAAGATTTTTACTGAGCTTTTGAAAATCGGCCGAGTCTATTGCGCAATTTCAAACGGTTCTAATATTTTATAGCCTGAAATATAATCCATTATAGCTTTATAATCTACGAACACTTCATGTTTTAACCATAAAAAAGAAGCACCATAAAGATCTTTTTCTATGCACGTTTAAATAAGACATAAAAACTAAGCAGGGGATAGCTTTGATATCGCAACTAGTTTCGCACGATTAGGCATTGATATTTGCAACCCTTGCACTTTTGTCTGTATGTATTAGGAGTGTTGGGGTTGGACAGGTTTAGTAAACGGAACTTAACGGTTTCGTGCGACTGTTGGGCGAGTCATTAGAGTTGCATTGCGGCAATTAGTGGGGTAGGGCGTAAGACGCGGGGGTGTCTTGAGGCGGCCGGCGCGTGCGCAGATGTCGGCCAACTGCCGCGCAACCTGTCGCGCAACGGATCGCGACGGTCCGCTGCGCGCTGCAGATCGCCGATAAGCCACCCGCGATCGTTTTTGATTTCATAATTAACCCAACCCTGATACACGTATGTCGCCGACAGGTTATGGAACTTTCGATTGCAAAAGCTTTGTTTGTGATTCAATGAGACGTGTTCGTGTTTTGATAAAATAATGAGGCATAGCTAATTCTCATTTGGTGTTTTTGTTCCCTCTATAACTCCATTTATTCTGAATTCTTTTAGACTTTAATGAAAACAAGATTTATTTGAAATCATAGACTTACGATCAGATGTTCAATTAGTATCTACCTTAACCTTTAACTGGTGACATGGTTTTTGTGTAACGTAACTGGTGACGTACGGTCTGAGAGGCCGCTACCTTATCAAGACTGTAGCATAGAAACTAGGTAAGGTAGCATACCGCAATCTTTAAAAACAGATTATTAGCATATAGAAGAATTAAATTAAAATAAAATAATAAACTCTAAATATAATTTTTAATGCAGAACTTGCTGTTAAATTATATGTAGTCATAAAAATCAAAAAACTAGAGATGAGATCGATAATCGCAAACAAAGAAATTTAAATCAACAAATTATAACAAAATTACTATTTTTTATTATAGTTCAAATAATAATCAATTAAAAAAACCTATCTCACGATGGTAACCTATCATTTTAGAAAACTGGCAGTGGTGAAACTTTTGTATTTTTTATTGGCTGTCAAGTCATTTATTGTTTGGCATAAAGATGGACCGTCATTTTCACTTTCTGACTGGTTCTCGTTAATTGGTCCTTCATCTTCAAAAACACTTTCTTCGGCTTCCGAATCATGGTCACTTTGCTCCAGAACAATATTTTCAGGAACATATTCGGCTTCCAACCCAATTCAGTCTTTCTTTTCCAGATATTTTTCAACTGGCGAATTTTCAAGTCGTTTCATAAAGTATGGCACTATATTTCCAACTAATGATCCTACGCTTCTTTTTTGGAGTTATTTAAGTATCAATTGCAAGTAAAAACTGTAAAAATACGAAAAAACTGCATGAAAAAAATGTCACGTAACTGGTGACATGCGGTCTGAGAGACCGCTGCTGAGCTTTACATCGATGTTACTTGCCGATTTGGAGCTGAATGATGCAAATGTCCTTATCTACGGCGTAGACACAACTAAACTCGAAGCTACTGAAGTGATGAAACATAGGAAGTACAGAGAAGGGGGTGAAACGATGTTTCACTGACGCTGCCCGGCCTGTGAGACCGCTTGTCACCAGTTAAAGGTTAAGCAGTGATACGTATCATGTTTACAAAACATTGGTATTCAATGAAAAATTGAACCTTATTCCGTTTTGTTAGGAATGATCAGATGTTGCGAAGCCTTAGGACGCTACGCTATATACCCTTGGTTCTGATTGTAAGTACCTTCATGGGTACTCAACCTTAGACGATTGCTATGCCTTCATATCTTTTTAAAGCTCACCCTATCTTGCCGTTTCATTGACCTTCATTTATAAGAACTACTGGGCAAGCTCAACAGAACGTTAATTAATGACCGCTTGGGCAGTTTTTCTGATTAAAATTATGACGCATTCGCGTGTTGCGATAATGTTTTTTCCTTAGCAAAAAGCGTATGGAGACTAGAAGGTCGTTATCGTGTAAGAAGGGTGTAGGTGGGCAGTGACCCGCTGTGGGCACGGAAGGGTCGCGCCAGGTGTCCTCACATCTGCCGCTTCTTGGCTGCCGCGCTGCCTTCGTGCCTACACCCATCGCGACTTACACTTAAGCTGTTTCGCTTCAATACCTCCACCGTTAGAAACGATGATAGTAAAATTAAACTATGCAATAATAAATATAAACGCCCTTGTCGCACACATTAGGTACAATGAAAAATTAAACGAGTGCGTTTAATTGAACATAAATTGTGCAAAATCTGAGTAGGTCCGCGATTTATTGGGGTCACGCCCGAGCTAAAGGTAACGGAACTTGAGGGCTTATTGATTGAATCGATCGATCGAAGTGTACGAAAACTGAGTCCCTTCCTTCACGGCAAAATCGCAGCTGCGCCCTAAGTTAGACGACTTAAGATGTAAATTACCATTATTTTGCCTCTATTGTCCCGAGCCAGGCACACAAAGATGCAGACGGGGACGAAATGCACAAATCTGGCAGCTGTTCGCTCTCCTTCCTCGTCCGTCAACAATAGACGAGGCTTATTGTGCAAAATGTTACGCAAAGTTTTTTAGGCCCTTCAAGTCGACCGTGTATAATCTTTAAACTTTGTCGTGAACTTGAGACAGTTTATGCCCATCGCGATCATTAGTGTCTCTTTAACATAGCTTCAGATTATATTGTTTTAATAAAAACAGCTAGAGATATTAAAGGATGTGGCTCCAAGGACACTCGGGCGCAAGGTGGCCGAGCCACCTGTCCGCGGCAATTATCTCAAAACAGATGCATCCTACCTGCGCACATCCTTGCAGCACGCATCCACTCGAACCACGCGGCCGGTGCATGTAAACAATATTGTTTTAGCATAACTTTTACGTTCCCAATGACACCCAACAAAAACTACCTCTCGCGTTGATCGTATAGAACAAAAGACTCGAACGCGTCAGACACTGTCTGAAACAGGTTTAGTAATTCAAAGTTTTCGATGTAAAAATAATGTTAAAAATAGCACGTGGTCTTTATTGACAATGAGAAAGTTACCTGAACAAGGTCGGCCTAATGACAATTGGGTCGTTTGCAAATGGTTATTAAAGCTTATTTCTTTTGTCCACAGAGACTGAATTTCTCCTGGTGCCGCCGTCTTTGGTCGCAGTGGCTTGCATCTCAGCCGCAGCTCGGGGGTTGCGCGTGCGCATGTCCATTAACGATCTCTGCGCGTTGACTCGGACGCCCGCCGCCGCCGCGGAGCTGGTTGCCCGCCACGTGGAGCGTGTGCTGGCGAGAGAGACGCAGCCGCAGGAGCCGCGCGCCAGGCATGTTCAGCCCCATAAACAGTCCACCCCTGAACACACACAACTACCTGACACCCCCACTGACGTTCAAGATATACATTTCTAATCAACATCCTTTGATATCCAATCAGACTCAGATGGCTCCGGGCTTTAGGCACTTTTACTTTGATGCTCCTGGATTGAAACGGGGCCTATAACAATTTTGGGCTCAAGAAATCATTTAGCTAGCGCGATGACCTTGAGAGATATGCCCATCATTGTAATGATAACTTGATTTCAATGATCCAGTTGTGGGACGCCTGAAAGGCTTTTTGCTCTACGGTCATGGGTAGAATCCGAGCTCCCGGTCGTAAAGAAACACACGTGTCTTATTTATTAGGTACAATTTTTTTCCTTGCACAAAGATCCGCCTAAGCAAACAGAGTCAATCGATCTCACTGGTATTGTACGTAAAACTGTGGATTGTGAAGAAATTCATTGTTGCTGCTATCTTTTTTTGGTCGCACACCTGGGTACGAGAAAAGAAACGGAGGATATATCTAAAAAATGTTAGGTAGGTGGCTATAGAATACATGTCGTTGGAATATGTTCACTAATATTGTGTAGATGAATTGTTCATTGATCTCAAATTATTATTTATGTAAAAATAATGGTCTAGTATAGAGTTATGTTTATTTATTAAGAGTTGTTAAAACACTGTATCATAGTTTGAAGATGTTTTAGATTAATTTGATCTCTCGTAATTCCAAATCGTTAGGTAAGACTGAATGCTCACGAAATAAATTAAATGTTCATTCCAAAAATTTTATTAATGTATGAAATCTGAAGGTTTTTATCACCGCTCATTCATTATACATCATGGCATCGTATTTAACGCATTTCTGGTTTCCAAAAAAATGCCAATTACTGTGTATATTGTATTTAAAATCCTTTGAGTGTTTTGCGTGTAATTAATTTGTAAGATCTCAATGTAGTAAATTTTGATGTTCAATTTTTCTGGTTCCAAATGAACGTGTTGATGTATGTTATATTTATTTAGGTGTATGTTAAGTTTTAGTAAATTCTAGTCAGATGTTTTACACATTCCTGTTTTCGACCAAACTTTGATGTTATTAAGATAATTATATGTAATAGCTAAGTTTAGTGGTCTATTCTATTATTTGGACTTTCCAATCGATAAATTGATTGATGTGTTAAATTTAAAAGTTATGAAAAAACGTTTACCCTGATGAAATAACATGATTGATTGCAGAGTTCAAATAAATATAACATAGATATAGATAGTTTGTGTTGCTAGTTTAAAGTACTACAAAATACTCATTACTTTAACATCACGCGGTATTTATTGTAAACTAGCGGCCGCCCGCGACTTCGTACGCGTGGATCCCGTTTTACCCCCTTCATCTATCTTACGCGGTTTAGATTTTTTCATACAAATGTTTTTTTCCGCTAACTCCCGTTCCCGTGGGAATTTTGCAATATCCTGTTGTAACTAAGCTTCAAGTTTACTAAGGTACCTGCATGCCAAATTTCAAGCGTCTAACTTAAGCGGTTTAGATTTTTCATACAAATGTTTTTTCCCGCTAACTCCCGTTCCCGTGGGAATTTTGCAATATCCTGTTGTAACTAAGCTTTAAGTTTACTAAGGTACCTGCATGCCGAATTTCAAGCGTCTAACTTAAGCGATTCAGATTTTTCATACAAAACGATTTTCCCGCTAATTCCCATTCCCGTGGGAATTCCTAAGTATCCTATAACCTGCCCAGGAGTATGAAGAATAATTGTGCCAAGTTTCGTTAAAATCCGTCGAGTAGTTTTTGTTTCTATAAGGAACATACAGACAGACAGACAGACAGACAGACAGACAGACAGACAGACAGACAGACAGACAAAAATTTTACTGATTGCATTTTTGGCATCAGTATCGATCACTAATCACCCCCTGATAGTTATTTTGAAAATATATTTAATGTACAGAATTGACCTCTCTACAGATTTATTATAAGTATAGATAAAACAAAAGACGACCATGCCGGCGTTGTAACGTGAACTAGGAGAGAAAATACTCATTATTAATATTATTGTAATCGTAAATATTGTGTAAGTCAAAGTAGCGAGCCGCGACGGGCGTTACGCGATGTTAATTAAACTAATTAGAATAAATTAAAAGTCGAGCTTTGAAGTTTCTCTCTTAATTCTCTTACAACGTGGAAGGGACTTTCACATATAAGTGTGTACGCCACTTTAATTAGTGCTTGTGGAGTGATCAGCGTGTAACGTAACATTGTTAGCGTATCATATGAGAAAAAGGGTCACAAAAATGTTAATATTGCCTCGAAATATTTAAATTATTCTTATCAAACCAACTCATGACCGTTATTTTTAATAGGTAACAAAATTTATAGCATCTGTAGCTGTGTACAGAGAGTTTAAGTGATTTTACCGACTGGAATTGTTTAATTGGACCCATCGTTACGTTTTTTTTTATCATAAGCACAGTTTATTGACATTTTGTAACTTTGCACGCTGTAAAAAGAGTTTTAAGCTTAGAATAGCGACACCTTTCGAAATAGGGACAAAAATGTTTGTTTTGAAATTCATGTTATCACTAATCAATTTTATAAATTGTTTAGACGTTTAGGTTATTAGCACTCTAAAAGATGGCCCTTTTGTATAATGATATCAATGTACATACGGTATTGATAAAAAAATAAATTTAATTAAAAATCTTAAAATATTTTGTTTTTATACCTATTCATCGTAACACCAGTGTTTCAATCACAGGACAGAATACAGAATCTTTGACTGACATTAATTCGAATTTTGAGCTTTTTGTAAAAAGAAACGTCATTTCTTTTAGAAATTCAAATACAGGATGTCCCAAAAAGTAGTGTCAAGCCGAAGCTCAGAGGTAGAGCATCACTGGGGCTATCCGAATCACGGCCTCCATGTATGTTCCGCGATTTTTGATAGTTTTCGAGTTATGATTACTTTAAATTTCTATGCATAGGCTCTTTTTTGGTCACTGTGGCGAGAATAGATAAGATAATACATGCCTTTTTTATTATTATTAGATGAATACTAGACCTATCTGATTCAGAAGTATTAACATCCATAACATGTGTAAAACCAAAAAATCCTATAATGTTGTAAACAAAAAAACATAACTCGAAAACTGTCAAAAATCGCGGTGATTCCGGTAGTCCTAGTAATGCTTTACCTCTGGGCTTCGGCTTGACACTACTTTTTGGGACACCCTGTATATGTATAAATATGGTGTTGATCCTCGTAAGTATTTCTATTTTCTAAAGCTTGGTTCTCGATTCTGATATTAATTCCCAAGAGCGCTACAACCACGTCTCATACACAGACTCGTGCATCAATTTGAATTAATTAAATAAGGATTTATAACTTTTTTATAGCATTTCAATACCATGAAAGTATAAAACAAAGGAACATACAAGTATCGTAAAGCCTAATTAATTATTAAATTAACTTACAATTAAAAGTATTTTTGTCTGAAAAGTGATACCTCTGGACCCGGCGTATTCCTAATAATATTCTAGGATATCTATGGAACTCTGGAAGTATGTTTGTTGCTCTTTCACGCTGAAACTATTAAATGGATTTTGATGAAACTTGAAAATACAATCGTTCATACATCAGAATAACATTTACATAGAATAACAATTATATAAGGATCTGTGACAAATTGAATATCACGCAGGCGAAGCCGGGGGCAAAAGCAATTAAAATTACAACTTTCTACAGACCTTTAAGTTAAACTACCTATCTCTACAATGGAACAGTTACTGATAATGTACTTGCAATTTAATAGTGTTGACCTATACAATAATAGTACAACCATATCATAAATTACACGATGTAAATGCTAGTAGCAATATTTTATGACTACTTTTCTATTAATCTATGAAGGTTTATACGATAGTACGTAAAGCTAATCACTAGCATCTTATCTCGTCGTCATAATAAAGTAAGCATGTAGTAATTGATTTTCACAAGACTGAAATAGTACCTACATAGTTGTGAATTTATATGGAAAGTTATGATAGCGAAAAACTTATTTTAAATTGCCATTTACGCAATCTTTTAATATAAAACACCTAAATCTGTTTTTTTACTTTACTTTTTTATTTGTCTTCCTAAATAATTATAATAACATTTCATCATACCTACATACTGAATTCAATAAAAAGTTTAAAGAGAGCTTTCACTGCTAGTGACATCTGCCGAAGCTTTCGGTACTAGTTCCCTGCACCCAAAAAGTTGCGTCGCACGCCTGTCGTCTAGTAGTGTTCGCGCTACGGAAAGCTCCAACTGTTTTTGAGGTGGACATTTCGTAGCGTGGCGATAGATGTCACTGGCCGTATCTGAATTATGAACATTTACATATGAACTGCGGGAAAGTTTAAGATATTATCTAGAAAATATTTAATTGTTGTTTTGTTAGTTTTAGATATAAAGTAAACGACGCTGTTTGATGGTCAACCTGTAATATAGAGCAGGTTCAAGTGCTCCGCTAATTTGGTAAAAGTAATTGAGAATTATAATTATGATTATTTTATATCGGAAAATCACACGATCATATTTTATGTACGAGTATGATGTATGAGCATGAGATTATTATAATTGTGTAACTTCATGTAATTCAAGTTCAATGTAGTTAATGCTTTGATGCCTTTTGCCATATTTTGGTGTAGCTTAGACCTGTGAGGCATGATAATTATGAGAACATAGCCTAGGCTACCTTTTGTCGTACAAACAAAACTTGAAGAGGTTAAATAGAAAATGAAATGGGGGTTAAATTCATCTTGCTTAGATCAAGAAATTTTACATTTATGCAGTTTTTATGAAAGGATTTTTGATATCGGGATGAAACTAGTTTGTATGTGCAAAAACTTATCTAAAACATCTAATAAAGCATTTTGTTTACCATCCGAATCATGTGCGTATACATCATATATCATCTGAGATACCGAATATTTAATGAGGTAGGAGGTATTTGATGGATGTGTACATAAGGTACGCAATACGCATGGCTCAACGCCTACTCGTAAGTATCCGCTGTCTGAGTCGTCCACAATTTTCTAATTTACACTTGAAAGTCCGATACGACACCAAGGGCCGTGTAAACAGAGGTGCGGGCACCACGGGTAACGTCGCTTTTGCGGGGAAAATCGACAAGTCCTTACATGTTAACGAATTTCGGGTTCAGCTAGATAATAAAAGGTTTTTTATTTAACGGATTAATTTATTAGTTTCGAATTGGGCACAGATGTGAATAGCACAACTTATAACCTTGGTGGGAACCTCGTGGGAACCCTCGTCATCAGACTGCAAATTAAAATGAGCCTATTTATTGGCCATTTCGTTCGTTTATTATCTTTTGAGTTAGTAAAGTATATTTTATTAGATGATAATACGTTAAAAATACTTTCTTAATATCTTTAAGAAATTCGTAAGCATCTTCTCTATGAAAACTCTACCTACCTCGAAATCTGTAGATTTAGGTAACTGAAAAGCTTTTTCATGATCTTTCACACAAAATGTAGGTAGGTACCTAGGTAAATTCAAATAATCAAGTCACGAAAATAGGTAAGTTTTTCAGTTTGAGACACAAAAGAGACGTAATACAAAATACAAATACAAAAATACAAAATATTTTATTAATACAAACAAGTCACATAACAAAGTTTTGGATTTTATCCTTTTAAGTTTTGCCAACTTGTGTTAGGATCAGACCGCTCATAATATATTCATCTACGAAAGAACTAAACGATGAAAATGGGAAACCTAGATAAGTCCATGATAATTTTCTCCCTTTACATTAGATGATACGATTATTCCCGACAAAAACTACACCAGGATCACATGATGTTCAGCGGAACGCCAAAAAGCGAGGCGAGGAGCGCTCGGGGCGTCGGGGGCAAACACCGCGTCTCCTGGGCCCGCTCATTAGTTGTTCAAACAAGCCGGCGGCCACTTTGACAAGCGAGGTCCTGTCCTCCGTCCTCCGACCGATCTTCCCCTTCACTGCGCTAGCGCTAACTATAAAGAGCTATCGGGAAGGCGGATTGCAAACACGCGGTCTGATGTTTACACTGTATGTGTAAAGATGCCCGGGTATATACGATCAACCTGTTTGTTGTTTAGTGTTAGTATAGCTCAGTAAAGATGTGAAGATATTTGAGATATAGTTACGAGTAGGTAACTATTAGAATCAGTCAGGCATTATTAAAATTAACAATATTTTTATTTTTCTTCTGCGAATTCTCAAAGCAAACGGAGTAGCCCGGTCACGTGACCTCCAACCAGGTCAAGCTGTTCTTGA